GGTTTTATCCTTATAGATCAGCCATATCAAAAGAATTGCCATTCATTCTAGGCTGATATAACTAGCATATTTTTACCTGATTAGAGGTTTTTAATGCTAGAAACTAGCATATTAGCTAGGGAAAGAAACTAGTGCCTTTTTCCCTTTTATAAAGAAAGGTTTTTGCACTAGGAAAATGAATATTTAATCTAAACATTCCCATGTTTAGCTTAAGGGGGGGTGTTGGTGAAAACCATGCTATAGTTGATTGTTGACCATATCCATGGGTTGATCCGCTATGGTTGATCGTTGATCATATCTATGGTTCTAACCTTATGGTCATGGATCATCATTGATCATCATCGATTTCAACCATTAGCAAATGGTGATCTAATCTATGAGATCACCCAGCTATGAGATCATTCAATATTCGAATGGCCTATGCTAGAAGGAATCATCTATAAATACACCCTTAAAATCACCCTATAGCTAGTCATAATTAATTAAGGAATTAAGACATTAAGCTAAGATATCCTTAGCTATTTTTCCTTCTACTATTCTATTCTATTCTACTACCATTCCTCCTATTCTTCCTTTATACCTAGGCAAGCCATCTATTCCCCTCTATATTCATGAAATTTCCTTTGTCATTTATATACTATTTAGTATATACTGTTCATTTTTATTCACAAAGATATACCTATTACTTATAGTAGTAGGTTCTCCTTCACCTAGTACTAGCTAATAAAGTTTCCCTATACTCCTATATCTAGGAGTAAGTTAATATTCTTCCTAACTATATCTCTAGTAGGTTCATCTATAGCTATCGTTATATTAAGTATTAGGGATATAGTATCTATAGTTCCCTTACTTAGGCCTAGTGCTACTACTATATATATTACTAGACTATCTAGTTTTTTAGTTCTATATTATACTTTACATACTTTAAATACTTTACTACTATATAGCCCTTACCACCATAGCTATAGTACTTAATAGTGCTCTTACCCTCTCTATGATTCTACTCTTTTTAGTTATAAAAGCTATATTTCTTTAGACCTAGGCCTCTGCCTCTTCCTTAATATCTATTATAGGTAGATATATCTACTCTCTAGGGTATATAGCCTTTATATTTATTATATTTAGTTAATTCTCTTTTAATAGCTATAGCTTTATCTATATAGCTAGTGTAAGAGATATCTTTTATAATCTAGTAGGTTAAGATCTTACTTTAAATATTTAGGCATAGCTTTATCTAGAGCTATACTTTTTACTACTTATTAGTGTAGCTAATGCTAAGCTAGGATTCCTACTACTCTAGATATACTATAAAGTTAGCTACTATCTATACTTCTAGCTGCCTAGCATCTATGTACTTCTATAGCATATAGTATATTAGTATCTTTAGGTTATTTACTTACTTTAGTAGGAATTAGATGAGCTACTCCCACATCTGCTTCATAGGTAGTAATTCTTAGTATCTTATCTATTAGTTAAGTATTTTATTAGTAAGTAGTAGAACTACTACTTATATCTTTTAGTATTTCTTAGTATAGTATTAGTAGTGCTATTTAAAGTATACTATTATATTATTAATAAACTTAGTATAATTATGTATATTCTTAAGTTAGAAACCTATAGTAAATAGGATCTTTAGGATAGTCTTAGTATCTATATCTAAGGAATTATTATTTTAGGTTAATAGTTTAGTATTATTATTATTTATAGGCATTCTGGGCAGCATAGATCTTAGTCTAAGTAGTATCTATGTGGCCTTATCTAGAATAGTATATATAGGTGAGGTAGTAGGCTGGTCCTGTTTGTCTAGGGCTTATTATATATACTTAATAGTCTTACTAAGCTTCTGGAGTATATTATTATTATATTTTATCTACTCTAGTTTAGTAATTTACTTCTATATAGCCTTATAATCTTCTTTAGAGAGTAGGGGAGATTAGCATCTACTAATATTACTTAGCTTAGGGGCCTTAGGGGTGGTGCTTATATCTTAGTCTATTATTATATTTCTATTATTAGTAGTTCACTAAGCATATAATTACCCTGGATTAGAGGTGCTCCTAGTAGTGACTATTTTACTTTATAAAATATATAAAAATGCTCCCTACTAGGCTATCTTAATAGGTAGAGTAATTAGAACTATAAGAGCACTTATAGAATGCTCTCTATTATATAGTAGATAATATAGTAGTAGTAATGCCTTTATAGTTAAACTAATTACTAAGGTGTAAGCATCTCCTGTACCTTAGCAGAGATGATATCTCTATGGGTCACATACTACCTATATGACCACCCATAGTTCACTATGTACATGTTCTCTGCATCTAACACTCTTCTAGTAGAGTTAGTATTAAATAGCTTTTTAATAGTACTTAAGATATTTATTATTACTGCTATGCTTAATTATACCTAGCTACTATTAAGTTAATTATAATCTAGATATATACTAATAGGTTTATAATTACCTAAGACTATGCTAAGTTATATAATATCTCTAAGTCTAAGAAACTACTTTAGAAATAGAATCTACTTTACTACCATGATCAGTTAGTTAGTAAGGTAGATAATATAATAAGTAAAATATATATTAATAATAATAAGGACCTAGATTTCCTTAATAATACTTTTACCTTCTTAGATAATATAGATAATAATTATGCTAGGTCTACTATTATATTACTACCCTTTAAGCCTATTATCCCTTAATCCTCTAAGCCTATTATCCCTTAACCCTCTAAGCCTGTTATCCCTTAACTCTTAAGTCTATTATCCCTTAACCCTCTAAGCCTATTATTCCTTAATCTACTAAGCCTACTAAGCCTATAAAGCCTATAAAGTCTACTAAGCTATAGTCTTTAGCTTTTATATAGTCTCTTTATAATACTATATATCTAGACTATTATAAGATAGCTAGCCTCTAAATTAAGTTTTAAATTATATACTTATATTATATATTTAAATCTCTTAATATTAGATTCTTAATACCTAAAAACTATATATCTAAATAATATAGTTATAAATAATTCTTAGTTTTATTCCATCTAACTTTTTACTTTAAAGACTAATAGATATAGAAAGTAGATTAATTAGATAGGTTAGATAAATTATAGAACCTATATACCTACTAAATTCTGCTAGTCACATATACCTAAATAGTTTATTTACACCCATGTAGGTTGGGTATCAACCACCCATACCCATGTAGGTTGGATTAGGGCTAACCCTTATCCAACCCATAGCGTGGATTGGGTGGGTTGGGTGTGGATCTGTGGATTGGGTAACTGCTGGCTCTACTGCCATAACGCGGTTGCTATGTAACCCAAGGGCCTGGCTCATAAGTGACGCCCTGGAAATAAACGTCCACGCTGTGAAAGCTTTTCCACAATGAAGACAGTGAAGGGCCTGCCAATTTTAGCACTAGGAATACAACTACGATCGAGAAGGGCAACGGGGATTTCAGAGGTAAACATACAGCCATGTACATAGCGCATATAGAGTCCATATTCGTATTTATATGGAAGGAAAGGCTTGATATTATTGTTTCCAGGCTGTCCCTGCAGGTCAGCGCCTGCACCTCGTAATCTCGCCTGACAGCCTCACCCACCGCTCTATTCGAGCACTCGGTAAAGAGCCAGGACAGAACATAGTGGACAATAATTAGCTCCATATCTGTGATGGGACCGGGCGAGCAGGCTTTGATGACGTATTGAGTGAACTCAGTTAGGGATCCAAACTCGAAGGGCCAATAAAGCTGACTGGGCGTACTCTCTGAAGGATACTTAGTAAATACAGCGCCTCGTAAAAATAAGGGGGCGCGCACCTTGAGCGATCCTTAAGCACGTCATGGTTTTTTCCAAAGAAGGGATAGGCAGATCCCTGAGACTGAAGCCTGAAGGAAGCTCCTTCGGAAACGGACGTGAGCCTTCCAGGTTCTCATTCTTCTGCTTCTGGACATTGACTGTCGTCCACAAGAGATTCAGTGCGGAAGTACGTTCAGTGGCAACGCTGCCATACGAGCTGTCCATCACAGTAGCCTGGAGAGCCTCAGTTACGAGGATAACTTGGGCAAACAATGTGGACTCGATAACGTTTGCCCGACTTAGAGGCTGTTCGCGGGTTTGAGCACTGCTGGGCTGAAGCAACGAATATGATGGCACTCGTAATTCAGCTGGATTCGCGAAGCCAGGAGTACCAAGGCGCTCATCACCTAACCGCTTTATTATCTCGCCAAGCTCGTCAATTTTGTTGGAAATATGCTCAAGTCTTCCCTCACTGCCAATCATCACTCGACATCAGTACCGAAATAAACGGGAATTAAGAGTTCGAACGCACTATTCACTCGAGATGAGGATTCGTTGCCGCTTTGGTTTGGCTTTATGACCGAGTATGTAGGTGCAACGCGCTCCAGTCTTGACGCATTGTTTACATGGGTTAACGCGATCACACTTGGTCTGTCATAGAACAAGAGAGTCAATAGAAAGCTAGGTGATAGGCCGCTCTAGGTATAGTCTCTGGTCCACCATGATTAGCATCCGTAGTCCATACAGCATGAATCGAAGAAAAGGCCTTCCTACAGCCACTTTCTCAGTTGCCGCAGTCTTATGCTCAACCGAACCCTTCCATTGTGAGCCGAAGTCTTCCTCCCTAGGCTCCTGGTCAGTGGGCCTACAGCGGTTGTCTACGGCGCCGCCTGACATCATAAGAACGGGTTCCGCAGGGACCGCCAAAGAGAGTTGTAAAGGACAGATGGGAAAGCGAAAATTGAAGTTTTGAAGGAAAGCACGGAGGGGGGTGGGGGTTTCTCCGACGAGGATGCCGGAAAAGACGGATCTGTAGGTTTCATGAAATCTCAGTGTCTCAGCGGACTCACGGAGCGCCAAGAGCGCGCACTCCGGAAGAGTCGCGACCGTCTTTGGCCATATATACTTCGCTATTTCTTGCCCTTTCTTGCGGCTTTTCCCAGCAGATTAGCTTTCCCCAACGCTTAAACAAAACACTTAACCATGAAGTACCGTGGTGTTGTTTACGATGTCGGTCTCAATTTCAATGGGGATGGATTCTCCGTCGAACCATTCGATCCCGCTTTGGTAGAGTACGACATGCGCACCATCGCCAACGATATGCACGCCAACGCTGTGCGCATTGAGGGAGAGGACATCTACCGGTTGGAAACCGCTGCACGAACAGCCCACTCTATGGGACTAAAGGTGTTCTTTAATCCGTGGAAGATGAATGAGGGCGTCGACGGGACGCGCGCCTACTATGAGGAGGCCGCGAAGGCGGCTGAAAAACTGCGAATCAAAGGCATTGATACAGTCTTTATTGCCGGCTGTGAATACACGATCTTCAACAAGGGAGTTTTTCCCGGCGAGTCATTCAATGAGCGTGCAATGTTCCTCGGCTCTCAGTTCTCTAGCGGCCACATATCGAAAGATATTCCGCAGGCTTTACGTGACAAGTCTGTGGTACTGAATCATGTCTTGCAGTCTTTTGTTGAGGTTATTCGGGCCCAGTTTAGGGGACCAGTCACGTACTCGGCTGGCTCCTGGGAAGTTGTGAACTGGGACATTTTCGACATCGTTGGTATAGACTACTATCGGCGAGGTGAGACCGCAGAGGAATACATTTCGGGCCTTGAACGTTATCGGCTCAACAAGCCTCTCGCAGTTCTTGAAGTCGGCTGCTGCGCCTACGAGGGAGCAGCCAGGCGAGGAGATGGTGGCTTCATACTTCTAAAAGGCACAAACCCGGACGGAAGCGGCGTGTTCGAAGGCGACATTGTCCCGACGCGGAGTGAGGAGGAACAAGCGGACTATGTATGGACACAGCTCAATCTTCTCGCTAAGGCGAATGTCCACGGGGTCTTCATCTATGTGTTTTCATTTCCCTGTATGCGGAGTGGAGAAGGTGCCAGAGACCTTGACATGATGTGCTTCTCGTTGGTCAAATACTTCCCCGAGCAGGACCCGAGATCAAAGGCTATGCCTCCGTGGGCGCCCAAGAAATCTTTCCACCGGGTCGCCGAATTCTTCCGCTCCTTACAGCTACAGGGCCCTGCTGCATGTTAACTGTGTCAGTCTCAAAGCATCTAATGGAAATTCCATGTGTGCCACGAACCAGGTTTTAGGGCCGTGGGAACAGTGAAATGTAAAGGTCTTATAGTTTTATTCGCGGCCTCCCCATGAACAAAACAGCGTTATCCTTCATACAGGATTAAAAATGATGTTGTTGATAGACCTCCTGCAACAGCCTTCTGGCAAAAATATGGGTGGTGGAATTGTTGCGGCAGGCGGCAATAGTAGCACGTACATGTTGTGAACCAGAGCCCACTGACCCGCACTCAATTCCCGGACTAGCATTTTGGCGGTGCGGCCGAGAATTCAGAGAAGAGTGTGCAATGGTGAAAGGTATCGCACTTCTCTGTACTCGGGGATGTGGCTAAGGAATCCATTTCCCCAAGGTCGCGAGACAGTTTCGTTCCCCATTGCGAAGCTCTCATGCTATAAGTTAACCGGCTGCGACCATCGGCAGTGATCTACTGCCTTTTCTTGTCAGCGCCGCAGACGTTAATCCAGTATGAGGGACAGCCTGACTGCAACGCAAGGCGCAAAATATGCTGCTCAGACCTTTGACAGCGCCTCCAGCATAGTGACTATCATACGAAGAGCCGCCAGAGCGCGAAATGGGAAGACTTCATCGGGAAGATTCCGGCCAAATTCTTTAACGTATCTCGCCCTGCAGTCGCTCGATCGGTGAAGTCGCAATACGTTGATGACTTCTCTCATCATAAATCGGGAGAGTACTCCGGTCATTGGGAGGATTAATCCGCGTGAGGAACTGAGGATAGACTAGACTGACGCACGGGCCAGACGCTTAGTGGTCTCATCAACACACGTTTCGAGAACGAGACCAAGCAGCCGCCACCGATATATAAGAGTAGATCTCCCTAGACGACGATGATGATGATATCATTTACACTGACCCCTCGCTTATATCGATTTTATACCACTAGACACCAAAATACGAATCCGTACCCAGTATAGTGGGTAGTGGGTACTGGGTAGTGGTTTAAAATCAACTGCTTAAGCGATACGCAGGCTACTACAACTATATCCCTACCTTTGTGTCTCTATCGTACACGATCCCATTTCTTACGGGCGAACTTTAAGCCTCGCCTAAGGGCCTGTATTGGCCATTTGCCTTCGGTTCTGTCCTTGCGGCTCCCTTGGTTCGCGGCGCTACGAAACCTTCGAGATGCTTCTGCAAAATCTAGTACAGCCTTCATGTGGCTGGTTCTCCCCTTTTCTCCTAACCATGGTTGAGACGTCGCCGAATGCGTCGCCGACCTCTCAGTGTAGTTTTTGCCGTGGTATCTTCAGTCGCGGGCAGTCGAGTATGACATGGGTGACAGTTCCTTTGCAACGCATTCACACTTGTCATCATCTCGAAATCGATACAGTTTCCTGTAACACGCCAGCCAGCAGTGGCCAGCTCGCAGCTGCGTAAGCAGGTAGGCACGGTTTCGTAGCAATGGGTCGAACAGTGGCCGCGTAATGTCATCATGTGAATCATGTCGCACAGTTCCATAGACACGTCACGTGGCCCTCGGAACTTGGTTCCCGAGGATAATCTCAACTTGCAACCTGCCTCAGTAGCATGGAGAAGCAACGAAAAGAACTCTCAATATCAAGTCTGTTCTAGCAGTGCAATGCAAAATGCCACTACGATCCTCGGCATCATCTAAACCCATCCGTAAACACGTCACAACAGCCTGCAATCCCTGCCGCGAAGGCAAGGTGAAATGCGACGGTGTTACCCCGGTTTGCGGGAACTGTCGGGCGAAGGGGAAGAGCTGTAGTTATCGGCAGACTAGCGATAAGCGCAAGTAAGCGGGCCAGAATACATTTTCGAAGAAACTGCATGCTGATGTGGGATGTTTAGAGTCCCCCTGCGAGTCACGATCCATGTCCTTGCGCAGAGAATAAATCGACTCTCGCGCTATATCCAGGACCAGGGCCTGGAGGTGCCGCAGATGGAGGAGAGTGATTATCTGACTATCAAGGACATTTTTGAGACGATTGAGCTGAAACTTGATGATGCACCTTGTAATGACAGGGGCAAAACTACTGAAATGGCCGCGGCCTCAGTCTCCCACGGTGGCTTTGAGGATGCTCTGATACCCGAGAGTCACTCTAGGGGCGATGGGGCTTTTGATCTACAGGCGCCGTTGACTGGAGCGGCTGGTGCGGGGACTGTGAATGCCCAGGAGCTGTTACCACCGGTAGGATCGTCAGAATTGGACTCAGCGCATTCACGGACACCAGAGGACACCTCACAACTGCGTTATTATGGCACCGGAACGAATATATCTTCTGCTCCTGCTCCGGATGATTCCTCGCCAAATGCGGCGTCTGCACTGCTCGAGCTGGCGGATGCAGGCCTCTACCATAGTACGGCGCCCATTGGACGGGGTGAAGAAAGCGCACCGCATCCAGAGAATAACGCCGACGAAGAGGAGGAGGATGAAGTCACAAACCAACTTTCGTGTCGGTTAGGGAAACTCCAGGTAACGCATGATGGGCGGCTGCGGTACTTTGGGTCCACGTCGAACTTCACGTTACTGGATATACTGGTTGATGCTGCGCCTTCGTGCCAAGTTTCGTCTCAGCGAGCGACGCAGGACATGCTGGAGGATGCGGGACTTGGACTGAAAGTAGACGAATCTCTTGAGACGCATCTGCTTCAGTTATATTTTACCTGGCACGACCCTTGTTTGCATGCCGTAGATGAGGAGATATTTTGGAGGTCGAGGGCGCAGAAGAGCAATAATGATGGGGTTGACTCGCCATATTATTCTCGTACGTTGTCTGATGCAATGTGGGTCGAAATTCCTGGAACCACAGGTTGGTCGCTAACAAATCAGGTGTGCGATCGGTGCTAAGTATGAGCCAAAATATCACCCCGACCTTGTGACCTTCCCACGATCCCTGGCCGAGTTTTTCAGTGATAGAGCAAAGATTTCACTCGAGTCAGAGTTAGAGAACCCTTCCCTCACGACGGTACAGGCGCTGGTTATCTTGGGTGCATATGAAGCGTCGTGTACGAGGGACACGAGAGGCTGGCTGTATAGTGGTGAGTGGGAATTTCGTGACCTCGGGATTTCTATTAAGAAGAGTAGGGATGGCAATGCGGCTCGCCTTTGACCTTGGATTGCACCTTGATATGGCTCCTTATGTGGGAAGGGGTACTATTTCGTGTAAGGATTACGATATCCGCCGAATAACCTTCTGGGCCGTCTACATGAGTGAGCAGTAAGCAACTTCCTCACTATCTCTCTTTTGACAGCTGCTGATGTTTAGATTCTGGGGTTACTATCTAGGTCGACCGACTCGGAGCCCGATGGATGGAGTCACTGTGCCAAAGCCTGACAGGGACAGTCACCTTCCTCCGATGAAGTGGAAGCCGTATGGCTCTCCGTATCTATCCATGAATATGGCCAACCTCCCGAATCCGCTAGGGCCAATGTGCTACCAGTGGGTTTCATTGTATGATTACATGTTACCACTTACGAACATTTTGTGAGCACTTCCCCACTCCTATTAAATAGCTCAGGCTGACGAGATAGATACGGCTGTTGCGAGATCTCGAAACATCAGCTTCAAGAGCTTACCTCCGATACAGTGGGGAAGTTGAGACTATGGAAGGCAAATCTCCCACCGGAGCTGAATATCCACGAGAAGCCAGATTTTCCACAGCCGCTACCTCATGTTCTGGCTCTTCAGTAAGTGTTGTTGGCCTGTCTCAGATCCAGCACTAAGAAGTAAAGCATGCAATACCACCAATTGATGATCCACTGCCACCGCCCATATATCTCCCGGCACCATATCCAACCACAACCACCCCAAGGCCCAGGCTCCTCGCATGCCCGCATGATGTGCATGGAATCAGCCATCGCCATTGCCAAAACTCTGGCACTATATGAGCGATACTATAGCTTCCGGCGGGCCAACTTCCAAGTCGTGTCCTTCATCTTCTCTGCCGCACTGATCCTCATATTTGCTATAGTCCCAACACGGCAATATGAACATGACCGGGAATTGGTGGCTTATTTAAGTACCTGTTTTCGCGCGCTTGACGAAATGGGGAGCCAGTTCGAAAATGCGAACCGGACGAGTACCTTCTTGAATACGCTGCAGCGGGAATGGCAGACTCGTCAGCGGAGTAGGATGGCCCGCGGCGTGAAGAGGAAGTTTGATATTCATTGTGAGCCGTGGAAAGATATTCTTGCCAACCAAACTCAAAGCCTGCAGGGCTCTGCGGCCAGCGCGGGGTTCTGCGCTGATATGCGACCTGGCGTCGATTCCACGGTAGAAGGCTCCTTGTACTCTGTCGATTTCATGGAGCCTGATCTATGCAATATTCTGCTCAGCGAAGGCATTCCTCGAGCGTTTGAGTAGATATACCTCTAGATAAGAATCAACTCAAAGTACTTGTGGATGCCACTGTCTATTTTAACCGAGGACAAGCTACAGAGACTGCCAACCAACTCCCCTCGCATCCCTCCCATTTAAGAAAGCCAAATACCCCTTCACTCTCCTTACAATACCCTCCGCATCTAATTCAAACCGCGCATAATTACTCTTATTAGATGCCGAGTACCCGAAACCACTCATCCCAATACTCGCCGTCACATACCGCGCCCATGTCGTCGCCACATACTCCTCCACACTAACAATAGGCTTCCCATCGAGCCTAAATACACCCTCTTGATACTCCCTCTCCTGACGATCGAGAAGATCGAAACTCGGACAACTCACAATTCGACATTTGACACCGTCTCCGCGCAGGATCCGAGCAGCGTCAACGACATGGCACAAACTACTCCCACAGCTAGCAAGCGTGATATCGGCATCCATGACTTCGTCAATCACATACGCCCCACGCAGGACCTGTAGTCGATCTGTATTTGGAACGTGGGAAACAGGGTCCCGCGCGACGGATATCATAGTCGGGCTGGTCTTTGCGTTCGCGCTAGTCAGGGCATAGATCCACGCGCCGAGCGTCTCTTCGGCGTCGCAGGGCCGGATGTATGTCAAGTTTGGCATTGCTCGGAACAGGCTATCCAGTTCGACGGGCTGATGCGTTGGGCCATTCTGACCTTCGGCTGTACAAGGTATATTAGTGGATCAAGAACGAGGCGGGCGAGTAGGTGAAGGTCCTGGCTTACCGAAGGAGTCATGGGTGGCGATATGGATGGTAGGGAGATGGCTGAGCGCGCCCATGCGGACGCCGGGAGCGGCCTATTTCGTTTCTTCCATTAGTTTGTCGCATGTATGAGGAACGGGGACGCACGTATAGGTAGAACATCAAGAACGTCGCCGTGACAGGGAGGAACGTGCGCGGGTGATATGCTGCCAGCCCATTCGATATCGCCGCCATTGCGTGCTCGCGGATCCCATAGCGGATATATCGACCCTTACATCCAGCTCCAGTGTTTGGAAAGAAGATGTCGGTCTCCGAGTAGAGGAATTTATTCGAGGTGACGAGATCAGCCCCTCCGCCACAGAGAGCGGGACATTCCGCCCAGAGCTTCTGCAGGATGAGTCCATTGGATTCTCGAGTTGCTGTGCCCTCGAACACTGTACTGTCTAGCCTCATGAGAATTTTTGTGATCGAATCTGTGTCTAGATTCCCCGAGCGACGAGCGGCAAATTTCGCAGCCTTGACTGGATGCTTCTTTGCGTATTGCGAGATTAGGTCATTCCATTCCTCCTCCAGGGTCTCACCGGCTGCTTTCCTCTCTCGAAAGAAGGCCAGGCCTCGTTCGGACGGGGAGTGCGTGCTAGAGGGATCCTGGCCAGCGCGGATCTTAGATGCTGCGACACTTTCCGTATCGAAGGCACCGTGATGGGCCATTGCTGTGCCTGCTGTGCTTGTCCCGACTCCAATCACTGTGCGGATGTTGATGAATACTGGCTTTCCTTGAAGATTCTTTGCGTGCTGCAAGGCTTCCCGTATACTTTGAACATTGTGGGATCCATCAAGTACGTCGAGCACATGCCATCCAGAAGCACGCATCTTAGGATTCACATCCTCGGTGTTGATCCAGGCTAGCGGACCGTCGCAAGTCACACCGTTGTTATCGTATATCAGAGTTAGGTTGTCCAGTTTCAGGTGCCCGGCTAGAGAGATCGCTGCTTACCATTAGCATCAATTATACCCTAAAGTAGGCCTCGTAGGTAAGGAAGCAGACAAACTCACCCTCCAACGCGACCCCTTCCATCAAACATCCATCCCCGGTCATACACCAGACCCTCGACCGCACAACCTCAAACCCCGGCTCATTGAACGTCCACCCCAGGTTCTTGGCCGCGATCGCCAACCCAACTGCATTCGCAATCCCCTGACCTAACGGCCCTGTCGTAACCTCGACACCAGGACACTCAATTTCAGGATGTCCATGCGCAAGCGTCTCATACCCGTTCAGCTTTGCGTCCCCATACCCTTTCAGCTCCGCCATTGTCCAGGCGTCGTACCCAGTTAGGTGGTTGAGGGCATAGAGGAACATTGCGCAGTGCCCTACAGTCATCCTAATTAGCTTTCTGACATAATGACGTATAAAGATGATGACCAGGAGGGGCGAATACCGTTTGAAAGTACAAACCTATCCCTATCAAACCACTGCGGATTCGACGGGTTGTACCTCATGATGTACTTCCACAATGCGACGCCGATAGCTGCCATGCCAATGGCAGAGCCTCCGTGCCCACCGCCATTCTGGTTGCATATGTCGAAGATTAGGTTACGGAGAGTAAGTACGGCGAGTGCGTCGTCTTCTTCTATGAGCCTTGATGTTACGGGCGACATGGTGGGTAGATGGTAGTAATGATGAATATAGCAGGACAGCGTGTCTCAGTTCATAGACCGCTATTGAGCAGCTTATGATAGTGCTGAATGGAACCATTGATGTATATATATATATCTGTGCACGTGGGCATGACCACCTTGGTACTCGCTCCGGCCTCGATTCCATGCACGGAATTCCTTTCCCGAACAGCAAGGACGGTCATCCCCCTGTGTCTGAAGCAGGCTTTGCGGCGGTAATAATTGAACCTTCACATTTAAAAAGAGGATTCTATGTCGGAGAAAGAGGTGGCTGGGCTTCAACATGGAATCTGGAAAGCATGCTGGGTATAGGGTTGGAGGAGCACTATCAATAACCCTCCTTTTGCATGTTTCTCGCATTCGTATTGCAACCAGCATAGTACTCTATGCTGGTTTTGGAAGCAGGAAATTTAATTCTAATGCATGGTTGCAAGTACCTTAGGCCATGGGTCGGAAAGCGGGTATTGTTTGTAACTGACTGGTTAAATCTTTTTCTCAGAGACAAGGCAATTTGTGCTTCTCGACCTGTCTCCTTTGGTCTCTGTTTGTTTGAACATGGGTGGCATTCTAAATCTTTCGTCAAACTGGAAGGCCTTATTATTGCTGCAGTAGGATGTCATATAGCAGCCTTGATGACCAACTGCGACATTGCATCTTGAACCTATGTGTGATGAGCTTCCTTACATACGCGGCCAGTTTTTGGCGGGGGTACGGCGTCCATGATCTCAATGGCCTGAAGAGAGCAGAAGGCATAGCACCAGACCGAGATACAGTAGTGGAACCCGCTTTCAATGGCTACTTTGTCACCCGGCCTGGGGAGACTAGATTTCTGGGTGTCTTGGCCAAGTGCGACGAGCAGGTCAGCTGCTTCGTGGCCGCCGCAGGAGTTCTTTATCTTGGATTGAGCCGTTGCGGTTATAGATGTAATAGTGTACGTCTGAGTCACAGAGGCTCGTGGAGCTGATGGCGGTTTGGACTTCGTTGTTCTTCCAATTGGGCGGGTTTTGCGCCGCGAAGATAATGGCCTTTGCTAGAGGTTGCGACGAGCATTGTGGATATGTGAAATGGATGAAGTAGATAATACAACAGTATTTGATATACGTGGCAAAGGTAAGAAGTAATGAAGTGAAAGAAAGAAAGCAACTATGTAAATGGAGCGTGAAACTAATCCCGAGGCCGGTTAAATGACCACATCGCGTCTATCTATAATAACAAACCTAATGGAAGAAAGAGCGGAAATGAAAAAACACGGGATTACGCTTCCGAAGACCATTTCGTATCTATTCGGAATCTTGGAGCGTTTAAATTCAGTGCAGATGCAGCTTCGGTCGAACAGATTTGACACCGCTCTGTCTTCCCTCGTACCATTGCGAAGAACGATGGCTGAAGCCGATTCCCCGAACACGATTATCATCGGTGCCGGTCCTGGAGGCATATCCTTGGCGTACCGGCTGAGACATGAACTCGGGTTTGACGACTTCCTAGTAAGCATCCTCGGATCCGTTGCATGGGTGTCTGGCTAAGGAGGTAGATATATGATAAACTCGACGGTGTAGGAGGAACATGGAGGTGCAACACCTATCCGGGCTGGTATTCTCCTTCTGTGCTCTTTGTCTCTACTGGGATGTTAATCGTGATTCAGTGGCTGTGATCTCCCTTCACATCTATACTCCTTCAGCTTCAACCTAAATCCCAACTGGTCAAAAGAGCTCTGCGAGCAGCCAGAGATTCTACAATGTGGGTTAGCCCTAAGCCCAACAGTCTACCAGAGCTAAGCTTCGTCTCTGACATCCGCTTAGACATCGAAGACACAGTCGACAAATTCGATCTCCGCAAGCATGTCATTCCCTCTGTTGAATGCACAGGCGCAGTATGGGACGAGAAGAGCGAAAAATGGACAGTCTATTTCCGCGACGTGAAAACGGATCTCAAGTTCGTGCGCTATGCTAGTATCTTTGTTTCGGCCGTCGGGGCCATCTCTTTGCCCCGCGAAATTCACTTCAAGGGTATGGAGCAGTTCAGGGGCCCCATCATTCATACAGCACGGTGGGATCACTCGGTCGACTATAATGGAAAGCGCGTGGTATGTCGCTCACATGGATCTATTCCATAGAAATGAAGCTGCTATTACCAACTAACTCGTCTAGGCGGTCATTGGCAACGGCTGCAGCGCAGCACAAGTCGTCCCAGCCCTAGCTGAAAAAGCCGCCTTCGTGCAGCAATATGCCCGCAGTGCGCAATGGTACCACCCACGGGTATGCCTGTCTTCCAAACGCGTTCCATGCCCGGAGCTAACACAATATAGCCAAACCACCAGTTCACTGTAGCCGAGAAATGGGCCTTCCGCTGGATCCCCCTCTGGCAGCGCTGGCTGCGTCTCCAGATTTTCATGAAAGCAGAGAAAGAATCGAATACGTACTTTCCTACACCCGAAGGCGTTACTGCTCGGTTGGCCGCCGAGGCCGAATCGAAGGAGTATATTTTAAGTCGCACGCCAGAGAAGTACTGGCAGTTTATTGTGCCAAATTTTCCTCTTGGTATGCAATACCTTCCCCTTGTAGTTAAGCGCAAGAGGTAGTTGACTTGAATATGGAAATAGGTTGCAAGCGCCGCATTTTTGACCCGGATTACTTGGACAGCCTGCATAAATCCAGTGTCGTGCTACGGAACGAGGGGATCCAGGAGTTCACAGAGAATGGTATCATTGGTTCCTCCGGGGTCGAGGATGCATTCGACATTGTAGTCCTTGCCACAGGTTTCCAAGTCTCGCAGTTCCTTGCGCCCATGGAAATCAAGGGCAAGGGAGGGATCTCCCTGAATCAGCAGTGGGAAGAGTCTCGCGGCGCGCAGGCTTACTTTGGTACTTATGTGCATAATTTTCCGAATATGGCGATTATGTGCGTCAAGCCCTCTTACCTTTTAACTATCAAGAAGCGAATGGTCACTAATTCTTATCTACAGCTTCGGACCCAACAGCTTCCCTGCAAATAACTCGGCCCTTTTCGCCTGCGAAACTCAGGTCGTCTTCGCAGTAAAATCCCTGTTCGTCCCCATCCTCGACCGCCGAACCGGCATTGTGGAGGTAAAGCAATCTGCTGAAGAAAAGCACACGAATCTAACCCACCAGCGGCTGAAGGATACTGTTTTCTCGGGCGACTGCTCAAACTGGTATATCGGCAAACACGGGCGCAATGCCGCCTCTTGGCCTGCAAAGGCCGCGAAGTTCTGGTTCGAAACTTATTTCCCAGACTGGAGCGCGTTTATCTGGAAGGGCGGTACCATTTTCTGGCCTGTGCATCGGGTTAAGAGGTGGCTGAAGATGAATCGCGGAGCGTGGGGTTTTTTGGCGCTTCTGGGGGTGTTTTATATAAAGTGTGTCCGGAATGCGGCTGTTGCTGATGCGCTCAGAGCCGGGCTGCGAGGTCTCCGCACTCAGGTAGTCCAGTTTATTAGATAGTGGAACTGGGTGTCGATTGACGATTGTATTCCTTCTTCCTGTGGAATAACCTGAGGGATTGCCGGAACTCATATTCCTGGGGACTTGTATCCCGGTATCTAGGGTTTCTCCAGTCTCAACCATATAAGTATGACCGCAAGTATCTCCATGCAGTCTGTTCTTGAGGTGATATCGCCCAGTCGGTTTGCATTGCATCTTCATCAATATGTCTTCCTACACCGAAACAATCCAGAAACTGAGCCAGTCGGGCCTCTTCATTCAGAATTCGGCCTTCATCGATGGCAGGTGGTTGGAAACGGAGACAACGTTCGACGTCTACGGTACATCTTCTCTAATATCCCTTCTAACCTCGATCACCATCTAACAGAGACACTAGATCCCTCCACCGGGCAAGTCCTAGGCACAGCGGCAAACAGTAACATGGAAAACATGCAAACCGCCATACAAAGCGCCCAAACCGCACAGCAAGAATATTTCACCTCAACAACGGCCGCAGCCCGCGGCGCACTCCTCCAGAAATGGCATGATCTTGTCATGGCTAACATCGACAATTGTACTTTTCCCCAATTTCGCCTGTCTTGGAACAAGACGCGTCTGCTAAACCAAGCCAGTGGCAACCCTCCTCTGCCTCGAGAACGGCAAAACCCTTGTTGAGTCCCACACGGAGATCGCTTACGCCGCTTCCTTCATCTCCTGGTTTGCCGCTGAGGCACCCCGCGCCTACGGCGACACTATCCCGTCCTCAACAATGAATACAGTGATAATGACACTGAAAGAACCCGTCGGCGTCTGTGGGATAATCACGCCCTGGAACTTCCCCGCGGCAATGATAACACGGAAGATTGCGCCCGCGCTTGGTGCGGGATGTGCGGTTGTTGTCAAGCCACCCTCTGAAACACCCTTTACGGCGCTTGCGTTGGCGAAGTTAGCCGTTCAGGCTGGGTTTCCTGGAAGAGTGGTGCAAGTTATCCCGACGAAAGACCGCAGCGTGGCGAGCGAGGTTGCGGTGAATCCGCTGATCAGAAAAATAAGCTTCACAGGTTCAACCAGGGTTGGGAAGGCGCTTGCGAAGTTGGCCGCTGGGTCGCTTAAGAAAGTAAGCCTTGAACTGGGGGGCAACGCGCCATTTATTGTCTTTGAAGACGCGGACCTGGACCTTGCGGTTGAAGGCGCGATGATGAGTAAGTTCCGATGTTCGGGACAGACTTGTGTTTGTACGAACCGCATTTATGTGGCACGGCCTATTGTGGAGGAGTTTACAAGGAGGCTTGTGCAGCGGGTTCAGGAGTTGAAGTGTGGTCCTGGGTTAGAGGGGAGCTCAACGCAGGGACCGTTGATCAATGCTGCAGCTGTTGAAAAGGTAAAAGAGCATATCGCAGATGCAGTGAGTAAAGATGCGGAGGTCAGGACGGGGGGAGTCGTTCCTGAGGAGCTTGGGAATGGGTTCTTCATTCAGCCCACAGTGATCTCGGGAGCAACGGCAGATATGGCTGTTGCAAGGGAGGAGACATTCGGACCATTAGCGCCTATTTTTGAGTTTGACAGCGAGGAGGAGGTGGTGAAGCTAGCGAACGAGACGGAGTTTGGGCTGGCAGGTTACTTCTACTCGAGGGATGTTGCAAGGGTGTTGCGAGTTGCGCAGAAACTCCAGGTGGGCATGTGTGGTGTGAATACAGGGAAGATTAGTGCTGCTGAGGCACCGTTTGGAGGGATCAAGGAAAGTGGATATGGGCTGGAGGGGAGCAAGTATGGGATGGCCGAGTATCAAACGATTAAGACAGTGACTATTGGAAATGTCATGATCTAGACGAGAAGGGTAACCAGCCGGGATCCACTTCCCGGGCTGAACGTATCATCCATTCAATAAATAAAGGCAATCGAACAAGAAGGCATTCGAGAAGTAACTAACTCTACTGCAAAAAGTTCTCAACAAAATCATCATGTCTTCCAAACTCAACATTGGCGTCGTTGGCATCGGCCGAATGGGCCAGCGCCACGCCCTGAATCTCCTCCATCGTGTCCCCAGAGCGCGTCTCCTCTGCGTGTGCTCCCCGGCACCACATGAAATTGAATGGGCAGAGCAACAGCTTAAGCCCGAGGGTGTACAAGTCTTCACAGACTTCCAGGATATGATTCGCACTCCCAATCTCCAGGCCGTGGTGATTGCCTCCCCAACAAATTTGCATATCATGCATACACTAGCCGCCATGGAGCGGGGCATCCATGTCCTCTGCGAAAAGCCGATCACAACCGACATCACTGAGGTACATTATTCTCATTCCCAAATAACCATGCTATACCATTAACTCGCACAGCTGCAATCTGTCATCGAGACAACTAAGAAGACCCTCGCCGCCAGGTTAATGGTCGCCTTCGTCCGTCGGTTCGACAAAAACTACGCCGACGCCCGCAGAAAGATCGAGGCCGGGGTCATCGGCAGACCACTCATTATCCGCTCGCAGGGCACCGAAAAACTCGATAAATCCGGGTATTTCATCAACTATGCCCGGGTGAGCGGTGGTATCTTTGTGGACACTGTCATCCATGACATAGACCTGACATTATCCTTCTTCGGGGACGAGGTCATCCCCAAATCCTGCTATGGGACGGGGTTGATTTCCCACCACCACGAGATGACAGAATTTAACGATGTTGATAATGCCGTGGGTGTTGTTGAATTCTGGGATGGTCGGATTGCGTATTATTATCATTCACGAACGACACTGCACGGATATGACAACTGTACGGAGATCGTCGGGACTGATGGCAAGATTGGGATAAATCTGATCCCGACAATGAATAAGGTGCAGGTCTCGGGCCCAAATGGGATTGTATCAGAGGCGCTTCCGAGCTGGATGGATCAGTATGAGGAGGCGTTTGTAACAGAGTTAGATGTCTTCGTGGAGGCGATCCTCGATGGAAAAGAGTTTCCCTTGAAGATTGAGGCCGCATTAACGGGGTTGAGAATTGCACAGGCGTTGCAGGAGAGCCTCGTCTCGGGGAAGAAGATTGAATTCAATGAGAGCGGGGAGAGGAAATGAACAGATATATTCAACTCTATATAATTTATAGAATAGACTTGAAAGTACCAGAAGTAACGCTCATTCCCCCGTCAACTACCAAATCTAAGCCACTAACGTATGCCGACCCTTCACCGAGCAAATACAACGCAGCCATCTTCAGATCCTCCGGTCGTCCCATCCTTCCCATTGGCGGTGCCTCGTTAAAAATCCGATGGAGATCTGGACGGCGTGCTGCGATACTCAGATTCATCGCCGTGGCGATATAGCTGCCAAGGTTAGCAGACCTCTCAAAAATAAATACCATCGAGGGAGAGTGTGTACCCTGGGGAAATAGTATTAACCCTAATTCCATCAGAAGCAAGTTCATGTGCTAGATTCCGCGCGAATGACCAGACGAAGCCCTTGCTTCCGGCGTACGCGGTGAGCTGGTGGCCCGGTGAGACATGCTGTGCTGTCTGGGAGCAGATCATGACAATACTGCCCTTTGTGCCCTGTTCCTTCATCTTTCGGACCGTCTGCTGGATTGCAAAGAACGTTCCAGTTTCCTGTTTTTCCGTCAGCATCACCACTTCTCTTTAATCCTGTCGAGGGCGTTTGAGAGGTACATTAACGGCCTGTTGCCGCTGGATATCCTCCCAAGTGTGCTCGAGGAAGGGCTTGTCGATGCATATTCCTGCTGCAGTAATACTGGAGCATGTGTTAACATTACTGGTTAGAATGGCCATATGGTAGCAACTAACATCCCATCCACTCCTTGATGATTATGGAATATCTGGTCAAACGCATGCACTAGCTGTTCTCTGCTTGTAACATCGCAACTGTCATCTCTGTCAAAGGGAATATTCTCCTGTTTGGACCATCCCCCTTACGGATAGTAGTGCAAACGGCCGGGCATCTCTGCCTGGAGATATATGAACTCCTGGTCAGGCTGCGGGACGATATCAGTAACTGCAACCACCGCACCAGCTTCCATGCATGCTTCGGCGAGAGTTAGACCAATTCCACGGGCCCCACCTTCAACAGACTGTCAGCTGCATCTGCACATCAATCGCGGTGTAGATGTTCCCAATAGGCAAGATGGAGAAGGGTTCATACCCGTAACTATGATAACACGGCCGGCGAGGCTCAAGAGGGAGTTGATCGTTTCAGACATGGTGTTTTACAGTGGGATGGAAAAGTGACCCGTTTGGCAGGATGGACTTTCTTGCCTTCCAGCTCGGCAAAGTCATCCAAGTATAATATAACGGCAGTCCGATTCCGAACTGGTCGCACTTGTGGTGTAGCGGATATCGGATCCCGTATTGAATCCCGCAGCACGAGATTCATTTTCCAATTTTGTGCCGGAACTGCACCAGATTGTTAGCCAAAAGGTGAAGATCCTGGGCAGTCTGAATTGCGTTATCTAGATTGGCGTGGTTGTTGACCCCATGGGGAAGAGTTAGTGTTGCTAAAGTATAAAAGCCATGGCTTGAGCCTAGTCCGCAGGGTCTCTGCCCCGGGATTTCATCATCGATCTCATATAGTGTCTGCCCACATATCGGCTATTTTTCTTCTTATTATCTGCTAATATGGGACTTCGGAGTCTCCAGGGGAACCGCCTCACCGCGGGTGTGACCTTTGCCACCGGCAGTGGCTTCCTCTTGTTTGGCTACGATCAAGGCGTGTTTGGCGGCTTGATTGAGAACCGCAGTTTCCAGGAGACTTTTGATTATCCCAGTTCTATGATGATTGGCCATATCACGGCCACGTATGACCTCGGGTGCTTCCTCGGGGCTATCGCCTGCATGGCCTTGGGAGATTACTTTGGCCGTCGCCTTTCTATTACCCTAGGCTGCTTCATCCTGACTGTAGGAGCTGTCCTACAGGCATCCTCATACCACTCCGCCCAGATGATCGTTGGCCGCTTCGTCGCAGGCGTAGGTAATGGAATCAACACCACCTCAATTCCCGTCTGGCAATCGGAAATGTCCAAGCCTCGCCATCGCGGCCGTCTCATTGTCCTTCAACTCGCTCTCAACCAGCTCGGCAACGTAACAGCCCAGTGGCTCAACTTTGGTCTCGGCTTCATCGACCATAGCAGCGTCTCCTGGCGCTTCCCCCTAGCCTTCCAAATCTTCTACGCCCTCCTTGCAGCGTCCGCCACACCCTGGCTCCCCGATTCTCCTCGTTGGCTCATTCAACGTAACCGCGAGCCCGAAGCTCGCGTCGTCCTCGCCCGTCTTTACAACAAGGCCTCGACTCCCGACGATCCAGAAATCACAGCTCTCCACGAGGCCTCCGTCCGCTCTGTCCACCATGAACTCGAGCTCACCGCCGCTATCAACTGGCGCGTCCTCTTCCGCAAAGACCGGCTTCATACTACCCGCCGCATCCTCCTCGGTGCAGGGACGCAGTTTATGCAGCAGTGGGGCGGCATTAATGTCATAAACTACTACCTCCCTGTCGTTTTTGCCTCTCTCAACGTCTCCCGCACCCTTTCACTCGTCCTTTCATGTTGCAACTCCATGAATCTTATGTTCTCAACCTGCGGAGGCGCCGTCTTTATCGATTCCATCGGGCGAAAAAATCTCATGCTCGCCGGCGCCCTGTTCCAGGGCATCTGTTTCGCCTTCGTTGGTGGGTCCCTTGGTGCACATACAGACCAGTGGTCGAAGGTCGCGATTGCCTTCGTCTTTATGTTCTTCACTGTCTTCGGACTAACCTGGATTGCCGTGCCTTGGATGTACCCGGCCGAAGTAAACACGCAGCAATGGCGGAATCGGGGCGCGGGGATCGCGACAGCGACGAATTGGATCTGTAATTATGCCGTTGTGTTGGCGACACCCGTGGGAATTGAGAAGATTGCGTGGCGGTATTATCTGATCTATGCAGCATTGAATATTTTGTTCATACCGATTGTGTGGGTGTTCTATGTCGAGACCGGGGGGCTTTCTTTGGAAGAGGTGGATGAGGTCTTTGAGAAGATGGGATCTTCGTCTGGGATAGATAGTGGGACGGAACTTTCCTCAGTGGTCAGGGCTGTCGATGGACAGGTGGAAAAAGATGGTGCATTGAGCGAGTGGGTTGAGCATGTCCGAGCCTAATACGGAGCACGATGCTCCCTAGTAGATCTCCGCCGCTATAGTCTGTACATGGATATCATTTGAATAACTTCAGATACATAAGATACCTAAATCTTCGGAATCAACTGCGCCTCGGCCATCCTATCAAACACAATCTTGTACCCCTGCACCGTATCAATTCTCTCTTCAAACCCGACTCCCCTCGCCTTCTCCAGCGAATATTCACGGTCGAAATCAAAATCAACCAACATAAAATGCGTATGCCCCCAATTCTGCTTCTCCACTGTTCCCTCCTTCAATCCATACTTCTCAACGAGCCTTTGCCACTCTTTCATATGCCCTTGCACAAACTCCTCCATACTTTCCTTCTTTTCCTTCACTTCCTCAGGCTCAACACCCATAAGACCAAAATACTCGCAGATCCCCGGCCAAACACCCGCCCAGGTAACAGCCTCCCCATCCGCAACATTGAACACACTCCCATTTCCACACTTATCGCGGTTCACCGCGGCATATATCTCCATCTTACTTAATAGATCCTGAAACGTATCTGAGTGCTTTGAATAATACCCACGCTTGTTTCCAGGGAATGGAACCTTCGTACCCTCCCCAAACACCTCCCTGTATATCGAAAGGTAAAATGCAATCCCATGCGCCATATTCATCGCGTTACTCCCCGGCGCAAACCCCACGATTCCATCGGGGCGGATGTCCGAGAACGTCCAGGTACATCCGGCCTCCTGGGTCATTTTGTCGAGCAGATCATACTGGTCATAGTAGAAGATCTTACTCCGATACGGCTCTGGAATTCGGGGGAGATCTTCGTGGAGCGGAGTCTTTATGGGGACGTTATCCGGGAATTCGAGACCGTACCCCTTTCCGCCTGTTTGGAGGATTATAGTCGACACTTTCTTGGAGGCAGTGGTTATAGCTTGCACGGCAGTTTTCAGGAGTGCAGTATTGACTTCGCGAAGGGAGGCGTGGTCGTTCGTTTGAATGTATGCTGTTTTCCGCGTTAATCTCACCAAAACTCCACGATATGGATCAGTGAAGAGGGGAGGGAGAAAAGTACCACAGAAGAAAACAATATCCACCTCTTCAACACTGGGTACTTTCTTCTTGAGTTCTGATACGACTCTTTCGTGGGGCGCGGTCAGGTCGATACCCGAGACGATGTTGAGGCGGGGGTCGTCGGGGAGCATCAAGCTCTGTTTGTCAGCGGGCCGATTGCAGAGCCCTGTGATATGGGCGAAGGTCGAAGGGGTTGGGTAGGAGAGGCATTGCTTCATTAAGGACCAGCCCGAGATACCGGAGGCGCCGAAGATGAGGGCGTGCTTTCCTTGTGCGGTCATTTCGCTTACTTCTGAAACAAGCAGATGGTATAAGTGAGTTGTAGATCAATGAGAATTTATCAGGTCGGTAACAAGTTATAAAATAGCTTAAGCTGCTTTTAAGTAGTTGGGTTTGCGCCAAACGGAGTGGCGTCGATGCCGGGATTCATTTCGCGGCTTTATAAGCAGTTTCGGAATTCTCTTCATATCATGAATTTTCATCGCGTAACTGCCGGGATGCCCTTGCGGCTTTAGGCTGCATCGTCCCTCTCAGCTGAGGTCTCCCGCAATCTCATCACTCAAAATGGGTGGCAACTCATCACCAGTGCGGAAGAAATGAGTGCAGTGCTTCAGGACAGATAACGCATCCCCATGCTTGGCCCCCAGTATCCAGTAGAAGGTGCAGTCTGCGTGATCAGCTGTTTACAATATTTCCTGCCTGAAGTGTGTACAAAGAGATTCTGGGGAAGACATGTTTCGCCTAAGAGAGTATCTTATTGTAACGAAATGTGGTGGGAGTGCACGCATCTTTCCTCTCGTGCTGGTACGGCCGCAGACATGGGTGTGTACGCCGGAAGTCACTGCCCCCCAAAGATGGCCTTGAAGCCCCAATCTACCTGACAACAACTCTTTAATAGCACGACCTCAGGCAAGGTACGAACGACCAGCTCTATGTAGTCGCACGGGCAGAAAATAAATTACCGCCATCGCAGCAACATCTAAGAAGTTCAACAGCTGCGCAGATTTCTAGGTGGCCAGCAGCATCCTTCACTGCAAGAACTGCTTAGCGTGGAGATGATGCTAATGATACTGCCCCAGGAATTATCGCAACTGGTCTTTGAGTAGGTATGAAAAGATATGCATGGCTATTTATTAAAACTAATCTGCCAAAGCTCTTAAAGGCGGACCTGTGGATGCTCTATAATGCCTCAAGTGAATTGCAGAACTGTATTGCTAGGCCACTTTTCAGCGAAACAGAATTGCGTCTTGTATTGTTTCTTCCATATAAAGTAAATGGAAGAATGGTCCCAGCGAGAAGGATATTCTGGATCCTGAAAGATCGCTCATTCAATATCCGAGAGTTACTCATCATCCGAAATAATGAGATAATACGGGCACAGCTCACAAAACCTTCCCTTGGATGATGGGTCGTTATGGGATACCCACATCTTAACCATGGATACCCCATAGGTGGGTCAGGCACCTAGAAATAATGTATCCACAGAGCTAAGCCAAATAGGTAGATGGCACACCGTCACGTTTCCCGCCGTTAAACAGGTTGCATGGCCGCCACACTGATCATTTTCCATCTGCTCCAATCCACCTCCCCAGTTGCTAAATATGCATGGGCATGATATCTTCAGAAAGCCACGATATTATGGCCCGCGCAGTTCACTTTAAAGAAGCTAAGAACGCTGCCACGTCCCTCGCAGAGTGCTTTGCGGATGATCGAATAGCCCGGTACTACCTCCAGGTATCTGATTACAATCGCCCACTTACACCAGAAGAGGAGAAATTGAATCTTCGCATATACAAATGCCTCACCGCTGCCCATTGTTATGATGGCCTTGTCATTACTGCCGGCCCGTGCTATGACTCTGTTGGTCTTTGGCTGCCACCTGGTTGCGACTGGACCTGGAAAACATACTGGAGGAGTGGTTTATGGCTGCTCTGGCTGCGACTTGGAAGGGAAGGCAGAGCGAGATTCTTTGGTTCGTGGGATACACTGGAAAAGAGCATGACCAGTACAATGGGGACGCGAGCTTCCGTCACTTGGGTATTGACCGACTTGGGTACGAGAGAACCTTCCCGAGGCAAGGGCTATGCCACTAAAGTGATGGAGTATGGACTTGCCTTGGTGCGTATCTATCCATCCTCGTAGTAGTGTTACCAAGCGGATCCAGTCACCTCCCGGTAATATGCGCTATTCATGGCCAACATATATCTAATGACCGCTTAGGCTGACGCCCAATGTCAACCCACATACTTGGAATGCTTTGACTATAACGTTTCGTTTTATGAGAAGTTCGGCTTCCGGAAGAAGGGTGCATTCTCATTCGATCATGATCTGGAACCAATCGTCCTACAGACGATGGTTAGGGAGCCAAGGTCGTCCTCGTTCTGAAGTATCTAAAGTGGCCTAGTGGTCCCAAATAGCATTGAAGAATTAGGACGACAGAAGATAAACTTTATATCCACTCTTTGCTCCGAAAAAGCACTCTCAACTCCTGATTCAAGTCGCAGCTTCCATTCGTGAGGCATCTCTGCGCCCGAAGACCAGACGACAACTTCTAAGCCACGCAGCACAGTTAAGGCAGTCTGCACCGTTAGATCTGATGATATTGACGTTCCATACGTTATGACCCTTCAATCGGTGGCTTCAGGCACCAAGGCTACGCCTAGAGGTATCCTTCAAGGTACTAGTTCCTGGGATATGCAATGTACCTACACGGAACTGTGGAGCCCTTGGATGTACTGAGTTTGGGACATTTGTTGGCATCTGAGATGAGTCTTGAAAAGGTTCAAACCTAAGCCGAGCAACCTTGGTTGGTTTTGCAAGCCTGTTATAACTCGTGTTTTCTCCACATTCTCTACAATGTTGCAGAATCTTGGCACAAAATCTATTCTCACCAGATAATGCAAGTGTGACTATTCACTATGTTTGATATCATAGGCATTTGCCTGCAATTTATCAACCAATTTTCTCCAAACATTTTTTCGATGATAATGTCATGGACTGTAACCAAGCCATCTATAACCAGCATTGCCTGTAGATTGTTTCCCAGACTCCGGATTCTACCGCTGACAGGAGAAGCCTCTGCACTGGCCAGGGGGCCGTCGCTGCGGTCATGACATCTTCTCCCTTCCAAAGTGTCAAACAGTAGTTCATTGATCTGTCTCATGAGGAACTTGGAACATATATGCATGATGGCGGTTCTGTAGCAAGTTCCCGACATAACATGAAATCGGTCCACGAAAGTAAAAAATAGGCGAGATGAGAAGACATGAGTTTTTTGTATTTGACTGACTCTTTAAAGATAAGTGCTTTAGTCTACCAGTTCTAGCACATACGACCATAGGGTGTGGAAAACAGGGCTTCCCGTCCGCTCAGCCGTACTTAAGCCACACGCCGGCCGGTTAGTAGTTGGGTGGGTGACCACCAGCGAATCCCGGCTGTTGTATGTTTTTTGCTCACCTGTTTTGCTTCAGTTATGCCATTGCTGCCTGGTCTTCACGCTCTTCACCCTGAACAGCCTGAACCCCTCTAAATTTCACCCATTTTGCCCGCACGGTCCGTGAAGTGCTGACGTGTCCCTACCATATCCCTTGTCTAAGTTAATGCAATCGCGCCCTCTAAGTGATGCGTCAACATAAAGGTCCTGTGCAAGGTCATAAATATAGTATAGATCCCCCAATCTAGCTACAGTATGTCCGAAAGGCCCCCAGAATTGGTATTCTGTATTCCTCATGAATTATTCTTGCCTTGACAAGGTGATAGACTTAGGAGGTGGAGGCCTAGCTCTTCTGCTTTGTGGAGCAGTTACTTAGTCTGCATCCCCTCAGTCATTTATGAACCCTCAATACCTCCATCTGACGCCAGTCCAGACAATTCATGATCAAGAATCTGTGTGGTTGGCTGTGCAAATATACACAAGGAACATGCATTCGACATTCATTCAGAGGCAGGCATGGAAAAAGGGATGTCTACTTGATAGGATGGCACACCTACTTGATTCCGCGCTACTACAGACTCCGGCACTCAGCTGAAAGTCAAACGCCGTAGATATGGGTTTCAGGAAGGTAATCCAAGCTTATCCCGTATGTACCCCTATTCTAAGGAAACAGCAAGGTTCTAATGTGTGACTGAATACTTAAGTGGTTTCAGGTTATCAGTGTAGGGTCGGCACCGGCTTACAGTATACAAGTATAAATAGTATCTGCATTCCTGCGGATAGAGGTTATATAGTATCGCTGACAGTCCTGCAAGTATCGCTGCGAACTTCCTTGTCAATTCCACTAGGAGAAGATAGAAACAATCCCTACCTCGTCAATTTCAAATCCCTGGGCCTGGTAAGATAAGATTACGTGCCAAGGACAGAATGTCAGACTTTGAAGAGGTCCGCACGGACGACTACCCCCAGCTCAGTCGTCCATTTGAGTCGATAAAACCAGACTACGACGTCGTGGTTGTCGGATCTGGTTATGGAGCTGGCGTTGCGGCAAGCCGAATGGCTCGGGCTGGGAAGAGTATCGCAGTGCTAGAGCTGGGCTGGGAAAGAAGATGTATGCATGTTCACCTACATTGCTTTCCCGTTCGGATGACGTATCACTATTAGTTCGCGCTAACTCCTCGCAGCCGGTTCTTTTCCTCATACTCTCTTCCAGTGCCTGGGGGATTTGAACATTTCTGAAACCTCTGCGAAGAATTCCAATGTTTCAAGATGGCTCTCGTCTGGGAAACCGACGCGGCTCTTCCAACAGGTGCTCGGCGATGGACAGCATGCTTTCGTTGCTCATGGTAGTTTAGACCCTGCTTGTCACATATCTCAAGTTGATTTTGACTGGAATATAGGACTCGGAGGATGTTCACTCATCAATGCCGGAGTCTTCCTTGAAGCTGACGAAAGAACACTACAAATGAGTCCATGGCCGCCAGAAATCAGAAACCACCCTTCAGCGCTCCGAACCTGTGAGTCTCCTTCCAGCAAATACCGCGGAATGTGCCCAGTAACCGGTTCGATCAGACTACTCACGCGCGGCAACTATGCTGCAACCCTCCGCATATCCAGAGGATCATCCACGCCTGAACAAGTTAGGGCATCTTCGAGAGCAGTCAAGATGGCTGGGCAAAGGACAGAGTTTCTATCGAGTGCCGCTAACTACGTTCTTTCACGGCGGCCGCAACAACGCGGGCGTTGCGATGCAGGCAAATAGCGGCTCCGGTCACGAGTGCACCGGTCTTAACGATGGGTCGAAAACTCGGTGGCCACTACCTATCTTGCGGATGCATGGAACTGGGGCGCGGAGATCTTTTGCGGGTGTGAGGTGCTATTTGTAGAAAAGGCACCCGGAAAGGGTTACATTGTATACTTTGCCTGGCACGGAAGCGGGAGGTCGGTGTTCAACGAGGATTTCAAGGAGCAGCTTTTCTGGGTTAAAGCCGTAAGCTATAGTCTTGCTGATCCGTCAGGCTCTATACTACGGGACTGACTCTCCAAATGTTCCAGAATGAACTATGCTTCCTTGCAGCAGGTGCTTTAAGCACTACCGAAATTCTGCTCCGCTCGAAGGAGCGCGGCATGCAGATGTCTCTGCTAGTTGGAAGGAATCTATCCGGCAATGGAGACCTCTTGATGTTCGGTGAGTCTCCGCTAATCAAGCACACGTGCGTGTCTGATACAAGTAGGCTACAACAGCAGCGCCAATATCAATGGAATTGCTCAATCGTCAAGCGCTCGAAGCCGGCCCGGGCCAACAATCACCGGCGCGATCGATAACCGAGCGTCGCATAACCCTCTCGCTGGATACATCATCCAAGATGGCTGCATCCCTGAATGGTTGAATCCCATTATCCAGATCATGCTCATCTCGCAGACTATCGGGAAGCATTCACTTCAGCTTGGGAAGACCATCGCCGCGCTGCAATCTCTCCTCCTAGGCCCGTATGCCCATGGCGGGGCTATCCAGCGCACCTCAACGTATCTTGTCATGTCGCACGATAGCAATGAGATAACCTTGACCTTGAAAAACGGTCAGCCGTACCTGCGAGCACCCGCAGAAGGCAGATCTGCCCACTTCAAGTGGATCAAGGCCATACTGAGTGAAGTGTTGGGCCGCTCGGGAGAAAATATCGGGTTTTCATACTTCTATGGTAACGCCTCACTGCACTCTTCACAGACGGGGCTAATCGATTATAGGCCGCCATCAAGAGGAAGTTACGGTTCATCTGCTTGGGGGAGCCAACATGAGTCGCGACGGCACAGAAAGGGAAGGTGTATCTAATCACCTTGGACAGGTCTTTACTGGACATGGAAGCGAGGTACATGAGGTTCTACTATGCTGCGATGCTTCGATTATCCCGACTGCGTTGGGTAGGTTATACAGCTTTGATGGGCTGGCTCGTGCTGATAGGCTAGGTGTCAACCCCCTCGCGACGATATCTGCTCTTGCAGAGCGATCTCTCAGCTTGATCACTGAGAACTCTGGATTATCGATTGACCTGGAGACTAAAAATGGTAGTCTGGATGCTTGCACCAAGCCAAAAGTATCACGTTCCCGACCATCAGCTGAATAATGTGAATGGCAGCAATGAAACATCACAACCTATCAGATGGCAGTTTACGGAGCTTCTATGGGGCCATATTTCTGTTGAGCCAAACGTTAAGAGCTTTGCACTTTCTGAAATGGCAGGGAAGGGCTCATCCTGTGCGTTGCAAATGTTTCTTACGGTGGAAATCTGTAAGAGGTCAAAGGTTAAGTGACCTGATACCACAAAGAAGGAGTGCTTATGTTCTCAGATATTTGAGGATCGCGGTATGAAGGCATTTGCACTGGCACAGTGTCCTGCTTTGCATTGTCTAGAGCTACCTTCAAAGTTCTGAGTGGCATGGTGGACTTTTTCACACAAGTGGAAGCGAGCGCAGAGTTGACAGCTATTTTATACCACCTGCAGCTCATCTTGGTAGAGGGCACGCAGTATCTCCTGGAGGGACGCAAAGACATTGACTTGAACATAGCCTTTTTGATCAGAAAGACTTGGGAAGCCACAACTATGGTGAATGTTAGTATCGCTCGACTGGACGGGATGAAGGTTGGAGCCGGTGCGCTTCACATCTCATTGCCTCACTTCCAAAAGCAGATGAGGACGTTTCGGATGATGAAAAATTTCAATGTTGGTCTTCTCCTATCTCTGATGGCCTTCTTGATCTCTTTTATGTACCATCTCAGCATGTTCTTCTTCTGTCCCTTTGTGCCAGTGTGGTTCCCCCACACCGCATATACCTCTGATTTGAAATCCCTTCCCTCAAGCTCCTGCAAAGTCATTGCGAGTGATGGTGTACAGATGCTGCTTGAAATATACGACCCGCTCTCTCCGCTGGAACCCCTGCATCCGGACTCAAAGCACCCACCAGTCCTGTTTCTCCCCGGAGTCACAGGCATAGGCGCCATCCATAGCCTGTACGCGCTGCCATACCTGAGCCGCAACATGGTCGACTATTTCACAGCGCGCGGGCACCGCTGCTACGCACTTGTTCCCCGCTGGGGCTGTGACGCAGCCACGGCAGAGGAGTCCACCGTGTTCGACTGCCGACTTGACGTGGCCGCCGCATTAGAGCACATTAAGACCAGAGAGCAGCAAAAACCCTATGTCATGGCCCATTGTCAAGGATCCGTGGCCCTCGGCATGGGATTGCTGGACGGGACCATCGCAAGCAGCCAAGTCCTCGGCATCACTGCGAACTCCGTGTTCATGAACCAGGTCGTCGGCTACTGGAACTCCCTGAAAGGACGGACCACTCTGCTGATCCGTCTCTACGAGCTGCTTGCGGGGACCTTCTTCCCGGTTGCGAGCAGCGATAGAGACAGCGCTTTTCAAAGACTGCTGGACGCGCTCCTGCGCTTCTATCCGTTTGCACATCGACGGGATGTCTGTACTTCCACAGCCTGCCGCTGCACGTCGTTTGCGTTCGGTTTGCTCTGGAACCTTGATAATCTTGATGTGCATCTCCATGAAAACGTCCATGAGTTCTTCGCGGGCACCTATACCAAATTGCTGAAACATGTCGTGCGCATGGGAACCCGGGGCTTCTGTTTGGATAATCAGCTACGTCCCCTTCTGACGGCCGATAATGTTTAGAGGCTACAAGGCGTACCGATTCTGTTTATCTCGGGCACGGAGAACGAGGTCTTCAATCCGGAGTTCCAATAGACAACAATCCATCGCTTCACAAACTCGAGAAAACTGACGTTAGGATTCCAAATCTGCCCCACGTGTCTTTCTTCTGCCTTGCAGTGGTCATTACTCAGGATAAGAATGTGCGTCCACTACGTGAGCGAAGATCAAAGAGCGCGAGGGTTTCTCGTGTTCCAACGTCTTCAACGTTTTTACAAAACATTTGCGCTTCTCAATGGTTTCATCAGCGTCGCTGGCGCCACTGCACTTTCGATGGAAGAATTCCACCCTACAAGCTCCAGCCTCGCATCTACTTCTGAAGGCCTACTCTGCAGCTCTATTATTACTGCTGTCATGTCCGCTGTTATATGCATTATGTTGCTTTTCTGATTTGATGGGGCGGAAAAGGTGACTTAAGGCGAGCTACTATTAGCCTGCGTGCCGCTAATTTTACTTGATATTTCCGTAATAGAGTTCCTTGTCGGGCTGGTTTGCTGGTATTTAGACAGAAACGCGTCCTGGAGGGGACTTCTTCTGGGCATTCAGTTTGTGGCGCTCACAGCATTCTGCATTGTCATATCCTTTTCCATATGGTCATTGTTGATTACAAAGGGTGGCCTGGGTAAAGAGGAAATGGAAGCTGCTTCGAAAAAAAGCGCAGCCCAGAGTCCAGAGCGGCAGAATATGGGACAGGCGTTGGTGCTGTAGAAAAATATATGGGTCCTGTCCCGTCTATCCTGACAGAGATCAATTGTCACTAGACAATGACAGAGCTTGAATGTTCTGACTTTTGAGGGTCTCATTCCCTCATGATTTATTACAGTACCCCTAGTAGGAAGATTGTATCATGAAGTTCAGTTTGGCGTGCATTATGCATATTATTTGGAGTTGGGGACGGTGAATTTCAATATAGCTGTTGTTGGCTTGTCAAGCAACGCTGTGGCTGCTATACTGTCTACTGGAAGTATATGGCACTACATAACAAGTAAGTTTCGCTGCCCCTGATAAACTTCGTTATTTGGCGGTTTGAAACTCGACTAAGGACGGCGAAGTCCTTGGGGTTGTGAAAATGCACCTTCGCGGCTTCACTATTGGCCTTGGCAATCCAGCCAGAGAGATAGAGGGCAAGCCAATGGTATGGGAGAGATTGGAACGGCCAGAGAAGTATGGCCACAAAGTATACCATCTTGATTTTGGAACTGGCGCACAGAGGACGACGTCCCCATACCGAAAATCATATAGTGTACTACGGAGGCTGAAGAGTATGGAACTCCGCACTGGAGGCGTCGATGAAGAGGATGGACAGGTCCTGGCTAAGTGGGTAGGAAGCAGCTCTTGGACGATGAAGCCCGGCAGGTTGTTCATTGCAAACATGGCTAAGAGCGGACAAGATCACAATACACATCTTGACGAAGAGGCTAAGAAATGGGAGAGAATGGTTTGTCTGACCGCGTTTGCAATTATTGAGAGTCAGCACAGAAGGAGTAAGGGGTAAGGGATATATGAGTATGGGGGAACTTGTGCTCGTTAAATGGCGCGGTTATCTCGCGTTGATCGTCAAGAAAGCAGTGGAGACTGTGGATTAGTATATGCACCTCTATCTATAGATGAGTTTGGAACCACGATCTCTAGTCTCTCCGATTGACAGAAAGTGAAAGTTGTTCTTGCTGGAGCCATGTGGCGTAATCCCCACCTTCTGAACCTCGACGAACCGATAAATTTTCTAGATTGAGACTCCCCAGTGGCCATGGTGGATACGCTTCATGGGTTGGAGATTGCGAGGAGTTTATTGTCGATTAGGTTTTGAGCGACTCCATCTCCACCGCGGCCATATTGTATCCAGAGTAAGTGCCGTCAGAAAAGCAGCCAGCAACGTCTTCTCCCTGAAAAAAACTACAGCCGACAGAGAGGTAATGCAGCCTACCGCGAATATAAAAAGCCCGGTTATGGGGCAAGTTTATCAGAGAAAATCTGACGAGAACAGAGCGGAAAGAAAGAGACGCAAGTCGTCCACTGAGATGCCTTGAGTGGCTGAGTTCACCGGCCAATATTCTGAGACCAGATGATACAGACAAAGAGGAAAGTGGATCAATTGAAATACTCAAATCCCAACTAGCTTAGCCGGTTGCCGTCTTACTTGGTTCAACCCCCGATGCCCTTGCAGGACCAGGCTACTCAAATTCATGTTGTGTGCCATCTGCTTCAATAAGTCAGACCTTTTGTACATCGTTAAACGCGCTGTTCAACAGCCATGCGCTCACCTCACCCTTTTCAAGCCGATTCAAACCACCGACGCGGCTGCACTACAGTTGTATCAAACTCACACGCGAGGATTTGACAAAGCTGTCCGGAAGACCCGAAGCTCAACCTAGCATACAGTTCCTTTTTGGGATGGGCGAGGGGGCCAAAGGCTTGCAAGCCTGGTGGTGTAGTTTTGGGATATGGCAGTGGCAGTCGGAGTCAGCACGTCTCGGCCATTGGGGTTCTATCCATTGTTCCCCAGACGGCAAAAGCTTTTGCTATCTATCTTGCGGAAGGTTAGTTTCTGGCGAGTACAGCGCAACTGGTAGTCATCGTTGCGATTAAGGTAGGCTCCGGCCTTAGCTGCTGTCTCCTCAGTTTCCACCTAACAACTGCCAAAGTATTAGACCCAGTACCACGTAGGGACGTCTGCCCATGGCTTCAGTCTCGTAGTTAAGGTGGGCGGGTACCTAGGCGCGAACAACATTGGGAAATTGACGATGTGACCGAGTGCTTTCAGTTGCTTGCCATGACAAAAATACTGTCGCGGTATCTACTTGTAACATTATTCACATTACAATCTACATCGAGTTGGCCGGCCAAAGGACCAATACACGACTTCATGTGCTGTTGTGGGGGACCTGAGTAGAGACCCTCGTGGATGTTCTTGCTCCTCTGTTTCAACCAAAAGTAGAGCAAAGGTCCTTACTGGGCACCGTTTTGCGTCTGAGCCATCTCGGCTCTCCTCTCCGCCAAGTGTCCCATCATCTCACCCAGCTTGAGCGTGTCTCCGGCCACAATGCACATGGACATGTAGCTCTTCCCCTTGAGGAACGCATCACCCTTGGCCAGGCAGAAGCCCGAGTAAGGCTTGTCGTGCTTGCGCATGGTCTTGTGGAACAGCTCAACAGCCTCAAGCCACTCGGGTTCTGTCCCCACGATGCCGTGGCCACCCGGCAGGCCCATGCTGACGCGGGCATCAATGGTGCCAAGCCAGACGGCGTCGATCTCGGGCACTTCTGTCAGGATCGCGTCGAGATTCTGAATACCCTCGAGCGATTCCACCTGGATCATGAAGCCCGACTGGCGGTTGAAGTTTTCCCACAACGAGTGGTCCTTGTCGAGCGGCACGTCCGTCAGCCCATGCACGTAGCGGAAAGGCGGCGCGGAGCGGTGCCCGCCATTCTTTCGGCCGAACTTTACGGCTCCGCGGGCCTCCTTGGCCTGTTCCACCGTGTCAACTTGCGGCACCACGATGGATGCGCCTGCGTCGAGGGCATACGCCATGGTGGCATGGTCGTGGCCGGGTACGCGTACCCAAGGGATCGTGCGGCCGTTGCTGAGGAAAACTGCCTCGTGTACCATCTGCGCATGGCTGCATTCAGCGGACAATCTTTCTATAAAGTTGCAAAAACAAAGGGACAAATAACGAATGACGTTGCGCGGGCTAGAGCGGTGTGAGACTAAAAATGCTTCCAACGTACGGTTGTCATGGTCTCGATATTCATGGCGCTATGCTCCCAATCGATCCAGACATAGTCGAACCCCATGGGGGCTAGCCAGCGGGTGATCGGGACAGAGGCCAGCCCGGCGTAGTATCCCAGCAGAGTAGGGATCTTGCCCTGATGGGCGTCCCGGATGGCGTCGCGGGCTCGGTGCGGCTGGAACAACGTGTTGGACATGTAATCCCTCATATCGCCAAAGCGCTCTGATCCATCCTTCGGCGTCGATGCCATTTTTGTCGATTGGGGTGCTTCCTTTGACGGCAATATCAGAGTATATTTTCTGATTGGCAAGACGAGGCAAAAAATAAACAAGTTGCTGTGGATAAACAGCTCTGTACCAAGTAAACTGGCGCATATGTGTGGGCAATAAATGGTTTTATTATAGTCGGGCCAATATTCGCACAGTATTACGGTATAATATGCCCCTCGGTAACATATTTCATCTCAATGTCCCCATAAATTGACCGACATCCACGGTAACTCCAGCAATCCTTCGATATGCGGGTTTTCTACATTAACGGCATTGGGTTCGCCAAACTTTTCGCATGTAATATTTTTCCTCTTCCTTTTTCGACTTGGTTCCTCATCATTATCATTCTGGTAGTTAAATGCTACTCCTGTAACCCCCGCCTGTGGTTACTGGACCAGGTTTATTCTAGCTGCAGCTACAGCGTCAACTACCAGTACAATGCCGGGTTTCTGTAGGGTTATCAGTACAGTAAATCCGCCAGCCTCCTCGGGTTCTTTCACCGTTTATGCAAGTGCTCCTACGGATTTAAGGGCTGTAAGCGGACGTTGCGATATTGTCGAAATCAGTGAACTGTTTTCTCCGGCTGAGAGATGTAACCTGTTACTTGACGTAGGTGGAGTGGCTGCTTATCCTTGATGGGCCGTTGGCCATTCCAGCTATTTAACTCCAGAATTTAATACCTTCTGTAAAGGAGAATGTAATCATCTATCTCTGCATGCCACCACATACTTCTCATCTCCTTCAACCCCTAGATGTTGGGACTTTTTGAACTGCTTAAACACTCATATAGGTAACTAGTGGAAGGGATGATAGTGGCTGAAATTGGAAATAACCACATTAATAAGGGGATTTCCCACATCTATATCCGCCAGCATAAGACAAGGTGTTTAACGAAGTAAATATTTGCAATGGCTTTGCAGGAGCTGGTCTAAATCTATTGAATAAAGAACAGGTCCTTCTAGCTTTATATACTAACACCAGTTACACTGCTACTTATTGAAGGCTCTATCTGCTTCTGCTTTTCAAACTCCTCAGAACCCTTATTAGCTGGCTAGTTTGATGAACCTACACCTACAACTTATTAGCATGCTCCACCACGCTGTAATGAATGTTGGCCTATTAGACATTCTGGAATACCCTAACGAATAGCCATAAATCCAGCTAGTAGATAGACTAATCAATGATGCTAGTGGTTGAAAAGCTTCTAACATATGATTATTTGGGGCCAAAATTCGTATTCGCTTCTCGGCTGTGGATTACATTAGCATATCTCCCAGCTGAGCCATTTACATACAGTCAACCGCTGTATTGCCTTATATTCCTTCAGGATTTACGCTGCGAGGTGATAGCGCAAGGATTTGTGCCAGGAGCGTAATCACACTGTGAATTGCAGAAAACAGACATAGGCGTATCTAATCAGCATTTGCATGTTCTGTAAAGTCCTCCTTTTCCGGTGGCCTCAGCATAATTGTCTTTCTTTTCTTGCTCTTACCAATTTATTCAAACTGTGCGTGACGTACCCTGCAGTTCAAAATGGATGCATCATGCCGTGCAACGTACAATAGTCGCCGGCAATCGCGCTTGTCAAATCAGACATCGAAATCGTCATGTTTCTGCAGCGGCGGCAGCAGCCCACCCGAACTTCACGCGCTGCCAATTAATGACGAGTCGGGCGTGGAAGCCATTTTTCGACACTTTAGCCAAGGCATGGCATTCTGGGAACGCCTCAAGACATGCCGACCTTGTTTGGAAGCCCACTCACACCGCGTACTCGACATGATTGAGAATGTGGTTGGGTTTCTGAGCAATAATGTCACTGATACGGCTGTCAACTCGGTTGGGGGGCCTGAAAGGCATAGCCGGAGCAGCAGCGGGACCGGCAGCGGCAGCGGCAGCGGCAGCGGCAGCAGCAGCAGCAGCATTGGGAGCGCGCCGCAAACCTTCGTACAACCTCGTGTGCCCGTTGTGGCTCCTTCCAGCCTCTCTCTGGCTGCAGCTCTTGAGAATCTCCCTCCCATGGCTCTCGGACGGTTTACTCTTGACGGTCAACAAGGAGCCACCCTGATACGCTCTATATATCGTCGAATGTTACGGCAGATAGCTTCAGTGTTGGATGAGATGCAGCAGATGGAACATAATCAGCATGTTCCATGGGAAAGAGAGCTGGCAACCTACCTGATACCAGTATTGCAACTACTTGAGGCCATTGAAAGATAGCGTGTTATTGAATGACGAAACGCAAATACTCTCTAGAGATATACGAATAAGAGATTTGATGATCCAACCTTTAGCTATTGTGATGTTGTCACTTGTTACAACTACGTCAATATATCGAAACAGAAAAAGATGGTTTTGTATATTTCGAATTTTTGGTGATTTGCCGCATACGAACTAATCAGTATACTGGCAGATAAAATATATTGGCAACTCTAGAAGCTTAGGCACGTGAAAAAAAAGATGGGCTCGAAAATAAATTGGCTGTCCTATGTAGGCACAAATAGTCTATACCATTGCTGATGAGGCGATTAGAGTCCGGAAGGACCAAGTACGGTGCCATTCTTGAGAACCACAGGGTTGCTCGAGTACATGACACCAACCATACGGGCCCACTTGTCCTTGCTGGGGTTTCTCCAAGTGTGAGTGGTAGCACGCTGGATGAGCATGTCACCCGGCTTCTGGATGCGCTTCTCGCCTGATTCGAGCGTCACTTCGATCTCGCCTGCGACCTGGATAACAACGTCGAAGCTGACGGTGCGGTGGGCAGGACTGCCTTTACCAGGAGGGGTGTCGATGTACCACATCATGCCACGACCGTCGGGGAGGGTGACGGGAGGCACGCTGGCAGTCTCCAGGTACTCAATGTAGTTGGTGAGATCGGTGCCATCGAGCGTGTTGGGGGTCTTGTCGGTGATGTATCCCAAACGGAACAAGGAACCTCCGAGATCCTGCTTGACCGCAAGGCTTTCGTCCAGCGTCGTATTGAAGTGCGAGATGCCGGTCTCGAGATCGGTGTCGGTGATGACACGCTGGGGGTTGGGAAGTGGCTCCGGAGTCGACATGGCTGCAATGCAACTGACTGCAAGGGAGGCAAATGGAATCAGATGTTTGAATGCCATTTTGGTTTTGTTTGATTTTCTTTGGTAGGGATTCTAGAAACACGCTGGATATTGTCTCCGTGTGTGTCTTGGAACTTACATTTCGTCGTGTTTTTATACCAGGACTCTTCCGCTGTAAGAATTTAGTTTCGTTTGGCTAGACTGAGAATAAGCCAGATTTAGCAAAGGGGGATGAGTCGAAACAGTCTGGGGCCAAAACGAAAAAGAGAGCGAGGCTCAAGAGAGAAGCACAACAAGACCAAGCCTCGTAAGAATGATATTGGGAAGGAAGCAGCTTACGAAAGTGGCGCGCGAGGCTGAGGATTGGAGACGGCAAGAGAGTAAAGAAGGGCAACAACACGAGGCAGAGTTTATTAGCGGGGATCGGTCTCTCTCACTAGGACGAGACAAAGTGTCGCAAAGCCTCGTCCGACAGAGAAATAAAAGGCATCCTCAAAGGCTCAAAGGATTAGAACGGGGCGGGCGCAGTGAGAACATTCACAGCGGCAACGCCCGCCGCCAAAAAGACGGGGCCTAAACAGACTCCTGCTTGATCCAATCAAAAACTAGCCATGGGTGGTTTTCATCCGGTTTGTATCCCTGCGTCTCGAGGTGAGTGGAGATGTTGAACTGGCAAGTATTTGATTGGTTCCAACCCGCTTTTCTCGGCTCGAATGAGCCGTCCGTTTGTCAGCTACTGGTCGGTGTCCTTGGATGCAATCAGTTATGTGCTTTGCTGGATAGTCAGGGGAACAGCTTTGTGTAACAGGTGGACCGTACAAAAATCTGACGCTGCCTGAAATGTAGGCCTCTTCTTGGGGAAAGCTAAGTGCTGACGCTGAACGATATCTCCACCATCCTAGCGTCTGACTGACGCCACCAATTACCATGTCGAGTGTGGTTCATCAGGATCCAAAGACCCAGCCAGTGCAGGAGGGCCAAGATGAAGCCGACTTCGAGGTCCGGTTCAAAGCCGGGGATCCCACCAACCCCAAAGAATGGTCATCCTGGCGCCGTGCCTGGGCATTGTTCTGCATCGCCTTCTCCTCCTTTATCGTGTCCCTTTACAGCACTATCTACACGTCGTCCATACCGGGAGTCAGCAAAACCTTCGATATTCATCTCCCCGTTATCCCGACGCTAGGGATCACCACCTACCTCGTCGGCACTGGTGCGGGTAGTCTGATCCAAGCACCGCTCAGCGAGGTATTTGGTCGCCGCCCCATTTACCTCGTGTCCATGACGGTTTTCACTCTTCTCATCCTCCCGTGTTCTTTGGCCACATCCGTAGCTGAGATATTGGTTGTACGATTTTTCGGGTAAGCGATTCGATTTATCTATTGTGGACGGTGCGTGACTTGGCGTAGGCTAACCTGCCATTCCAACAGAGGCGTGTTCGGTGCTGCTACCATCTCCAATGCGCCAGGTAGCTTGGTCGACATCTATCCATCCGACAAACTGGCAGTGGGATTCTCGCTATGGAGCATCGCGCCGTTCAATGGTCCTGTCATTGGGCCCATCATCGGTGGCTTCGTCTACGCGGGGCTGGGCTGGCGCTGGGATAACTGGCTGACCATGATCCTCAGCGGCGCCTCTGTCATGCTCATGGCTACGATCCCCGAAACATATGCCCCTGTCCTCCTCAGAAAAAGAGCTGCACGGCTCCGGAAAGAGCAGGATAGTCGCTATTGGTCTCGCTACGACAACAAGACATCATTCTGGTCGCAGCTCAAGGTCACCCTGGGCCGGCCGTTCATCTTGGCAGCAACTGAGCCCATTCTGTGGTTCTTTAATACATGGTCAGTGGCCAAAAGTCAAGACCCAAGCAACGTGGCGAACAAGAATTAAGGCTAATGTCGTGCCAGGGTGTCTGTTGTCTATGCCGTCCTCTACCTTTCCTTCGTCGCATACCCCATCGTTTTCCAAGACTATCGAGGCTGGGGCCCTGGTATCGGTGGCTTGGCATACTTAGGGAATGGCCTAGGAGTGATGCTTGCCATCTGTCTCGAGCCGCTTTGGAGGCGCATCATCAACTCCAGTCCAATCAACCCCGAAACTGGCCGTGTATATCCTGAAGCCGCGGGGTCCATCATGAGCCTTGGTGCGATATGTACGCCGATAGGTCAACTCGTGTTTGCCTGGACTTGTGTGCCTGCAAGCATTCACTGGCTGGTGCCTATTGCTTTTGGAGTGCCTTTTGGCTTTGGAAACACGCTGTGTTTTATCTACAGCTCGAATTATTGTATGTGCCTCGTCCCCAACTGACCCATACTGGCATTTCTCGACTGACTCAAACGGAATGAAAGTGGCAGGATCTTACGGCATCTACGCAGCTTCTGCGCTCTCTTCAAATACCGTTTTCAGATCTATCCTGGGAGGAACATTGCCCTTGGCCGGACCGAAAATGTATCAAAACCTGACACCTCATTGGGCCGGCACACTTCTCGGCCTCATCGAGTTGTGCCTGGTTCCTATTCCCTTCATCTTTTGGCGTTTTGGAAAAAGGATTCGTTCGCGAAGCCGAGCGATTTTGCAGATCCAGAAAGATGCTGAGGCGGAACGGAATCGCACGTCTCGATCTTGAATGTTAATCATGCTCAAACCTATACCTATGTAAACCTATGTACTATCAGTAGTTTCCCGGCCAGGACAAAAAAAAATTATCAAGACGGGCGTTTTCTGCAGATTAAATGACCACAGTCTGGCCTGAACAAAACCTGGACGGCCGCTGATGTACCCTCTACCTGCTCTGTTGCTCGAAAGACCAATTCAGTAACGCGGGTTACAGTAAAAAAAAACTCACCGGGGGTCTTTAGCATTTTTTAAACGTCCCGAGAGTTTAGGTACGATACATTTAGGGAGATTGGGGTGCACAAGTCCTCACGAAAAGCGAGGCAAAAGAGAGATAGACAAGCACCGTCAAAATACAGAACAGCACTATACACACACGCAATTTTTCCCACCTTGCTTGCACCCTTATCACTGCACTACAATGGACCTACCATCGATTTTGCCAAAGCTCACTCCAGCTTTGGGCGACCGCGAGGCCATCTCTGACGCCATGTACCGCTGTCTGTGGGGGTTCGACACAGCGGACGCCGCGTTGTTTGCGTCGAGCTTCGCAGCCGACTGCGTCTTTGACCTCAATGGCAACGTCATGCACGGCTTGGAAGAAATCAAGGCAAAATGCTTCGATCCCATTGCGAAATTGGACACGACGCACTTCCTCACCAATGTGCGTGTCAACTATGTCGAAGGCGAGTCCAACGCCGTGGGTACAAGTTGCGGGCTGGCGCAGCACTACGCCCCGGGCCAGGGGCTTCAGGACGGTTCCAAGTCGCTCCTGGTGGGAAGCCTGTACTGGTATGAGTTTATCAAGGATGAGTCCGATGGCCTGTGGAAGATTAAACACTGGAGAATTAAATCTGTCTGGAGTGAAGGCGACTGGAGCATTCTGCAGGGTAACTGAAGACAGGATGGCAAGTATCGAGTACATAGTTACGGCAGAAAACAATCTAGGTACTTCACCATGAGATTAATGCTCCGTTCATACATTTTTGTTTATTCTTTCTTCTTGCGTTTATAAATGAGCCCTCTCATCCTGCGACTCGTGTGCGTTGAAACGAGGTAAGCCAAACGGAAGTGCGTTTGACGGATCCAGCTTCTTTTTCAACTTCGTCAACCTCCTGACCGTGTCGGTGCCATAGAAATGAGTAGCGTCGCAGTCCTCTGGCCGCGACATGCTCCAGTAGCCCTTTCGCAGAGCCTGGCCAGTTTGCAAAATCTCACTATAGATAACTTGCGTCCATTCCCTTGTGACTTGCTTCTGGCGTGGAGATGCGTCCAGCGGTGCAATGGCGCATGGCGAAACAACGTAGTGCTCGCGACGATGACTCCAGGAAGCCGCGTCATCAGGCTGTACGGCGCGACCGTGGGTGTGGTGCACGAGTATGGCCGATGCGCCGTCAGTGGGCGCTGGATTCCGCATGATGATTCCAATCACCTCTGGAGTGAGACGGGACAGGGTCAGAGATGCCATATCCCAGTAGCCATGCTGGGACTCGGCAATGCCCTGACTGAGTGTCTCGTGAAAAGCAAGGATCGATGCTGTTGGAAATAAGCTTAGTACAATCGCTTTCCAGGCTGTCAGCTGTTGTAATGGAGTACACTTACTGTCGCTAACTGTGTCCACCAAGGGAGCCATTTGAAGTCTCCGCAGGAGCTTTTCCTTGAATTTCATCCCGTCAGCCGCATGAGCATCGGAGTGGCTGTCACATATCCAAGTGAAAAATAGGTTGATGGCTGGGCCGAGTGCGTCGGTCGTGTTGATGGTCATCTCTCCGCCAAAGTTAGTCGGTAGTCCTTCGTCCACCAGGGACTGGAAGCCCGAGAGCACTTTGACAGCATGCTGCAGAGAAAAGACCAAAGTTCCAGCAATGTACCGAGGTTTGGGACGGACTCGGACTCGCAGTTCAACCACAATGCCAAAGTTTCCCTGCCCAGTGCCACGCATTGCCCACAACAGATCCGGATCATCTCGCGTGTCAATGATACGCCCGTCAGCTTGCATTACCTTTGCACCTAGTATGTTGTCCACGCCCATCCCCCATGCACCCGAGGATAGGCCGTAACCACCGCCGCAGGACCATCCTACCACGCCAACACTGCCCGCCCAGCCCGTCGCTGCGCTGAGCCCGGCGCTATCTAGCGCTCGATGCATCTCTATAGCTGTGATTCCCGGCCCAAGCGCGACAACTTTCTTAGTTGCGGTCGAAGAAGGCTTGCTCTCGAGGATGTTAATCCATTTGAAATATCTGAGGTCAATCTGAGCAGCGGTGGGCTCAACTGTGCGTCCGTAGGGGTCATGTCCACCGCCTCGAATCGTCATAGGGATCGGGGGCTTATGGCCAGAACAGTAGACTACTGCCTGTCGTAGCTGGTCGATGCTCCTTGGCAAGACGATGGCGAGTGGCTCAGTCTGACGGTTGTACTCATTGTACTCTTGGCGAATGAATGCATAAAATGGGTTGGAAGGCGTGACTATGAGGGTGTCGGGGGAGTCAAGGGCCAGTTGAAGGAGAGACGGTGCCTCCCTTCGAAGTGTACTTGGGTCGGATTTCCAGTCGGTGGTTTTCACGCTCTCCCCCATGATTGTGCAAGTTATGATATGCGATATTGAATTGGATTAGATGCGACAGGCTACTAAGACACTTGCAATGCGCAGTTAGGAGAAGAGAGGGTCACCATCACAGTATGTAGCTGCAGTCGTGTCGTTGTTCTGACTCTTGCCGGGTCTTTTTTGCCAGCAGCTAACAACCACCCGAGGGGTCAATTCCTGTATCGTAACAAGCCTGACAATATATGCCAGTAGAGATTAATAATTCGTCAGTTATATGTTGCGCGACGCATTTCGTTAACCTTGGGCAATCGTTCTGGTGCCACCACAGCTTACATTGTATTTAGAGATTGTTGATAGAAAGTCAGAAAAAAGTCATCGCGCGAATCGCAATAGTATATATTTTCTAGCCCTAAAAATAACGCAAGAGATAAAATAATACGCAAGTTAAACATCCCAAATCTAATTCAAGAAGCCCGATGTTCGCAATGCCTTGATGTATTTGCCAATGACCTCGTCAGTGATTGGCCCTTGGTTACGAAGCGTCTCAGAGTGCTGGTTTGCCTTGGTAGTATCCAAGATGAGCTCTCCGCACGACATTGGAATGAAGTAGTTTTCGAAAAAATCAATCAGCTGCAGTGCCGGGTTATCAACCGTGGACCCGCGGAGTCGTCTGACGCGATCAATCCACTGGTCGAATGGGATGATGCTTTCCTTCCCAAGGCCGAGTGCGCTGGCGAACGAGGCAATCATTTCCTGCCAGCCCTGGCGCGATGGATTGTCAATGTGGTAGATCCAGTCGTCGGCCGTCTCAGACAAGAGCAAGTCGCCCAGGGTAGCTGCGACGCCATCGACAGGGTACCACGAGAGGGTGCCCTCGAGGTATGGGAGTAGGCCAAGAGACTGGGATGTTTTGATGAGGAAAGGCATGTATTCAGAGTTATTCCAGTAGCCGTTGGTGGTGGATCCGGAGATTTGCGCAACCCGCACCGCCTTGGCCTGGAAGCGATCAGGATAGCGGCGTAGTGTCTTGGACAGGACGGTTTCGCAGACTAGCTTCGCCTCTGCATAGCCAGTGAGAGGGACCGACTCGACAGTCGTCGGCTGCTCAGGCACCAAGGGAGTTCCTTTCCACAGGGGGTAGTTGCCAACCACGGCAATGGATGACACGAATAGGAACCCGACGCGGAGCTGGCTGCTCCTGAGCAATGTCCGCTGCGAGGGATATGAGATTTCGTAGAATGTTCATTTGGATCTCATACATGCGGATAGGGCGTGTCAGACTCATGGGCCACGCACTGTGGACAATATGGGTGACTCTGCCGAGTAAAGACTGGTACTTGTCGGCAGACAATCCTATGGAAGCCTTGCTTGTGTCGGTTTCAATCACTTCCAACTTTGCCATAGACGCGGCGTCGAGCTCAATTCCACGCATGGAAAATGAAGATTTTTGGCGGACGTTGGCCTCAGTGTTGCTCAGTCTGTTAATACAGATGACCGTTTTCACATCGCTGCGCTGCGCAAGGGCGGCCACGATGTGAGAGCCGAGACTGCCTGTTGCGCCAGTAACGAGAACACAGCGCGAGGAAGCCATCGACGTGGTCTTCGATCTTGAGAAGATTGATTCTGGCAGCTCGAAATCTTTGGAGTATTTCTCGACGTAGTTATCATTGATCTTTTGTCTCTCGGCGTTGTTGGTGGGCAGAGACGGCCTAAAAACGCGCGAAAGATAGCCGGACGGCCGCGGTGCCTGTGGATAGCTGTCCTTGGAGGGAAATGCGATGATAAGCCGCTGCAGATCGGCTTCGGGATAGTCTCCCCTAGTCCAATCGACGTGACCAAATCCGACGGATCTCAACGTCTTCTCCCAATGGCTCACCGAGGCGAGCACATAATCACGCTCGTCCTCAAACAGCCACCAGCCTTCAAGCACACCAAAGACAAAGTCAATCCAGGGAACCTGATGTGTCATCTCCAGAAGCATCAAAAAGCCATCGGCTCGCAACATACGATGGATGTTGCTCAGTGACACAGACAAGTTGCGTGTAGCATGAATGCAGTTTGTGGCCAGGATAATGTGTTGACTTTGCACAAGGGCGGCATCGGGTGCAGACTCAACATCAACCACCTTGAACTCAACAAATGGGTACTTCTTAAATCGCTTGCGGGCGGCGGCGACCAAGGAGCTCGATATATCGGACATGGTGTATCGGATTGGCACGCCGAGCGTGGCCAGCAAAGGCACAAGCTGCGAAGTAGTTCCACCGGTGCCAGCGCCAATCTCAAGGATGTTAATCGTCTCGCCGGTCTTGGGAATCCTGGAGACAAGTTTCTCCATAAACAGTAAAAGTTGGTGAATCCATACACCTGTAAAAGGAGACTTGGCGTAAAAGTCAGAGGCCACGTCGCGCGACTCTTGTCGCCCGAATATGAGTTGGACACCGTCTTCCTTTCCAGTTATCAAGTCGGCAAATCTGGTGCCGACAAGAGCTGCAAGTTTAACATCGTACATATGCGTCGGTTCTTCCTCTAGCAATTTGGCGAGTAGAGTATCCGCCGATTTGAGTGGCGGCGCGACTGCTGTGCGTGTAATGGTTGGGCCTTGGATGTCGATGAGACGGGCGTCGACCTCCAGTAGCTGATACATGAGCTCCATAAGTTTCTCGTGCTTAGCAAGATAAGAGACACGCGGTAATTGATCGCCTGCTTTTGCAGAGCGGATGGAACAGCCGAGCTGTTCAAACGCATCGAGAATGTAGGCAACACACAGCTCGCTTGTTCGTGGGGTGATGTGTTTATTGTATCCAGCCAGATTGTGCTCTTCAAGAAGGTTATCAGTCTCCCATGCCAGCTCGTTGAAGACCTCCAAGATGATTGATGCCGATAGCGTCGCAGGAGCGCCATTCGCGATGATGTTATAGCCGTCCACGGCACTGCCGGCGTCACCATTCACAGTGCTGGCGGGTTCCATAGCTGAAGTGCCATTGACTTGCCGGTCGGGAATGCCCTTGGAAGTCGATGATGCGGCAGGTTCGTCTGCAGGCGCAGTGTCATTGCTCATACCCAGTGCGGATCTGATACAAGCCACCAGACTCTTGAAGTCTGTCAGCTCCATCAACGCATCATTAGTCAAGACCACATGGAATGCCGCGTCGACTTCGCGAACTACTTCCATAGCCATGAGGGAATCGATACCAAGCTCTGCCAAGTCCGAGTCTTTCTTGATGTCTTCTGGCTCCAATCCTGACAGATTGCACACCAGCTCGACGGTTTTGTCATAGACCTCCGCGTCAACTGCAGCATTTGCTGGAGGCGCCGATGTGGGTGCTGGTTCAGAGCCCTCCGAAACAGAAGATGAACCGTTCTGTGAAATGCGTTTGGTGAAATTATTAGTGGGTGTGTCCGGCGGCGTAGGTCCGTCTGTTGATGAGGAGCTCCTCGTCTCTGCGCGCGAGGGTTCAGCAACCAGTTGTCCACTAACGATGTCATCCATCGCTTGTCGTTCATAGGAAACACCCAGCATGACCTCCGCCAAATGCCCATCCTGACCATCAAAAACAAAGATGTCGGCAATGTATCCTGACTCGGACGTTCGGTGACAGGCAACAAAGACATTCCACTCTCTCGAGTCGATGTTGTTACCCGACCAGCTGCCACTGCGTAGCCACTGAGAAAAGCCCCGGCAAATAAAGATAGTGCCCTTGTTGTCTCTCTCCGAGGAAGAATCTTCATCCTCAATCATCAGGTTGAGGAAGATACTCGCCACCTGGCAAAAGGTTTCGGTGCGTATCGTGTTGACGTAGCCACCCTTGCCGTGTTGTCCACCGAGTTGATGTGCTTTGACACGACCGGCTGCTTCGCTGCCATTGCTAGAGACCTTTGTGACTTTGCCAGCTGCTTCTTTGTATTCAATCAGCTGTTGCATTGATCGGTATATGCTTCGGCCTTGAAGCACATCGACATTCTCATCGGTCCCCATCAGGAGCCTCTCGCACCTAGCCCTGCCGCTCAGACGAGTCAAGTGATCATAATTCTCTTTTACATAGGGATCCGTCGATGAGGTAAATGATATGACACCGGTGCTATAGACTGTAAATGGTGCTCCACTGTTGTCCACTGAGCTGATTTTCCACGTATAGCTGCGGTCTGGCATTCCAGACCACGCCACGTCAACAAGGAGCTCGCCACTGACATCGGCGCATAGGATATTATAAAGATGAGTATTTCGAATAAGCGGCTGGTACTCGGTACTGTCAAACTCAGGATTCAGATTGTAAATAGCATGCAATGCAATCTCGACATGAAGCATGGCCGGGACTGCTGCCACCTTCTGGGCAATTTTGGTTGCATTGGCAGGAACTTGAAATTGGGAGGTGCCGACGTTGACGCGGAATCGAGCATTCTGCTTATTATCTCCTTGGTAGGCAACGAAACTTGTTAGGGTTTTTGGTTCTTCTGGCTGCGACGCCGACTGCTGCTCGGCGGCGGCAGGTGGCGAGCTGAGCGGCATGTCTTTGAGCTCCATCCAGTGTGTTGCTTTCTCAAATTGGTACGGAGGCAGAATGAGCGGGGAGTAGTGTTGTGCTTGACTGGCGTGATGCATCCAGAAAGTCACATTGAGACCCTGCTTCCAAAGGTCAATGGTGTTGTTGACAAGGAACGTGAACGAGGTATTGCTCGTGATGTTGATGGCTTGGAAATGATTCGATGCTGGGCTTGCAAGTGAGCGACTGGCCATGTTCGCAATGCTTGAATTCGATCCTGCCTCAAGCCATACAGCGTCCGCACAGTCCTTATGAATTCTCTGAACGGCATCGTGAAAGTAAACTGGATGTCGTAGATGCTGTGCGACGAAATCCGACTGCAGCTTGTCGGACGACGACGACGAGGTCCTTGTTGCCCGTTCCACCCTTATAGTAGGTGTGTGGAATTCAACATCAGCAGCCACATCTTGTAGCTCCTTCATTAACGGTTCCACAAGTTTCGAGTGAAAAGCATTTGTCACGTTCAGCCGCTTCATCTTGGGCGGTGATGTGGCTTCGGCGGCCAGACTCTGGAAGTGCTCAACCCATCTGGCAGAACCAGCCAGGGTGAAGCTTTTTGGCCCATTATGGCAGGCAACTCCAACGTCCGATTCGCCACTGGAGGCTTCGATAGCTTTTGCGATAAGAGCCTCTACTGTGGTAGAGTCCGCCTCGACCGCCAGCATGGCACCTCTCTCTGGGCCCCAAGAGTCACGAATGATGCGAGCCCGACGCGACACAATCTTGAGAGCATCCTCCAACGAATAGGCTCCAGCGATGCACTGGGCCGTAAGCTCGCCAAAGCTATGGCCCACTACAGCGGCGACATTCACTCCACAGTCGATCCAGCTTCTAGCGCAAGAGTACTGCATCGCAAACAAGGCCAGTTGGAGTCTGCAAGTATCTTGAATAGGTGTTTTCAGGAAGATGTCGGGGTATATGCTGCCCAGCCCGAGCGAGAGACACGCCGAATCACACTTGTCCAAATGCGCCTGCAGAATGGTAGCGCTGTCGAAGACTGCCCTGTCCAATCCAACGAAGGTGGACACCTGGCCACCAAAGCAGAGAACAACTGGCCGCGTTGTTTGAGAGTACTGCTCTGCTACAACTGAACCGCTATCATTCTCCAAAGCAGACAGTTTTGTGCATAGGTCTGTCAATGAGGAAGCAGTGAATATGGCGCCCCAGGGCAATGTCGGGTTCGATTGACGGAACAATTGGAAGGAGAGGTTGGACACTGATAAAACGCTTTTGTCGACCGTGTCCGCTGCGGCCTGGGGTTCCAGGAGCATTTTAAGCTTGCGTATATACGCTTTGAGGCTTTTCGGATCGAAAGCGTGCAAGCGAAATGGATAGATTTGGCCTTCGATCGAAGCGGATTCCGCGCTCGACGGGATGCGGCGCAGAGTGGCCGATTCAGTAACAATCATGGATGCGTTGGATCCAGAAGCACCATAATTGTTGATGAGGGCAGCAAGGAAGTTCGCATCCCATGGCTTCACTCGCGTTGTAATTTCAATTTTATCCGCAGATGTCGCTTTCAATCCCGGGCTGCAGGTTACAAAACTGGGCTGGGGAGGGATGGTCCTGTGGTGAATCATGAGTAGAATTTTGACCAATGAAATGATTCCAGAGGCAAATTCTGCATGTCCGACAAGACCTTTCACAGACATCAGAGACAAATTCGCGTTGCCTCGGCTGTGGCCTCCGAAAACCGTACGGACTGCATCGTACTCGGCAGGGTCTCCGACAGGTGTTCCTGTTCCATGAGCCTCAACTACAGACACATTTTGTGGTTCGAGCCTGGCCTGCTTTACCACATCGGAGAATAGCTCAGACAGTGATGGCGAGTTGGGAACTGTAATGGCTGTGCAGTTCTGGTTCTGGTACACCTTGGTAGCTGCAATGACACCAAAAATTTGGTCGCCATCGGCGAGTGCCGAGGATAGCTTCTTGAGATAGACTGCACAACCGCCTTCTCCTCTGCAATAACCATCTGCGTTGGCATCAAATGGCTTGCATTGCCCAGTTGGACTTAGAAATGACGCCCCGGCAAGGTTGTGGAACCAGTTCGGGCTGGTGAATATATTGACACCACCAGCGAGAGCGCTGCTGCACTCTCCATGTAGAATGGCCAGACACGCTTGATGGATGGCCACGCTGGACGATGAGCAGGCGGTGTCAACTGTCAAACTGGGACCGGTCCACCCAAACCAATGGCTGACCTTGCCTGCGACGAAGCTGCGGAGGTTACCTGTTGCTGTATAGGCGTTGGCAGGGTGGCAGGCAATATTATCGAAGTAGTCAACGTTGCCCACACCAATGTAGCAGCCAATGTGTTTATCTTCGGTGGATGAGGACAACGTGAAATATCCAGCCTGCTCCATTGCCTGGTATGCCAGCTTGAGACACAGGCGCTGCTGGGGGTCCATGGACGCCGACTCACGGGGGCTCTTCTTGAAAAACTTGTGGTCGAACTTGTCAAAGTCGTCAATAAAGTTGCCGAACCACTTGCGACTACCGGCTCCTTGTTCTTGCAGCTTTCTCCAATTCATATCCATGGGGAATCTCTCTGGAGGAACTTCCCTGTGTTGGGATTGGCCACTGACCAGAATATTCCAGAATTCGTCCAGATCTTCTGCTCCAGGCACATGACAGGACATTCCGACGACTGCAATCTGCTCATCGCCGTGGATGATATGCGGTGCGATGCCTGGCTTTGCCAGACTCGTTTCGCCAATTCGGGTTACCCGAGAATTCAGCATGCTGGCAAGAGTTGGTGGCACGCAGCGCTCGGGCCCTATGTTGATGATCCTGCCCTGGCTCGCATCAAGAATGGATGGGTCAACTAGCTGACTGAATGACGAAAACCAGTCAGACTGTTCGAGGAGGATTCCCCTAAGAACTGTCACTTCCACAAGGGAGTCTCGACTCAAACTGCTCATGTCGCTGTGGAACATCATGTGGCGTGGACTTGACAGATGGAATTTTTCGTTGGACGCAAATAGCTGTGCCAGTTGCTTTGCATTTTCTGCATGGCCCGGCCAGTGGAAACGTCCTGCCAGTTCCAGTCGCACGACGTAAACGCCAGCCGCCTTCAGCGTTTGAGCAAAGGCGACTGCCAACTTCTCAGAAACAGTGATTGTTGCTCTCCGTTCATCCATGATGACAGATATGTAGGTCTAGACTCTGGTTAGTAATGGGGGATGAAAGCAAGACGCCGAAGACTTACGTTGGGAAACGGTTGGATCAACTTTTTGACGCTATCCAGGGTACGGCCGGCTCCCCATGATACTGAGAAAGATACTGCACGTCCATCTGAACCGTCTGATGCCATTTCGGCATCGACCATTGCTCCAATAGCCATGGCTTGCCTCACCGCTTTGCCACTGTTCGTGGCCAAGCTCTGTAGGGTGCCGGAATGGCTCGCGGCCATGGCCCCGAGCATACCGGTACATAGACCAGCTGCAACTGATTCCTGCATGAAGTCGGCTGGCAGCGGATCGTCGTCTTTCAGTCTAGGCCAAGTATCTCGCAATGCTTTTGAGTACTGTGTCAAATGCATTATGACGACGAGCGGGGTGGTTAATATGTTTGGCAGCGGGAATGTGGACGGGGATGTGCTTCCAGCATTGAATTCGTCAACAAACTTCTTCAACAATGGCTTGCCATCGAAACTTTCCAGTTGAGAGACATTTTTGGCAACAACATCCCACAAGTCGGGCAGCTCAGATAGGCAGTCGAGAGCCCATCGATTGCTTGGCGTTGAATGAAGTGTCTCTCGCAGGGTTTTGATATCATCGCCGTCTAGCGATAGCGCTTGCGGCCCAAATAAAAATACATTTTGGACCATATTTTGTTTCGCAAGAGAACCCATGGTATATTGTTGAGAACCAAAGATATGAGGTCGTTTATTGGTGACGGGGAGCAAGATGCATAAGAGGCCGTGTGGGAGAGAGTTCAGGAGACTCCGACAAGATGTGTTTCGTGGGTCTCCATATCCTGGAGGTTTCAGTGGAAGCTGCAAGTGCAATCGCGCCGGTTTTGGTAAATTCTATTTCAGTAATCCCATGATTGCCCGCGGACCTTGATGCTGGGAAGAATTGCTTGGGCTCGGCAGGTTCCAGTGTCTGAGCCGAACAAACAAACCGGGCCGCGGCGCAGCACCATATCTCCAAGATTTGCACAACATGGGTGCAGTATTCAAAAGACAGCAGTTGTGAGACGTCATGATTTATACTTTTATTCCTATGGCTGGTTGTAGGTATACGCTGTTGCGCTAGCTGCAAGATTACGTATCTCCTCCACGACCACCTGCACATCCTTAAGCTTCAGCGGTACTTGATGCGCCCCATCCCACTCTACCAAACGCCTGCTCCGCGAGTCGCAAAAGTCCTCAAATAGGCTCCGGTGGAGCTCTAAGCCCTTGTCGTTGAGACCGTGCACATGCAGGGTGGGAATACTCAGAATGTGTCCATTGCCGTAGAAACTGCGCTTGTCGCTGTCCCTCCTGGGCCAGTCCGTAATTTGCGACGCATCTGGGAGGGTCCGATCCGGCCACAGGTCGGGATCCAAAGAAACAAGAGGCGCTCGGCCTGCCAGAAGAATGCCGAATTGAAATTTGAACCAGTCGTCTTGCTCGAGGACTTGGTGTCGAAGTTGTTGTCTATACAGGATGCTAGCGGCTACTTTCGCGCCCTGACTGAAGCCCAATATGCCGACCCATTCGCCAGTTGCGCCCGCTCGAGTATCAGTAGCCATGGCATCCATCAACGCCCCATCGATTTGCTCAATTATGAAGTTGGGGTGCGCATGAGGCTGGTCAGGTAGCCAGCGAAGCCAGCGACGAAACGGGCCCCATCCGCCGTAGGCCTGCGTGACATCGGGGCCCGCTTGAGACTCGAATGGTGCTTCAGCAAAGACGAGGCGGTATTCCGACTTTAACTGCGCAACAATTCCGCGACATTGGGCGCGGAAAATACGTGCGTTGGTTCCTCCGCCATGGAGGCAAAGTATGCGAGGGAGATGGCGTGTATGCTGGTCGGGCGCCGGCCCTGAATGCATCGTGCCTGTGAAGGTATAATTGAGGGACTTGAGTCTTCTGACTATGCTACGCTCATTTTCTTTGTCGCATTTATGAACAATATCCGCAGAAAGACGTTCTAGGATCCGCTTCCTCAATCGGGAAACCAACAAAGCAACGGCCCAATATGAAGAGCATCTCCTGCACGGGGATGCAGCTGTGCCTTCACTAATGTCCCGACCGAAACGACCCGAAGTCCTGCCAAAAAGGGCAAATGGACTGAGGTTGTGGTGATATAGGATAACGGATAGAGAGAATATTTAGCAATAGCTTTATCACACGAGTGACCCCATTGATCAATTTTGCTCCTCTCCGCCAATTCTCCAAGTAGACTTCTCCCTAGTCATTCTGATAACGATTGTCTCTCGGAAATAATGCCTTCCGTCCAAGATCTGCCAGGCTTTTACTTGCCCCTCATAGACATTACGCCGTTCCGTGAGAATCCCAAGAGCGATGCCGCTCAGCAAGTTATTGATGATGTCCGGCGAGCATGTCGATCGACGGGTTTCTTCCAAATGAAAGGCCACGGGGTGTCCCTAGAGCTGCAAAAGCGCGTGTTTGAAGCCTCGGCCAAATTCTTTGCTCTTCCTGCAAAGGAGAAACTTCGGCTTGATGCGAGGAAGAACCCTGGTTTTCGAGGCTACGATGTCATGGGCTCACAGTCCTACGAGACGGAGGAAGAAGAAGAAGAAGACGGAATCTTGCGAGACGTCAAGGAGGGGTTTTTCATCTCCAAAGACATGCCCATGGATCACCCTCGTGTCATCCAGGGCCGTTTCCTGGAAGGCCCCAATGTCTGGCCGTCGTCTGACCTTCTTCCGGTCGCCGACTTTCGCTCTGTCACCGAAGAATACTATTCCGAGATGCTGCGGGTCTCCCGCATCGTTTTTGACCTCCTCGCCGCCACCCTGCCCTGTGGATCGCACTGCTTCGACGATCTACAGGCCAACGACCCCATGTGGCTCCTTCGCCTGCTGCACTACCCGCCCACACCAGGTTCGCAGGGAACAGCCAAGATGCAGCTTGGTGCCGGCGAGCACACCGATTTTGGCGCCATCACCCTGCTGGTTCAGGACGAGCATCCCGGGCTCCAGGTGAAAGACTACAAGACGGACCAGTGGGTTGGCGTGCCGCCCAACCCAGATGTCTATATTGTCAACCTGGGCGACGTTATGTCGCTGCTCACAGGAGGCGAGTATCGCAGCAGCCTCCATCGCGTTTGGAACAAGAGCAGCGACGACAGGTATAGTATTGTATTCTTCTTTGATGGTAACCTAGATACCAAGCTAAAGCCTCTCGACGGGCTTCCGGTGCAAGCACAGTCTTCCGCTGAGATCTTGACTGTGGAAGAACATGTTAGATATCGCATGACGGGTAGCTATAGTATTGTAAAGAACTAGCACGAGCAATAAATGATTTGATTATGAATATCCAACTGCGGCCAAGGTACACTATTTTCGTCCTTTCCTGTAATCAAATCTTATGCGAATGACATCGATTCAGTCACCTCTGGCCAGTGAATAATCCAGACCGTATTACCACCACTTAAGGAAGCGTATCCGGTTTCCGAGGATCTTCGCCCCCCCCCCCCCCCCCGTCGCCCTGCCAAATGCGCCGCGGCCACTTTTGTAGATCCCCTGCAGCGAATCCCGCGTTTCATATGAAAGCCACCGAGAAACTCCAAGTTTCCTGCCAGCGCCGTGGCATGAACGAACCGTCCCATATCGCTCGGTGGACAAAATAAGGAGCCGCAAAAATCATCTTTGTAGGGGAGAGAATGGCGCGGGCTGCAGGCTACTTTTGGGATTCCGAGCTCCCTTCTCGTGTAGTAATTGAGGCAGCAGTCAGTAAATGAAAGTTATCAGTGTTGCTAAGATGAAAAGTATATGAGACTCGACCTTTAAGCTCAGATGTGAGATTACAACGACTACATTGCCAATATTGGATTTTATTCGCTGCAAAGAATCAGCACACAACCCCCAAACTACCGCCAAAATGATGAACAGCGTTTTACCGTTTACTGTACGTCGCCTTGTTGGAAGTTGTCTTGCCACCGGGCAATGTAACTAATCCCGGTCCATCTCATAGATCGAGCAGGCAGCCATGGCGACAGAGTACTGCCAGAGCTTCACTGACGGCATCAGCCCAGGCATGCAAGAGGTCTGGGAGTGGACGCGCGACAACTTTGACGATGCTGACAAGATGTCGTCGCTGCTTCAGGGCGCGACTAACAAATTCCTTGCCCAGATTTTGCAGCCAAAGAAAAGTACGCGCGAAAGGCTTTTTGGTCGTTTGCGAAGAAAGTAAATTTAACATCTTTTTCTTAGTTTTGGAAATCGGCAGCTACTCTGGTTTCAGCGCCCTCGCGTGGTATGAGGCAACCACCAAGCAAAAGGCTGAGATTATCACTCTCGAGATTGAGCAGCGCATGATTGATGCTACCAAGCGAACAATCGAGCGCAACAACATGCAGGACCGCGTCACCCTGCTCGAAGGGCCTGCCCAAGACACGCTCAAGACCCTCCAGGGAAGCTTTGACATTGTCTTTGTCGACGCCGACAAGGAAGGCTACGAGGGCTACGTCCGCACCGTCCTGGATAGGAAGTTGTTGTCTCCCAATGGCATCATCATCTGCGACAATGGTAAGTTCAGCAATTGGAAAGCACATGACATGACTGAGCTGATGCGTGCATAGTCTTTTCTCGCGGTCTTGCCATTGACACCAACGCTGGCCCCCATCTCCGTAAGGATCTTGTCCCCTACTGGATCGAGTGCGGCAAGGCCATGCGCAAGCTCAACGAGTTCTGCAAGAACGACTCCCGCATTGACTCGCTCGTTTTGCCGCTGTACGATGGCATGTCGATTCTCAAGTGGAAGCAGTGAGCACATGCACGCGTGGCGGCTGGAAGGATTGGCGTGGATCGCACAGATGTTGCAATATAGAAATAAAATTTGACAGATATTCTGGATTTGTGATGATTGCTCTCTAAAACCGCTTGGTGGAAGGAAATTGTAATCGCAGTAGATGCGTTCAAACTCTCGTGGAGACTTGTGCACGTAAGGCACCGCCGCCTCCCGCGGCGCATTCTATGCATCGGTCACATTTAATAGCAGGCTTCGGCCCATTACTAAAAGACGAAAAGACTAACAAAAAGCAAATGGCATCTGGTTAACTCTGCATCTTGTGGCGTTGACAAAAACTAGCAGTAGATAACCTCAGCGATCAACCTCAGTGATACCGACAATGGCATCTTCTTTTCTTCCTCTGAACGCTGGACGTCCAGCCAGCAAGCTCTGCAACGATGTTCTTCTACTCCAAATGCCCATTGAAGTTCCAGCGGAGTGGAAGAAAAAGATCGAATTCAAATATCCGGGGATCGAAATACGGTCCAGGGTTCTGCGGTTGGAGCTAGGTCTGGAGGCAAACAAGATCGAGCCGGAGCTCTGGAAGGGCGTCACACTGGCGTGCCTCTATCTGACGCACCCGGAAGAACTCATGTCCAATGTGCGTTTTATACAGCTGACCTCGGCTGGCGTGGATCGATGGATCCATCACGAGAGGTACAAGTCTCCGGACGTTGCAATCAGCACTGCGAGTGGCATACACTGGTAAGCAACCTTCCCAAGACCTATTTTTGCCTTCTTAATCACTTGTCTCACATCAATGTTTCTACTTAGCCCTCAAATTGCAGAGTGGGTCATGTCGACGTGGATTATGAGAAATCACAACCTCCTGCGCCACATTGAATCCCAAAAAGAGGCCACTTGGTCAACTGTCAGAGCCGAGACCAGAGACTCTGCAGGAATGCGTGTGGGCATTCTTGGATATGGGTCCGTCGGGCGTCAGTGTGCCCGTCTCGCCACGGCAATGGGGATGGAGGTGTACGCCTTCACGCGAACGCCATACACCGCAGATAAGAAAGCCAAGAGCGACCACTACAGCGTCCCGGGCATGGGAGACCCGCAGGGCGAACTGCCCTCCAGGTGGTTCCACGGCGAGTCCAAAGACGCCGTCAACGAGTTCCTGCGCCAGGACCTGGACATCCTGGTGCTCTGTCTGCCGCTGACCACGGCGACCGAGTATCTGCTCGGGGCGGAGCAATTCGATATATTGGCGCAGGGCACAAAGCGAACGTTCGTCTCCAATGTTGCGCGGGGCAAGCTGATACGCACGGAGGCCCTGGTCGATGCACTGCACAAGGGCAAAATTCGGGGCGCGGCTGTGGACGTGACGGATCCCGAGCCCCTGCCTGAATCGCATCCGTTGTTTAGCGCCCCCAATGTGGTGATCACGCCCCATGTGAGCTGGCAGAGTGTGAATAACTGGAATAGAATGCTGGATATTCTGGAGATCAATCTGGACCGCTTGGATAAGGGTGAAGAGCTTATTAACGTCCCGGACAGAAAGCTAGGCTATTGACATCACGGTCATAGACACTGGAAGTTATATTGTCAGATAGATGGAGTAAAAACATTATATTGTGTGATACCACCATTCAAAAGAAGGACCATTGGGACAAGTATGAAAAAGCACAACAGAATGGACCATCGCCATGGCCGAAGGCACTGTTACAACGTGCCGTTCTCGTCGGTTGCCAGAAGTAGTCTGGCGCGCAGAAAATACGCCCTCTCTTGTAGATATCATCTGCCTTCTGTCGGGATATCATGCAATTCACGCCCTTCATTATTGTATCCGCCATCTTTTCAAGCTCAGCAAGTATGGAGAGCACATTGTCAATGTAGTCCAAAACAAGGCGCTGCAGAAAGCTCGCCTTGACCACATCATCTACGAGGAAGCTGCCGACAACAAGAGATTGCTCGGTCCAGGGAAACTGGCGCAGTCTCCGAGAGCTTGTGTCATCAGACTTCTCGTGGGGGAATCGAGAAGACGGCAGACGCGAATGCGACACGAGGTGTCGTCGCGGGGCGGCGGCGGCGACGACGGCGGCCGTTGCGGTCGACGAACTTCGATTGTGGTAGCCATTGGCGCTGCCTGAGCTGTCTTTGTGTTGCCTTTGCTGCTTCTCAAAGAGAGACAGTAAGCTGTCGAGGGACATGTATATAATCATGAGCAAGTTTTGATTACTGGGCATCTCCGTGCAGTGCCCGCAGTCAAGTGCCATGCGTACTTTGTGCTGGAGCTCACGGTCAATGCACAGCAGGCCGTCCAGCTGCATGGCCTCTGCCGGGGACAGGTCAAAGTCGCCCAGCTTGATCAGCAACCCGGAGAGGGCCTTGTAGCAGGTTCCGTCCTGCGAGCACGGCCTATTGCTAGCGCGCTCTCGCGTGCCGGAGCCGACGCCGACGCTCCCGGTGCGTGCGCCCGAGAGTGATGATGTGTGGTGGCTGGACGAGGCTGTGGTCGGAGCCGACGGGGGCGGGCTAGCCAGTCCCGTCTCGGCAATTGCCTCAGAGACGCTGCTGATTGGCATGGCAGTCGACATGGCGGTCGACAGGGCGCCAAGACCGCTCAGGAGAGTCGTCTGTGGCTTGTTTTGGGCTCGATGCGCGCAGCCTCTCGGTTCGTGGGGATCGAATGCGGTGGAGGGGGACGAGAGCACTGAGCCCAGCGTGAGATGGCCCATCTCGTCCGTTTCTGAGCCGGTCATAGCGGTCGGGCCGATAGCTCCCTGGCTGTAATCCATTGCCAGGTCTGACATGGCCGGCACCGCCCACATGCCCATATCCAGGTCCAGATCCATATCCAAGGCGGAGAAGTCACTGGCACTGACGCCCATGTGCAGATTTGCCATGGACAGCGCAGGATTCTGGGTTGGGTCTTGGGATACAGCGTTGTCCATGGGATGCCCGGCAAGTATTGCACCGCCTGGTGCGGCTGAAGATGCCGCCAATTCCGTCGGAGGCTGTTGCAGCCGTACTGGCGAACAGGTCGTCGGCACGTCATTGGCGGCGATGGCGTCCTGCGGTGGATGGTGACGGTAACAGGTGCGATCGGGCGAGGCTTCCCGGGTGATAATATCGCGGGGAGAGCGATTTTGTGATGAATTTGTAGTCGACGACCGGTTCGAAGTGGCCTTTTCACGCTGCGCGGCAGCATTGTTGTCGCTGTTCTTGGGCGGGCGCCCCGTCCTCCTCAGTGGGCTGTATACGCACTGGACGCCGCTCTGGCTGCACCGCCAGCACGAAGGCTTGCCTCGACTACATCGTACTTTGGACAGCTGGCAGTTATCACATGCTGTACGTAGCTTGGGGCCATTTGTTGTTGTTGTTGTCGTTGTCGTGGTCTTTGATTGTGCTAAATCGCTCATGGCAGTTTTAACGGCAGACACTGGCTCTGCCTCTGGCTCTCGAGGCAAATCGTCAATGAGGGAACCAGGCAGCAGGCATTTTGATCTCTTATTCAGGTGGGGGATAGGCAGCACAACGGGCGTGCGGAGTAGACAAGTTTAGTAATTGCAGCGACGAGTGATATTGTTCTGACTAAACTGGAAAAAACAAGACTGTGTCGATACGGGGACGACTCCGTGCATTAGCTGATGTGTGAACACGAAGTTTTCTTATCAATTCTGTAGAGATCGCGATTTCAAACGAATAATGGCTGAATTGCACCATCTTACCCCTTTGAGGGCTCCTAATCAGCCGCCTTGCATATCGTGTATATAGAGGTGTGTAGTGTAAGTTGTCCATACGCATCAAGTCTTTCCCAGCCTGGTGCACCTTCGCCCTTGCGGCCTGCGCATTGCAGGAAAATCACAGGATGAAACGGTGCAAATGGAGTATTTGAATGGGTCTTTGTTTCGTGCATCAAATTTGCTTCTGAAACTTCCACGGCCCGCAATCATTGGCACCAGGACGGGGCTGGATAGCTTGGGGGAATGTCCGGCGACATAGGGGCGAGACTTCAATTTCGATTGAGAGACCCGGCCAACGACTGTGTCGGTATAATGTGAGTGAAGTGTTTGATTTGCCATGGCTCGCCTCGGCACGCGCGGAAGGGAACCAGATAAGACTCAGGCGGCTCAAGCCGATTGACCCTGGCAGTCCCCCTGTTCATTCCTGCGCGGTGGGAGGACATGATTAGGTGATAGTGCCGCGTTTCACTGCAGATCCGGCCCGGGGTGCACGTCCTTCCCTGCCCACTTGCCGGGGTCCGGCGCTGGCTTGCAAGTGTAGAGAGGTACTGGCAGGGCCATCTCACATACCCTGCACGTCACAGCTTCGAGGATCGCTTTCTTCCCTCATTTGGCGCTGAGAATTCTGGTCCTCGTGCCATGGACTCAACTAAGGCTTGATGTAGGCCTTGCAGAAATCCCCCAACGCTGTGCCTGGGCTGTAAAGCTTTGTTTCTTTTTTCTGCCCCGCTAACTAACCCGTGGAGGCCACGTTCTAAACGTGCCAAACGGTGGTCTGGGCGTGAAAATCATTTAGGGCTGGATATAAGATACCAAGCCATCTGGACGAGCTCTGGCTGACTACTCAGGAATTGAATCCAGCGCGGATGGATTCGTCTGTCCTGTCGTCTGATCCATTTCTGACAGCCTTGTCCTTTGTGGCCTCGACACAATGGTCGAACTCGAACCGCGAGGATTGCTCCGGGTACTACCTGCACGGCAATGTGATCGGTGACTTCGCCACCCAACTGTTATGCCCGGGCGAATTCGGTCGATTGCCGTCCGCTTGGGGTATAATATGACGAGTCGGAGACGATTATCAACGCGTGGCCCCCAAAGTCTTGAATGCTGTCTTTTGCCCCAAAAGTACAAAAACATTTGGGGTCAAACTAGGGTAGCCTGCATAGAATGACTCGTCCCCATGTTGGTGGCGGCATGTAATTAGCCAGCAGCCCTTTGGTGGTCTCCATCCTTGGCCGTCTTCACTCGCCAGTTGACCCCATTGGTGCTTTGGGCGAAGCAGGTCAGAAATTAGTTATTTCAAGCAATGCCGCTAGTCGACAAGCTAATGCCCAGGGAAGCGCCAGCTTCTTAGCGTCACGCCCCGACTGGGAAACCCCCAGCTGATTGGCGCATTTGGGGGAACCACCATGAAGATCATGTACTTTGGTGCCTCCTTGACTCTTTGAAACGATCAATTGCCAGAATAGGGTGCAGGAGACAAAGTGGGCCCGGCACGGGGTATCAACAATGGCTTCCATGGACCTGACGACCCAGGTATTAGCCTAATAGGGGTATTTGTCCGCATAAAGGATGTAGGTCCGTCTGTGACTCAATGACTCGGGGCTCTACCAAGGAAGATAGAGTGACATCGGCTCTGTGTTAGCTTAGACCAAGAGCTGTAGCATGACGTATCTCAGGCTGAGTCGGCCAGGCGAGCCGGCTCTGTACCCCCATCTCACAGGCCTTTCTCTGTCTTGAATAATCCAACAATAACAATGGTTGGCTGTCTTATTTTTAATGATAAGTTATCGCTAATGAAAAATCAGACTGAATTATCTGACCATGTTTGGGACCGTTCATTTTAGAAAACCATCTATGATGTAAGTGGCTTTGCGGTATATTTATTTTAACAGCATAATTTCAGACTTCAACATGTTCCGTTGTTAGGTATTCGGGATGTAAAAAGCTACATTATATAATTTATGGAGTGACCGACACGCGCGAGATCCATGAAGCCCCATTCCGTCGTCGAGGCCTCGCGCATCCAGTTGTTACAACACCAACACCGCAGGGCGGGTGTGACAGGCAGACTTGCGGAGCAACGATAACCAACCACAGCCCCTAATATCAGAATTGATGATGTACAGTGCTCCGTTAGAAGCGGATGGGAGTTTGGGATTCCGTATGGGATACGCAACTTTTGCCTTAATACAATTTACAGCCCGTAATTGGGGATTGTTTACTATATACTCCGTAGACGGCTAACACTCCAAATTTTAGAAACTAGAACTAAACCTGGTCCGTTCCAATTTGGTGCAAGTTTCTCCGCAAAATCTCCCCCTAGACCTAGATAGGCAGTCACTAACTCACTATAGTTAGATTTTGGTTTGGTTTAGTTCTACTTTGGGTTGGTTTCAGGCCTACATCTTCGTAGTTTATAAGTAGAGCTTATACTTACTTAATTATCCTTTAGGGAAAATAGTCTACTCTTTTTTCTTATTAGGAAGATAATAGATACCTCTACTACCTATACTAGATTTAACTAGCTTAGTAGGCTTTATAGTACCTTTAAAGGAATATATACCTATATTATATAGAGGATAAGCTACCTACTTATAGGTATTATATAGGGCTACACTTATAATCTTACTTTTATTATTATTCTTAATTATGTAGCAGGCAGCCTAGTAATTACATTTATAGTTCTTATAGTCTTTATAGGTTAAGCTAACCTTAACTAATCTACTAGGATAGCCAGACCTATAGTATCTATTATTAAAGCTATACCACCTATATTTTAGAGCTATGGTTAGAGGATAGTACTAGGAATAGTAGCTAACACTATTATAGCCTATAGATTTAAGTATATAGTTATTAGAGCTCTTACACTATTTATCCTCCTGCTTAATTATTTACTAGCCTAATAGATAGGGCTTACTATAGTTACTCTACTTATAGGTATTATAGTTAGTTATTTTAATAATATAGTTATTATCTTATACCTGCTATTATACTAAAATAGACTTATTTAATACTATAGCTAGCATGCCTGTGAAGGTGCTATTCTATATATTATAGCTAATAGCCTAAACTATAATACTACTAAGATACTGCTCTCAGGCAAAGTTAGTCTTAATCTAAAATATTTCCTTATTATTATAAGACACCTACTAGTCATCCTAGTGTATTACTTTAATAACTGCATCCTTATGTAGTTTTATAGATAGCTATTTACTAGATATAATATCTATAATCTTACTATTAAGTAAAACTCTAGTTTTATTACTGCACTCACCCTTCTTCCTACTAGATAGATAAAGATACCTAGGCTTTATGCAGCCCAGACTGGTAATAATATAGGCATGCCTGTAGAATACTAAGCCTATGGTCACTATGTCTGCATCAATGTTGTTCCACTATAGTAGATTAAACACTGTCTTCATCTCAGTCAAGTTGGTGTGGGCATTCAAGTATTCGCCAGTCCATTTATTTCCCCGATCACAGGAACAACACTCGACTCTGCAGCCCGCAAGCGTATCTGGATCGGTGTAGCGGTCACCGCATAAGCAGTGACCTGCGTCGAGGCCGTCGAGTCCACGTACGTGAGGATCTGGCGGTTATTCAACCGTCTCGTGCAGAGATGTTCGCCTGCGCAGTCGAAGTGTCTGCTCTTCGTCAACACCAGCCTCGCCTCAAATGACCTAGTCAAGTGAAACGTGAACGTGAAACGAGGAAAGCCAAACTCACTCCGGACAACAGACATTCGTCGTCTCCTGCCGCTCTTTCGAGTCGGGAGTGTGCAGCCGTAGTATCCCGACGGACACATCCCGGGACTGTAGTAGACGTTTTCGAGCCACCTGTCCGGACAGCAGTCGTTGCCGTAGGGGCCCTGGCAGCCGATTTCGAGGCGGGAGCACCAGTCGAGGTAGGTTCTTGTGTGGATGTCGAAGCAGGAGGATGGCGGGGTGAAGGGGGTAGTTCAGGGGCCGGCGATTGTGGCGGTTGTGTCGAGTGCGATGCGGGAGTCGTAGCTTTGGACCTCTTCTAGGTAGAGAATAATGATAATAAAGTAGAATAGTTGGTTTGTGCAGAGCATGGTGTACAGTTGTTTAACGTACTTGTTGTCTACTGTCATATCTACTTCATATATATTTAGCCAAACGGCCAGAATAAGACACAGAGGAAGAAAAATAGCAGGAGTTTAATGCTTATATAGTTACGTCCTATCATGAGTAGTAATAGGTATTATCGCCATATCTAAGTAGTTAACTATGTCTTGAGCCACGGTATCTGGCAGATGATAGCTAACAGATCTGTCAAGCAGTGATGATTTCAGCATATCTCTTCCTGAGAAGATGATTCGACGACTTATAGATGTACTAAAGGGAGGGAGCAAAAACCAAGGCGGCCACTGGAGGCAACAGATTCGCAGCCGCCGTAGGAAGATGACTGAGGTCATGACCAGCGCCATGGCATATCAAGTTCCAACAGACGAAAGAGGCCATAGCCCGTTGAGCATCAGGGCTCTACACGCCCACACACACAGCATGCCCAAGCCAGAGCGTTGAGCAATCAGAGCCAACGCCCGGATTCCACAAATAAAAGTCCGACAAAGAGATGCCGTTCTTTGCCGCGATCGCCTGGCACCCGTCTCCAGAAACAACTGTGTGCCAGTTCGTACAGTTAGCAGCAGCGTCGGGTTGGGTCGGGGCCGGAGGCGTAGCAACGGTTGACGAGGTTGTAGTAGTGGCGGTTGCGGTTGCGGTTGCAGTTGTGGATGGTACAGTAGAGGTGGTTACATTGCGTTGACCCTGCTGCACGCATAGTTGCAAGTATCCGTCGCTAGAGAGGGCGCTCCATAGGTTCTTGTCACAGTCTGTTCCGAGCCAGGGATTCATGCTGGTCACTTCAGGGACAGTGACGTTGAAGAGGCCGGGGAACATGGAGCAGTTGAAGAGGGCTTGTGAAGCAGTTAGCGATCTGAACAAGAACGCTTTTATGGATCGTTTTAAGGGAGTTTACACTGGTCCTGGGCCCGAAGCTCAATGTAGCAGTTACAGGCTGAAGGTTGAACCGAAGTAGATGGAATAAGCGTCATGTTCGCTGAGAAGCAATAATCGTAAGGGAAATACTCGATCACTTCAGGAGGAAGTTACGTTAGCTTATGAAGAAAGTCGGTGGTGATAGAAGAATACCTTTTGGCTCGCCGGAAATCAGGCAGTAGCTATACGCAGGATCCAGAACACAATTCTGCGGGTCAAGGCTGGGGTTCCAGTGAATCAATTGCTCGACGGTGGAACCCAAGTTAATGGACCAGCTGCTACAAGAGTTGAGGCTCTCATAATCGGCGATCTTTGTATTAAAAGCATTTCCATAAATTGTACAATTAGTCCACGTTCCTGGGGCCTTCGGATTCAGCGGAGGCGTAGCAATGGGTACTGGAGTAAATGCTGTTGTCGAAGGTGCCTTCGTGAAGGTGTACGAAGGCGTCGTGACGGGGTAAGCCGGGTACGTTGCAATGTTACCCACTGCCTGCACGCAGTAGGACGTGTTTAGCCACAGATTAGAGCAGTTGACATCGACTTGGGGGTTTAAGAAGTAAAAGTCGTTCAAGGAGATGCCGAATTTGACAGAGATAGACGAGCAGTAGTCTCCAGATTGGACCTTCATTATGGATCGGTATGAGAAGGCTTCAGAGTTTAGGAAAATGGGTGCAACAGAACTTACAAGATACCATTCCGCGCAATTGGTATTAGACTGTCCCTGTGCGTTGGTGGGCACTGGGGCTGCCGTTGTCGGCGTAGTGCCCTGATGAATTGGTACAGTTCCCATGGGGGAACTGAATTACTAGATTTAGTATGAGTCTCAAAGAAAGGGGCCAGAACGTACCTTGCAAAAAGAAACCAACCCCGCCAGGTAGCTAGATTGGAACAGCCGGAGTTGATGATAGGATTCCACGCTAGCAGCTGCGCGAAGGTAATATTCAAGCTGGCTGTAAGCGAATCGCATGTGTCTGGCATATCTAATTAGTGCGTGGTACAAGTTGGCGGAAGACACAGTGTTCTGCCCTCTGAGAGGGAATTACAAGCCAGGTCCAAGGCATTTGACGAGATCAGATCGTATGTGGAAACATTGACGGCACCCGAGATTGACACACAAGAGTCGTCTGCTTGAACATGATAGGAGCCCCCAGCACATGTGTGGGTCATTGTAGGTGTAGCTGTAGTTGCATTGATTGCATACGCTGTAGGTGTGGCATAGGTATAGGTGGTTGCGCTGCAGCTGGCTGTCAAGGACGCAAAGTCAGCCGCATCATCGTCCGAGTAGCTAAATGGTGAGGAAAGCTGCAGCTTTTGAAGTGAGAGCTGGCACGGAGAGCAGTTCTGTGCCGCTGTATACTCGGTCTGATTTGCCCAGCTAGCCATAACAACATCACAGTATTCCCCAGTAGATCTATTACGAACGAAGAACGAATACAAATCAGTCCAATCCGTGTGAAAGCCACGCAGGAACGGGAAGTCTACACTTACGGCTCAGTCAAGCACGAAAGCTCCGAGGAGTAAAGATATCGGTCGATCAGGAACGTTGCTAAGGGAATCAAGTCAGGACAATTCACATAAGGCAGCCAAGAGATATACCAGGATACGCTGTTGCACCGGGCACCATGACGTCTGTAGGCGCTGTGCAGGCCTTCTGCATAGTTGTGCGAAGGGATTGAAGGTCTTTCCGCCATGAGCTTTGGCACAAGAGGTCTAGTTGCGTGCGGTTCAGTCGTTCGAAGCTGGCGTCTCTGTATTCATATTGAAGTTCGGCTTGCAAGCTCTGTACCAGAAGTATGGAGCCAATGAATGACTTGATTGTTCTTACTCAATCCCTGTGTACAACGCCAACCAGAACGGGCATGATGAGATAGTTGTATTAACAGCTTCAAAGCATGGTTCGCTCAGCCCCAAGAGCTCTAATGGCAGGACAATGCCGTCGAACTGTTGTGCCACAACCAGAGACGCCAGCAATGCGACGGAAAACTTGAATATGGCGGCCATCCGCAATCAAATTTGAGCACTGGTACACAGAAGGCTTGATGATGACCAGAGTAGAAAGGAATACGCGAAGGGCAACAGAGTGAGGTATTAGTTCAAGTTTTTAATCGGGGATTTCGACCTCCTGCTACTACTTTGTATGCCTGCTACGGAGTAGTCCCTACTCCTCCGTATCATTGACTGACTAAAATTTCCAAAAGTTTCCCGCTTCCGGAAACTGTCGTAGTTGGAAGCATGGAGATGGTCCATTACCATAGTGGCCTGAGGGAGCTTGGTTGCGGCATTATTGTGCGAAATATGTCTTAGATCTCTGTTTCATTCGATACCTGATCAGTATTAGTTCTCAATCGCGCCGGTGATCAGCCCCCAATATGGAAATAGTATCATACCCTGGACTCCTGGAGGACTAGATCGTAGGCTAAAGGTATGGCCGTCCCTGCGGCAATGCAAGTAGTATTATTGAGGACCTTCTGGCTGTTGTCTAGACGCGCCGTTTTAACTGCTAGGATTTCTCGTATGATATCCCTCTCTAGCGTCGGATATGACCGGGTCGACCGACCTCTGAGCTGGACCTGAAATACTTAGCTTACAGGGATTCTTGGCTCACACTTTCGCTTGGTTCATTGGCGTTGCGTTAGTAGCATGCTAAAGATCTAAAGCTTAGATAGTTAGTTTCATATACAAGCTTTTTTCTCCACTCAACCAATCATAAGCGCTACTTTGTGGATACAGATAATTACCCAAACCTCTTGGCCGGCAGGGTTCACAGATAGACAGTCAAGCAAAATGATCTCAGCGCCTGATAATCCCAGTGAAGTCAAACAGACCGGCATTTTCAACACACATATCTACTCACTGATGGAGCCGTCTCGCAGAATGGACCGATGTTCAGAATCTCCGACTAGGGGAAGAGAAACCCGAGGTTACATCGGCCCCCCAGATCCTAGTCGAAGTTGATGCCTGGTGTTCGGCCGGTGAAAATGGCCTCATCAGAGTTCCGAGCGTTACTGCGGTAAATGGACGTGCAGTGGAGACAGAGGGTCAAAGAGAGGTTTCGAGTTCATGACCTCGACAGGCTGGGAGTCTGGGAAACCGAAGAGATGAAATAACACCCTTGGTCCATCTTTCGTTTCTTCATTCGAGGCCTTTCAAAGTCCACGTATAGTTCTGTGAGACCCTTGAGATGTTGGTGCATCTGATTGGAGTCTTGTGGCTTGTCAGTGGTGTTCTGGCTGCGAGTAGTCATGGACACCTGCACAGAGCCCGTCGCACCACCGGGAGGATTCTCGAGTTGACCTATCTTTATCCGACTCTTTGATGCGACGCGATGACTATTCTTGCGGTCCCGCCAGTGAGTTTATTTCCTTCAAGGCGCATATATGATCTTGGAACTTTTGTCTTTCTGATATGCTATTTTAGAACCATGTAGTAACGGAGCGTGCTGTGGTGGTGAGTGAAAGACCATCCCAGCAGCAGCAAGACCTCGACTTGACTGAGAAACTGTAGCGAGCGGATACTGTGGTTATGGCCCGAAATACTGTGGACAGGGCTGTGTGAGCAATTGCGATGCCAGTGCCGAATGTGGCGAGTTCGCGAATCCTGCCAACAAGACGTGTCCGCTGAACACATGGTTTGCGCTTGTCCTTGACATTGAATAATATGCAATTGCTGACGGTAGCCTGTCTACCCACTTAGTTGCTCTCAGTATGGCTTTTGTGGTACGACAAAAGATTTCTGTAATGATAAATGCCAGTCACACTGCGAGCTGCACCCACAGGCTCCCAGCGGCTCAAAACGCAACAATACCCTTTCCAAAGGTAGGCTACCCACATTTCCTGCTGCAATTGCCACAAGAAAGGATTCTAAGCGAGTACAGTTATTGGGTACTATGAGGCATGGAGTGATCGATCCGCCTGTCACAAGACATCACCCAGCGACCTCCCCTGTTTGTGGTTCTCCCTGTTTGCTTGCTCGCTATAAACTAACTGTCCATTCAGTGGACGCTTAACGAATCTCAACTATGCCTTTGCCTACATTGATCCCGACAGCTTTCAGCTCATGACCATGGATGCCGCGACCCGCTTGTCCCTTTTCACTGATCTAGCTAACCTCAAACTGACCAAGCCGGATCTGAAGATTTTCATCAGTGTCGGTGGCTGGACCTTTTCTGACAATAACACACTCACTCAGCCTGTATTCGGGAATATAGCCCGGAGTTCTTCTATCAGGGAGAAATTCGCCAAGAATGTGCTCGCCTTTTTGGATGAGTACGGTTTTGATGGAGTGGACATCGACTGGTATGTCTATCTTCTCTCAGTTGTTCCCTATTTGATTACCTATCGTGCCAACATCAGCTGCTTAGGGAATACCCTGGCGCGGGAGACCGCGGTGGTAAGCCGGGGGATACCAAGAACTATGTCGAATTGCTTCAAGCCCTGAGGAAGGAGTTCGACAATTCCGGCCGAGAGCTAGGTATCACATTTACAGCTCCCTCGTCCTATTGGTATCTTCGCTGGTTCGACCTGCCAGGGATGCTCAAGTACGCCAACTGGATGAATCTTGTAAGCTTCTATTCGATCTCCAACATTCCATACAATGACCAGGACAGTTGACAGAAGGATATGGTAGATGACATATGACCTTCACGGAGTCTGGGATAGCAACAATCCAATGTAAGTCCAGTTGGTTCTGTTACAAACAATGAATAAACGTCCAGACCACCAGATTAATAAATCTGGTGACAGAGGCTCGATCGTCCAGGCTCATACCAACTTGACCGAGATCAAATTCGCCACTGAGCTATTGTGGAGGACGAAACTATCGCCCTCAGAGATCGCCATAGGATTTGGTTTCTATGGCCGTGCCTTCACACTGGCAGACCCAAGCTGCACAACTCCCGGCTGCCCCTTCAGCGGGGGTGCGAAACCAGGAGTGTGTACCGCTACCAGTGGATGTTCGTGGAGATTCCTTCTCGGTATTGTTCAAATTCACGCTGATTCGAATCTCAGATCTTGCATACTACGAAATTCAGAAAATCTTATCTGATAACCCGCATATCACGCCGGTCCATGACAAGGAAGCTGCCGTCAAATACTTTACATGGGACTCGAACCAATGGATATCCTACGATGACAAGGATACGTTCCAGGAGAAGTTGGACTGGGTAAACAGCCATGGCTTTTCTGGATCTCTCATATGGGCCTCTGATTTAGGTATGCTACAGTGTGATGAATATATTGTATGGTTTATCTGATAAGGAGATGCAGATGACTACAATTGGACAGCCTATAAAGTACTAACAGGCATTTTAAGTCAGTGCTGAACCCTGTAGATACCGTTAAACAATCAAAGATATCACTATAACGCTCTGTCCTCAGCATTGATCACGAAATAATAATCATTGCTTCTCAGAAAAAGAATGGAATTGACCATCGAATTAGCTTGGCCTAAACTGACTTGACAGAAGTCACGCAGCCATCAGTCCAGTTCTTCAACCACAAAATCAGCCATCTTCAAGCCATAATTGACCAGGGTACAAAACTGGTAGACGGCCAACCCCATATACATGAGTTCATTCTCGAACTCGTCGTTCCACCTTGCCACCGATTTTCCCCAAGTTGCACCAAACGAGGCTACTGTTTCTATGAATCCATCCACAATTAGGACTTCCTTTTTGCTGTCTTGACTGGCATCCATTATATCTCCCGTCAGGGAAAGACAGAGGGTTGGAACCGACAGGACAGCACTGATTGTTCCCTTCCATCGTTTGATCACCGGTCGTTCCAAGTTCTTCTTCTTGCCCACGATCTTAACGACTGTGCCGGCGAAGAGATCAGCCCCTGCGAGGACCCACCCCTAACAGATCGAATGTCAGTTTGTCTCTCAGGTTTATATGGGACGGGATTGATGCGGAATGAATGTAAGTAACCATTATCGCCGAGTACCTACCGCATATTTGATAGCATCCCTGGTGCCCAGCGCGGTGGTGGTCACTCCAGATAAAGCGGCCGGGGTTTCCCCGACTGGCCAGGTCGAGAATCCTCCCACGGTTTCGAAGGTGAGCGACGCCGAATCCAACACATTCATCAAACTGTCGATAGGTCCAATCGGAACTGTTTCCAGCCCAATCCCCTCGAAGACGCCATCGACCCCCAGCGAAAGCATGTCGAACTCGCCCCCCACTAGGACCACGCTTGACCCCGCGGCACGACTGAACCCCAGGATATCCGACGCGAGCGATGCGTCTCCCTGACCCTGAACATACTGGGCAAAGGTGCTCTTCGTCAACCTCCCGTGCAACTTCGGGGGCGCACACTTCTTCTTGGCTTTATACAGCACCGTGGTGGGAATGGCGATTAACAGTGCGCAGAAATTCAGCAGTGTCAAGGGTCGTCCGCGGGCGATCACGTTTTTCCACAGCCACGTAACCACGGGAATATCGACCTCTTTGGTAGCCAGATCGCGGATCATGCCGATGCCCAGCTTCAGGGCATCGAACAGGATGTCAGCTAACTGCTCCAAGGCATCGATCATCCCGTTGATCAGGTCGCTTTCCAGCTTATTGACCACATCCCGCACGCTGAAGCTGGCGGGGTTGAAAAACTCAACTAGGTCCTTGGCCACGTCCATCAGAGTCCTCATGATGATCTTGACCTCGTCTTGGACATCGTCCCACAGCTTCACCAGCTGGTCTTCGGTGCTGTCCGCCGCCACGAGAGTGGTCTCGTCGTGCAACACCGCATTTGTCGGTCCCCCACCATAGGTGAAACAGTACGTGGACCAGTTATAGGTCACTCCAGCCTTGATTTCGTCGTCGTCACCCTGGTCCACGTTGCCGCCCCCGTCATTTGTGGCCGCGGCATCCTGATGTGATGCATTCTTCTCCGTGCCGACCCGCGCTTGCTCATAGTCATTGGCTTGGAGATCAGTGAGATTTTGCAGGATAGTGGTGCGAATATTCTCCAACCACTTATGCACGTTGAGGTCAGCTCCAGTGAGTAACTCCTCTCCGTAATCTAATGCGGCGTTGAACCCTGCGACGACACTGTCCGTTGTAGCCAGAATATCTGTTCATTCAAAGAGATAACTGATGAATTCAATAATATCTTTAATCACAGCACCGATCTTTTTGAAGACCCAGATGACGCCTTTCACGATTGATGTGATGGTCGTCAGGGTGATCTCGTAGATCTCCTCGCCAATATGGACGATGAACTTCCACGCACCATCTGCGACAGAGATGAGCCCATGGTCACTGTTCCGGAGAGGGAGAGATAAAAATGAGAAAACGGGAAAAACTAAACTGAGTTGAACTTACCGACAAGGTCACAACTCCAGTGCCAGACAGTGTCGGCAACATCGCCCAGCCAATGCCACATTCCGTTGAAAGCGTCCCCCACATCTGACCAGAACCCAAAAGGGACGAGAATATCTGGGGAATTGTTGGGGTTCTCTGGGGCAACGACGGTTGCGTGATACGCCTGCGCTCGATCCTTATCCTTGTTATTAAGATCCTTCGCACTGGCCACTAACTGCTTGAATGCGGTCACCGCTCCTTTTGCATCTTCAGGGTCGAGCTGCTTTGCAAACAACGGGCTTCCATCAGGCTTTTTCAGGTTCTGGACATCGTCCGGTGTTTTGACTCCCTCGATTCGAGGAAGCACCTTTTGAGACGGATCCAGGACCGGGTCGATCAGGTTTCTTTCCGCCGCTGTAGCCATCGGCTTCGATGGTGCTCGCGCCGGACGATAGACATCGACCGCGAACTTGTGAATTGTCGCATCGTCGGTCTGCAGGAGGATATTCAACACCCCCTTGGCATCAGTTTGGTGCCACTCCGCCGTTGGCGAAAGAGTGGTATGACAGCCGTTAATAATGCACCGAACCACGCCGGAACAGCTGACGCGCAGCCAGCAGCCCGGGAGGAGGTCTGCGGAATCCCCATCGCCGTCATTCACCACTGTCGCATGCAGGCGGACCATGATTCCGGTCACTGGAGTCACAGTCTCCACCGAGGCATGCCAGAACGGGTACTGTTGCCACGCCTGGGAGATGGGGTCCTGCTGCAGCAACAACAGGTTTCCATGCTCATCCACGGACAGCAGACTACTGACCAAAAGCCTGCTACCCCCGTCGGCTGGCCTACTGGACAGCAGACTGGAGATCCGGCCCCCTAGCCCTTTCGCCAGCAGTGGGATTACCACGCCCTTGGAGAGAGCCGTGGTCGTGGTGGTGTAGTAATGCACCGCGTCGGCCGCTGTGGTGTACCAGAGACGGAGGTTCTCACCGGTCTGCGAGAGATGCAGATCCTTGAGGTCAGTGATCTTTTTCAGCTCATCAATTACCGTGCCAGGGCCCCCGTGCGGTGATCGGTACTCCTTGTACGTCAACGCGGTGATCGCCTCGCCGCCCACCAGCACGACAGTCCATTTCTTGGCTGGGTCCAGGAAGGAAGCCAGGCAGGTTGCTCCTGGTGAAAGGATCAGTGAATAAGTCAAGGGGCCACGACGGAAAAATCCACGCATGGAGTGCCAATCTCAGCCCCAATCCAAGAGGTATCCTTACCTTTGGGACAGGGAACCTGGACGGCGAAGTCATCACCGTCGTCATCTTCACCTCCATCTAGGACCTTGAATGCAGGATTCAAGAACATGTGGAAGCTTGCCCAGGGAGATGACGATAGCCCGTTGACACACTTTAAGAAAAGCATTCACGGGGAGTATATTGAAGCTGATGTCGGGATCCCTTCCGTGAAGCTCCATGTCGAAAGTCGGCAGCCCATGCTATATTTTCTATTGGCCTTGAAGAATGGTGAACTGGCTGTGTACGAGAGTGATGAGTCCGACACGCTCTTCAAATGGGACATCAAGGACTGGGTCCTCGCTTTCAATGTGGTCATTAGTAAGTGCAATGGACGTCCTTCCACCGCCAGGAGCATGGAAGCGGCCTCTAACCACCTGTCTCTCCCTCTATTAGACCAGAAGAAGATTACCAAGGACTCGGAGGAATATAAGAAGTTTAAGGAGCGTGCAGGGCTTCCCGAGTCGAACTTCTCTCTTGCGCAGCTCTTTATTGATGCGTCATGTGAGTGCCATTGATCCTTGAGGGTGTTTGCTACTTACAGAGAAAATCAGCTAGCACGAAATTCAACCAGGATTTGACAACCTTTGGCGAGCACAATTTGAGTGAATTGACCCCGGCGGCGAAAGCCAGCGTACTTCAATTCATCGATCACTGGATCAAGGTCATGTCCGAAAGCGGCAGTAGCATTCTAGGGTATTCAGCCCAACGTGAACAAACCAAGGGCGCTGATGAGCGTAAGGAGTTCTGGGACGTGTGGTGCGGGCAACCAATGCTAAAGCTCGTGCAGTCAACAAATACGCGCCGTCTTTCCCTCCCACCAGTATCGATTACTTCTGTTACCCATGGCGTGGAGCGGATGGAAGTGGTGCGAACAAGGATGACCAGGACAGCAATGCTCTGTCCTATCTCTTAATGTCTGATTTCAAGAACCCCCCGGCAGAGGGCGCCATGCAATATAGTGGGCCGTGGGTCGATGGCGATGACCGAGTGGCCTCGTTCTGTATGAACCGAGCTTTGTTTTGGAACTGGATGCTGCCGATAGCCAGGCAGGTTGTGGCAATGACACCGGTGCCAGATACACCACATGTCAGTTATGCGGGGACACCGTCAGACATGCCCTGGCGGACCAGGCCCAAATATCATATTGGGGATACCAATGCTTCTGCCGATGACTACAAATGGGTACCAAATCCCTCCGGCGGATGGTCAACGAGCTCGCCCATGAAATTCGAACAGAACAAAGTCACTGATCCTCATAACTCGAATGACTGGATGATCGGGGAGGAATGGGGTATGCTTGAGGTCCCCTCCCTGCGTGTGCCGGTACAAACAAGCCGAGGAAACTAACCTTGTGTAGGTGATGAAATTCAAGCCACCGTCTCTTTCGGTGCTGGAACTGAAAGACTGACGGTGAAGGGGGGGAGTAAGTTCAGATATCAGATCGATCATCACAGAGACGGATTGAGTGGTACGAGGTAAGTGCTGCCCTGTCTCTCCTCTCATGACATTTGTTTGTCTTGCTGATAGCGCTGTGTCTGTTCCTGCAGTTTCTGGGTGGAGGTATTCACCGACTGGCAACTCTCTATCGACATGACATCTATTGAAGAGGGCGGGATAGTCTTTCATCCAAAGGAGAACAATGACGAAGATGTGAAAGTCACATATAAGGAGTATGGGGACATGAAAATGGAGAGTACTGCGGAGGATCTTGCTGGGGGCATTGCAGATCAGGTCAAGCAAAACATGACTGCTGCTCTGGATAGCGTGAGTGACACACTGTCCCAGGCGATGGCCAATGCAAACCGCCTGTGTCTCCCTGCTGCCGGCACTTTCTTTATGAAAGACCCTGTTTTCAACGATGGCGGTGATCTGCTGATCAAACTGGAATATGATGGGTGTGTTTTGTCCAATGTCTGTCCGTGCTCTGCCACAGTAATCTGACAGTCTAAACAGGGCGGATCCTCCACCACCCCCATCCAAAGGAAAATACAGATTCCGTCCACCGATGTCGACGACTTCCGTCCGTCGCCTGGATTTTAATGCAGTGGCCGTTGTCAATCCATGAGACTGGCGCCTCTGGCAGGGAGATATGTGGGTACAGGTACATAGCCTGTACAGAGGGACTGAATAACCTTTCTCTTTTCAACTATTCTATTTATTGCTTCTCGTCTATCACAGTCATAACGTAGAACGAATATTTTGTTAAACATCACCTAAATACTCTTCTTATATGACGGACATACTTCCTGGCCCGTGGTGATAGGTCAACTAGAACCCCTGCGTGCTTGTAGCTGGCTATCATATTGGAGTAGGACCGGCGATGAGGTAATCCTTGGGCGACCAGGTCCATCTGGGAATTCCACTTCGCAAGGAAGCTACTGGAACTTGTCAGAGAAGAAATTTTAGAGAAGAAACTTGCTTTTATTTCTCCTTGCTCATTATCTCTATGGCCATACAGGTTTTCATGGTCAGTCTTTGGTGTGAGAAAATCAAAGGAATCCTCATGGGGTATCATCGGTCGAGGAATATTTCGAACGCTGGTTTGAGGTGAGGGCCCGGCAGGATCAAGCCAGTTTTGTCCACCATCAACAAGGACATGGGTCCGCTCATACACCAAGGGATGCAACGAAAATGCTGAATTCCAGGAAGTCCTAAACACTCCCTCCACACAGACTAGAGAAGTTGTGGGAGCGAAACGAGACGACTCACCTGGGGCAATGGCTGCTGGCTGAATAGGCCACGAAGATAGCTATCAGATTGCTGGCAGACTTTTAGAATACAGGCAGTTAATCAATACTGACCTTGTCGGCTGAAGAGTGCCTGAGGAAAAGGGAGTAAAGAAGCCGCCCCTATATAGAATGAAGTGGTCAAAGCATTGAACTAGGCTTCGTACACTCCGTAAAATGGCTGCGGCCGTTCGCATCAAGCAGAATATTGTACTGTCACGGAGAGGGAACGAAATGTCCTCTCTTGTCTTCTTCTCTCAATCTCTTCCCTGGTCTATTTTTCATCGCTGCCTGGAAATCATCTCTTGTGAGCATCTGCACGAATTCCGCAGTGGCGTCTCCATGCCCTCAGGGGATAGATTTATGGGCCATTAACAGCCCATGTCAATGACGCATGCGGCATCTGCCATTATGCGAATACCGAGTGCTGAGGCGCTGACCAATGCGACGATAGACATTAGAAATCTACTCAGTTGGAATATCGTCCGAGAAAAAATCACTGAGCTAGTGAATGTAAGCACAGAGAATCAATCAGCACAGCCAAAAGCTTATCAGGAACGGTTACCCTCTATGCAGCAAGGTCAAAGAAATCAGACAGGGTTTTCCCCACGGACTTTTTAGTAGCTGCCACTATTCGCCGATACGCAATATGCTGGCTCTAGAGGGATTCTGATCCTGTCCTCGGGCAGCCTCTAGGGTGTTTTGGTTCAGAAGATCTGTACTAGCAGTCTATACTTTTCGAGAAAGGCAGACTGGGGGCTTTCCTCTCAAGAGCGATACTGCATCTCAGGCTAGGGAATGAAAGAGGCGAACAGTGCCCGAGCGACAACAGTACGCAAGGCGAATATAATAAATACGTCACTTTGATCATTGCAAAAGCTGTTATTACAACTATACGCCTGCGTTATTCGGGCCACAGTGAGCTGATCGAGACTCATACATGTTCGCTGCATCACCAACAGGATCGTTTCCTCCCCTCTGTTTCCCTTTGGGTCTTCCTGTGGGAAGAAACCTGCCGCCTAAGTTAGATAGAAACACACACACGAAACTCTTTTTCGAGGCATAGCACTACTCCTACTACGCCACATTAATATCGCCCAGCAGCACCAAATCATACGGAAGCATCAACTTCTTGGCGTTGATCATTTGCTTTCCTGGGGCAAAGATGTTCTGAGTCCGGAAGAAGTTCAGTTGTGGCATGTGAAGATCAAAGGTGTCCAATTTGAAACTGATGAGGCGATCGAAGTTTTTTCGATCGAACGTAACCTTCGGTTGATCGTTTGCGCCAAATTTGATAGTGGCATTGATCACGTTTCCGTTGATTTCGGCAAAATCCGTTTTATGCTAAAGCAAGGTCAGTTAAAGACTGCTGAACCCCAGTAACGGAGAATTTTACCTCTTCTACTTTGGCGCTTACGTTGACCGACATCTGAAAAGGTAGACCCCTGAAGTGGGGGATATTCGTATATACGACTTCTCCAGAGAAATCCCACTTCCACGATGCTTTAGGTGTCAGGTCATTTGCATCATCTTCGACGGTGAGCACCAACGGGTGTGTGTTCATGTCCACATTCAAGTCCTCAAATGCCATGTCGTAGCTATAACTTCGGAAGTTGGCGCATTTAATCACTTTGTCTTTGTCGTAACGCAATTCCAGCTTCAATCCATTGTCGACGCTTATGATCTTAACGGGATCATTCTTAGAGAGGCTCGAGGCCAGTTTCTTGATGTTCTTCACCAGGTATGTTTCGAGGAACAGCTCTCGTGAGATGATGATACTGGCATGATACTCCGTGGGCACTGGGGTGACATGCTGCTCATGTTCCAACCCGAACTGTGGAGGGTTGTTTCCTAGCCCTCTGGTGCCTCCCTTGGAGTGGATGAAGACACTCAACACCCCGGGCTGACACGAAAAAACAAACTTCGACGGTGTGAGCAGGTCGTCGCTGGCAGACTCGGAGTTTGGGGAGCTATTAGACACCTCTGCCATGCTATAATCAATCCATTGGACATTGTCGTGCGCTGCGAACCAGTTTTTGACCTCGTTGACCAGTTGATTCAAGTCGTTTGTGAGGGCCGGGTCAGATTTATCTTTCACCAAGCATTGCCAATTTGAATTCTGGGTGTCAAAGTGGAAAGTGATGTAGTATGTGCTCTCGGAGTTGTCATCGAAATGGAAGAGACTGTCACTCGTCTGGGTCAGTTAGCGCCATTACAGAGGTCGGGAATGTCAAATCAAGACTACTCGCATACCTGTGAACCACCGTCGCCTTTCATTCCCACGATTTGGGTCCGGACCTTAAAACTATAGTGACCCTCTGGGATTTCGATGGCATCCTCGGGTTTGTCATCTGTGGCGCGAGACTTGCCACTGAGTGGCATCGTCAAGTAAACATATCCAGACGTGGTGTCGAACTCGAGATCAGGGGCATGGAATCTCAGATCGTACATCTGGGTGTAGGCATGTTTGCCATGCCCCAGGTTCTGCTCAAAGTGAACATTGGTGAAATCGACTGAGGCTGAGGCATCCCAGGTCTTCTTCAAAAATTGATTCAGTTGCTTCTCCGAATATGAGACTAAGATGTCCCATTTGTCCGTGGTGGTCTTATGCTTGAGCTTTTCGTGGAGCTCTTTGACTGGAAGGGACTTGGTCATTCTAGATGCAAGTTGAAGAAAAGGTCTCTGCTACGGCCAACAAAAAGAAAAAAGAAAAAGATTTGACTTTATCTTGGTCTGCTCGGTTGATGGGCTTATTTGTTTTACTCTTAAGCTTCTTCTCTGAGTGTTGCCCGTGCACGGTTCATGGTGCCATCCAACTAGTGAACCTACGATTGCAGAGGCTGCATCATAATGTATATTTGACATTGACCAAGTGACGGGCTGCGTTAAGTCGAGGAGCAGAATTCTCCATGGACGCATAGCTCAAATGAATCCCAGTACGTGGGCGGAATCCATACACGTCACCAGGTGTGGTTACATCAAACTCGGGGTCATCCAGACCCAAACGTCATCAAGTATGGATATGCATTAAGTTCGCTGCCACAGAGATCTACGCGTCACCAGGCATCGTTACATGAGACTCAGCGCCACTGAGGTCAAAGGAGGGTGACAGGGAAGGCCTCCCAGCCCAGGACGGGCAAGGAAATAACAGGAATGCATAACACCTGCCCCTTCTCAACATCTCGGCTCCCCAACTTTTGACGCCGGTCTTTACACACAACTTACCCCAAGTCTGCTCAACTCTACGATGCCCGACGTACTCCCTGACCCCGACATCATCCGGTACCCCCTCCACGATGCCACCTTAATTCTCTCGGTATCGGAGGACCCGATCTCACCCCAGACCGGTGTGAAGGCCCCTCTGGATATCTACTGCGAGAGATTTATGCTGAACAGGAGCATCTCGGCCACCAACGCGAGTGACGATTCGCCGGCCCGTTTCGGCATCTTCACCCGCGAACTCCTGGGTCTCGAAAACGTTGCCAAAGCTCTTGCCATCTCCCTCTCGGGGGCTGATGGTAAAGACCATGATTACCCAAACGGGTACAAAGGCGGTGTCATCGACATGTACGTCGAGGATTTATCAGTGGCCACCGCTCGGGGACTCAGCATCCAAGGTGCGCAAACGCACACGCCCGGTGCACATCACCGGACGCGGACTTGACTTGAGCATGTGAACGGCTGACCAAAAACGAATCATTGTTGTAGCGCGCGGGGGCAGGGGTTACACGCCGTTGGACCAATTGGATGCCAAGGTAGGTGAGAATGGAGGCAATGGAGGGGATGGGGGTCAAGTCTCGGTAATCGCTGGGGTGAAGTCGTCCGACAGCGCCCTGATCGCGGATCGCATCCTGGATCACCTAGCGGATTCTAAGAAGAGGTGGCCGGCAGATTTTTGGGACGATATCACTGAGTTCATTAGTATCTTGGAGCAGAAGGATGTGAAGGTCGTCTACGAACCGCCGAGTAATATGAAGACGACTGAAGATATTCGGAAAGTCCAGCTGAGTTCCTTTCGGACGCAAGTGAGAAGACTCCGGCGAGCTCTGGGGTCTACTGTCGATGACCTGCATGTCGCGCTGAGCAATGCTGTCGATGTCCATGGAGGCATGTATGGCACTGGTTCGCGGGGTTCCGAGAAGCCTGGCAAGAGCGGACAGCAAGGGAAGGACCAAAGGCCAATCATCGCATTTACTGTTGACGTCGATGCTCTCCTCCAGACCAAGGTCTGTTACGCGCATCCGATCCAGTGCCGTATGTTACTAGACAAGGCCAAACTGTTGTTCTGGTCTGGATCATTGGACAACAAAGCACAGAGCACCACCATCCTGCAGCACCTGCAGGAAAGGCTTAAGCCATTTCTGATGATCTCCGGTCCATCATCATCATCAGTGGCCCAGTCGCCCTTGGTGCAGGCATACCGCGAAGCTGAGCCCCGCCTGTGCATTGTTAGCGACAAAAATAGTGACATTCCTGTTTCGGTAAAACGTCTGACGAGTCTCACATCGGAGGCCGAGATGACCTTGAAGCATATCATGTCCGGCGTGGACTTCTATGGAAAAAGTCCGGACGAGGTCCCTCGGGGCTCTTTTACTTCTTATCACAACATTGCCGAGTACTTTCTGGGTGAGCTGGAGTTCGTTGAAAACACCTACAAGGACTGGTTCAATAATGGGAGCGATGCAATTGCACGGCTGAATGCGATCAGGAACCGGGGCAGATTATGTGACTCAACAACTCAGTTGAAGAATCGCCTCATTCAGGAGGCTATTTCTGACCTGGACAGCAGTGCATCCACCATTGAGAGTTTGACAGATGCATTCCCAGCAGCTAGACAGGCCGTGCTGGATGAGGCTGCAAAAGTCGCTCAGAAAATCAAGGAGAAATTCACATTTTCTTTCGACGAACTAGTCTCTGCGATAAGCCAAGTGCTCTTCGTCCAGGGAAACCCCGCCATGGTCGCCTTGCAGACCGTCAGTCTGCTTGACAAAGGCTTGAACGATATTGAGAAGGATGATGGCATTCTAATCCCCAAGAAGTACCTGCTCTCCAAACTGCACCGCATCAATGGATCCTTCGAAAGTCTGCACGAGGGATACAAAGTCCTGGATGGCAGAATTCAGCTGACAGATCCCGGTGCCGAAAAGCTAATAGCAGACGTAGAAGAGTTTGAGAGATTACTGAGTGACTTTGAGGTTTCGCTCGGTGATGACATCCTCAAGGGCCTGAAGCAGAAATTTCAAACGTATATTAGTACGTCTCTCAAGAGAAGAAAAACAGAAAAGACAGTAACAACAATCGTGCCCCTGCTAACTTGACTACAGTAATCGTTTCCCAACGTAATGCGGCGGTCGTGCGATACAATTCCGACCTCACCTTATTGGTTCAGTATCATCGTGAATTGGACTCACTGGAGGTCGAGAAGAATGACCTCGTGCGTGACGAGTATGAGAATCTGGGCGCTGACCACCCGTCTATGACGGCCTTTATGAAAAAAACGAACCAAGATGCAGTCCAGACAGCGCAATTGTGGCTCTACAAGCAAGAACGAGCGTACAGCTTCGTGGCCCTCAGCGACGCTCAAATCATCGGAGAGGCTCTCAAGGGTGTTTCTGTTTCTCAGTATAACCTCACTCATCTCAGAAAGGCACAGGCGGCTCTATACGAACGCTACAACATGGTATACAAGGAAAAGAAGGGCCAGCCACCGCAGACGCACTTCGGGGCCAAGTTTATGCTTGAGGAGGATGATGTAGAGGATATCAAAGAGAGTGGGAAAAAGGACATCATGCTCCTCGTCGATGTGCCTCCAACCGCTGATGTATTTAATGGCAAGGCTGATGTCCGACTTACCAAAGTACGGTTCTTTGCAAAGGGGGCGAAAACGGACAATCACCGGCTCGAGGTCAAGCTAACACACACTGGAAAGGAGACCATTGTGAACAACCGCCTGAAGCGATTCTACTTCAGACATGATCCGCTCAAGGTCACCTTTCGATACAATACGGAGTCCAGCAAGGCCGAGGGGGACGACGTCGTGGACGGCAATATTGCCTGGCCGACAGAGAATGATTTTGCCCTGCCAGGGCCCTTTACTCAGTGGAAGATCGAGATCCGGAACGCAGTGAACAAGAATATGGATCTTTCCGGCGTCCAGTCGTCATATCTGGAGTTTGATTACCAGTTCCAGAGTGTTTGAATTGAATTGGTTAGGATATATTAGATGCGTGAGATCGGGAATAGACTACCAGAGTTCCCCCAAATATATTCATTAGGTGAATTTCACCCTTCTTAGTGCAGTCTTATAATTCGTCCCCTTCGTCTTTCCCTCTGAGCTTTTGCTTCTCTCCGGCGACGCGCCTCCGCTTCCTTCTGTAAATCCTCGACCCTGCCATCGATGTCTTTGCCTCGATCCTTTTCCTTTAGCTCCTTTTCCCTCTCGCTCTTGTCTGTGAGGTCCTTCTCAGTCCTTTTCAGATCAGCCTCGTATTTCTTGCGAATTTCTTCTTTCTTTCTGTTTTGCTTGCCAATGGGCAATTTGCCCGCATCTTCCAGCTCCTTTCTCTGTTGTTTATCCAATTTTTCCTGCTCTTTTTGTAGCTTCCGTATCTCCCTTGGCAAGTCTTTGGTGATGAGTCTCTCGTCACGCTGCTTTTCAATAAGACCCTTGAGGTACGTAGCTGATACCTCCTTCTTGAACTTTTCCGCCACAGCCGTATCGAACGTGCTGTTATAGTCCGTCTCAAAGAGATGATGGAACTTGGAGAACTTTTTTCTAACCAATCTTCTCAACTGGCCACCAGCCTCGATCTTGTACTCGGTCTCTACCTTTCCCGCAACATCGTCGGTCATGCCCGAGTTCTCTAGGTAGTCTCTGGAATACTCGTTAACGAACATCTCCACCCGTTCCTTCAACCATCCTCGCAAGTCTACCGGTTGGACCGCAATGTAATCTCTCATCTTTCGCATTTGCTTCGTCTGATATCTTGTCTTCACGGCCGCCGCGATGACTCGAGATACCTGGACGCCGGCAGCTCCGGCGAGAGCCCCTCCAATCGCGTCCCCGCTTAGAGACAGAAACGCCCCCAGTCCAATTCCCAACATCGTCGCGGTAAAATGAATGCTTTCAAGATAGAGGTCTCCTGTATCCACTGCCATCAGGTACACAATATCCCTGGGAGGGGTATATTTGGTGCTCATGAAGTCAATCGCCACAGCGAGCGAGTTGATCGCGGCGCCATCTCGTGCGTCTTCAACTGCCGTTAACTTATGCTCGGGAACTGTTTTACTTCCCTGGGGGCTGTGGTCAATCTCATCATCCGTCCCATCCGGGACGTCACCCCACGGGTAGAACTTGCGCCCGGTGGTCGAGATCTTGCTGTCCACTCCAGCAATGGTGCAGTGACCGGCAAAGGACGGGATGGAAATTTCCTCTCCGAGGATCTGAGAACACGTGAAGGACAGTTCAAATTTATGTTGGGATTTGGTCGAAAAGATGACCAAGCCTTCCTTGACTTGGACCGGCTCGGTGGGTTCCCCATCCACTGCAGCTCAATTTATTAGTCTATTGTTCGCTATAAAAGGCCAGCGAAGGACGGAGAAAAGGAGGGGCCAAATGTTACCAAAGACAGCCCTCATGGATGAATCCACAAGCAATTCATAAAAACCTAGGTCATTATTGTCGAACCTATATACACCCCCAGCCATCCGAAGATCGAAATGCGGCCCAGGCTTAGACATTTCTTTGATAATGCGCCAATTGATCTCCTTGAAGTCGAACCCATGGGTCTTGGTGTAGTCCGTGGCAGTATCTTTTTGCACTGCATCTAGCAGACCCATCAAGAACTCATCGTCCTTGGAGTTAAAGGTCTTATCCAGGAGCTTTTGCATAAGCTCTGGGGGTGGGAAGTTGTAGATTACAAGCATTAGTCAACCATTGTTCAAGCCATGTGCGTCTCTCTTCTTCTCTTACCAAGTTGTTTCGTGTCCGGGGTATAGGACATGGTGGGCAATTTAGACAATAGTTGAGTTAGGAGTTGTGAAGGAGAAAGAACTTGGTTGAGAGCCCCTGTCTGCTACAGGCTTTAACAGCTAGTTCGTTGGGCACGTCAGGGGAGGTAATCAACAATACAGAATGCCAAATACATGCTTGTGCAGTGATTTCTGCATCCTGTAGCAAAGGAGGGGCTGTCATAGTGCATAGGATTGCGTGTGATAGAGAGGAGTATGTTACAGAGGAACCAAAGTCAATGACATAATGGAATATTATTAATACTTCCTGTAAGTCTACACATCAGACTGACGTCTTAATGGCTGTTTGCGTTAGTCAAGGAGTCATATATCCTCCACATCATTATATTTTAGCAGCTAAAAGACTTGTGGCTAGAGTTGCATTCAGTCTGAGTTCAGGTGAGTCCAACTATGGTTGGAACCGAACCGCTGTGATTTTGAGTCTAAATTTTAGAAATCAGAACCAAACCTGATCTGTTCTAATTTGGTTTGAGTTTAACCACAAAAACCCACCACTAGGCCTAGATAGGCCTAAATAGGCCTAGCTAGGCCCATGCTAACTAACTATAGTTAGATTTAGTTTAATTTAGTTTGAGTTTAACTACTATCATTCAGTGAATTTTAACTATTTTAAAATTTTAAATAATTATTAACTACTATACTATCTACCATACTATCACTATACCTATAGAAAATTAGTATTTTTATATGAAATATATAGTATTTATTATTATAATAATCTATATCTAAAATATTAATTTAATATCAATAGGGCTGAATGAGGGGTGGTTAAAAATCTATAATAATTATTAACTATTAGTTATATATATATATATATATATATCCATATCACTTCCATACCAACCCCTAATAAAAATGATTATTCCCTTATATCTTAGCAACCACTAGGTATTTTAAATTAATATTTATATATTTAAATAGCCTAGATCTAGAGCTATCTAGTGATATTAAAATCATTAGGGAAATCCTAGAAATTAGTGATTTTTATCTGAAATAGTGTGGGTTGGTTAATCAAATCTGATAAATCCTTAAAAACCATAACTAATGGTTTTAACTGAACTCAAATTAGTTTTAACCTAGGGAAACTGAAACCAGTGCAATTCCCTAGGCTAGGGACTGAACCCAAACTGCTGTGAGTTCGGTGAGTGTTGGATTCAATTTTAGCAGTTTGGTTTTGCAACTCTACTTGTGGCAACCTTCTTTGTTTTCTTTTGTATGGCAATCAGCACCAGACTTTCGCCTACTTTGTTACATTCTAATATTAGATCTGACACTGTTTGCAAGAAGTGTCCTTGCAACAGAAAGAATGAAGTGCCAGTGGTAAAAGCAAAAAGCAACATCATTGGATGTCACAGTGCTAATTTGGGATTATAAGCTATAGTGGGTCGCACAGCATATTGCTAATACACTAATTGACCACTTAGAGATTAGAAGCAGGTTTGCTATGGCTCCCGCTTTTATTCCTAGATACCACCTTCCGTGACTGGCGTGGACTAGACTCAGTCTATCAACCATGTTTAATGACAGCACTCTGTCTACTGAGAAATAATCATGAACATTACTTTACACTAAATACACAACAAAGTACATAGTACCTACTTATGCACCATGGAAACCTGCCTCCGTCTCTGTAGTATGGCGCATTTGCTAGTGTTGCTCCTCCTATCTCATCATTCTCATGTCCTCTGTGATTTGCGCCTACTACTCTTGATGCTGGAATAGGTTAACATCTAAGTATGACCCTCCTATCTTTTTATATGTAAATTCATGTTCATAGCCACATTTAGTCTAAACCCTAAGGATTAATACTTTCTATCCTGGCCTCAGTGTCCAGTCTGGATAGAAAATTCTCTGGTTAATATCCGACTGCATGGTCCCAAGGGGAAGATTTATTTAGAAGTTCTAAGAGCACTTTTTTGTAACACGGTAACACCTTTAGCAGGGAATTTTTGGGGAGGATCTTTCTAAGTAATTTATTTCTTATAGCTTTTTAATTTAGCCCAAAGATGCTATGCTATCCTTATTAGTACAACTCCTGCATGGACATAGAAGGACTACTCATGCATCCAGACCTTTAAGAATCTCCCTATAATGATGTTTGCAGTGCGAATCCAAAATATATTAGATTACTTAACCTGGATCCAATGAGAATGGTCCTTTTCTCTCTTGAATCTGGACTGATGGTCTCTATGTATATAGATAGAAACCAATGTGAATTAATACATTATAATCGATTTTATGACAGGTACATCCTACATCTTTTTCAGCTCCGCCTAGAGTGTTGATGTGCAGTGTTAGGTCTGTTTACTGTTGCAAGTTGCAACTGACGAAATTTACAGGTGTTGAAATCAATAGTACTAGTTCGACTCACAAATCACTAGTAATTTATATGGCCAATTATTAGGAGACAACCGTATTCAGCTGGACTAAATACACTTCCAGGAACAAAAATATAGAAACATAGCAATATTTGTAAGTGATCTCATACATCGTTTTGGATTTTGGCGAATACCAGCCGAATAGCCGTGCCGAGCCCGGCTATAACCTGCAGTACCCCGAAAAGATGCAGGTTCAAGGACTTTCCTGGCCCGCAGTTCAGCCATCCCCAGGTTGGAAACATACAGCTGCCTGCAATGAGTGCCATTGCCGTAGCCTGGCGCAGTCGGATAACACCCCTTGTTGCGAGAAGTAAGGGGAGGGTTTTCCTCCCAGTCCTTCGGTCACCATCCACATTGTGGAACTCCTGCACATGGACGGTGGCCATGACGAAGGCAGCATTCCAGATATCCAGGTCCAGGCGCATGTCAACTTCCGGTGCAATATTGCGTACAACCTCGTTTAGCAGTTGAGTAACATAACCTGTCCCACCCCTGAAAAGGCGTTGCGGAAGAACCAGTGGTTGGGCTTCGGCCATACATAGCAGAAAGCCACCCATATCTCCCAAAGAATTAAAAGGGCTCCGGCTCGGGACCAGAGAGAGCTGCTAAGGCTAGCGAAAAGAAACACCAACTGAATGCCCATCGTAACCTCGCTGCTTCGAGGCTGGGCAGGCAAGTCCGAATCGGCCTATAGGGCTTATTGATGGCCTCGTCTTCCACGGCCATTGTTTGGTTGGCAATATCAAAAACGTATCCATGAGTAAGTGCAGCCATTGAAACATTAGAAAGCAATCGTTGCGTGAATGTAATCGACGATGGAAATGCCAACAAGCGTGCCAATATACCAACGTAGTGCTCGGCTAGGCTGGCAGTGGCGTTCGAGCAGAGTATGAGGCAAGTAACATGGAGCTGCTACTCGCATCTGCCTCACAGATGACGTGGTTCCTGGTCAGACTCTGGTCCCATAGGCAGGCCTACGGTCCACACCCGAGGCCGTGTCCTGTCTGATGCCACCGGGTCAACGGAAGGAGTGAAGCACGTCGACGTCGGCTCCGTTGAACACGCAAAGAAAGATTTGCGAACTGTTTCTAAGCCGACAATGAAACTTGATTTGTTCATTTGATCCAATCGCGTTGTTCCCAACCGCTTTCTTCTGGGCGCAACGGTCTTACATGTCTAGCCACCCATTGTCTAGTATTTCATTCAATTTCATTCGCCGTAGGACGTGCGCCAGGGTCAGGTAGTAAGACTCTTTCCAGGAGATGAATGTCCTCAACTGGAAACTGCAGGTATTTCAGTAGCAGTTATATTATTGTTCTCGCTCTGGATCCAACTCTGGCCAGCAGTCTTTGCATTGTTGATAGTAGAGTACCGAGTTCATCCTAAAACCATGAAAGATGTAGCATCTGATCATCTCTTCGTACTGGGTCATATTTAGAGTGGATTCTTCCGGCAGCTGGTCATAGAGTCCCCAGATATCAGAGTGGACTCGAGCCTACCCGGTTACTAAGTGGCTTGGCTTTCCAGACATGAGCCTTCGTCAGTGAGCCAAAATGTGGGTAGAGTGGTTCAGTGAGGATATATGCATATGCCACCTTGGATTGCCCGATGAATTTCATGTCCTGTTTCCAGTTCATGATGGTGGAGAAACTGGAAAGGATAACAGTGGTAAGTTGAGAGTTGATGAGTGGTTCACGTCTGCATTTTATGCAGGGTCACTCTACTACTTAGTCAGTAGATGCTTCCAAGCCCCCTTCGTGAGCTAGCATATCAGCAGCTTCCTAGTCTTCCTAGATGGGAAATTGCGAATCCAATCATCTCATACCAGGTATCTTCTACACCTACATCACATTTCATGAATGGCTCTTCACCCTCCGTCGTGAGTGGGTGCTGAAAGTGTGTCCTGATCTTCAGTATAGGACTTGTTATGCATGTATTTGGGGCTTTATCTGCGGCGAGCGGCTAAGCGCAAGGAAAAAGAATGGAAGAAGATATTTAACAGGCAGCAGGAAGCTGTCTCTGAATTGACATAAATCTGAATGATGGGCGGCCTATGGTGGAGTTGTGATAACCGGCTTCAGGACCAGGGTGGAAAGACCAGAGGGGCCTTGAAACAGGGGCGAATAGCAGAGCTTGAAATAGCTCGTTATTACCAGCCATTAAGAGGGTTCAACTTCTGTTCCAGACGCGCAGGACTTCATGCAATCTGCCGAGCAATCGGCTCCTTCATCTCGTATTCTTGATGGCGCCAAGGGATATCGAGTCTACTTACGGGGGAAATGCGTCGTATAAAGTAATCCCAGTCGCATTCTGTCCCCCGTTGTAGTTAGCCTTCTCGTAAATACTATTACAAGAGTGGATACGGAGTAGACTATGACGCTTTAGAGACAAGATACGTAGATATGTTGTTTAAAGGGGATATCCTCAACTCCAACTTTGCTTTGTCAATTCAACTTCGAATGGCCATTCTTTAGAGACAGACTCGTCTGCCTACCATTCTTTGTCACTCTTTCCATAATTCTTGTCGCTCTTTTGTTTTCCTTTCAAGGCAAATTCTATTAATCATCAACTGGTTCGAACCCCCTAATCATTGATACAAATCCCACAGCAGAATGCTCTCCAAGCTCCTAACGACGGTCTTACTGTTGGCCGCCCAAGCCTACACAGCAGACGTATCCAAGCTATTCCACTACGAACTGGGACTCAACGGAACTGCCCACCAAGCCGAATTCCAGGAGCGCACCCATGCCGGATACAGACTCACCTACGTCAATGGGTACTACTCCCCCGAACAGAACCAAACTCTCTTCTCCAGCATCTGGGAGAAAACAGGCGCTACCTCCGCCGTTCCCTGGATTAGTCGACACGGTCTCACAGCTACCCAGTACAACGATCTCTCCACCGAGCTCCGCGGCAAGAAATACCATCCCGTGGTCCTCAACGGGTACAACCTCCCAAACGGCCAACGACGCTTCGTCACAATCTGGGAGAAATCTCCCATCGGAGTCTGGAAACAAGCGGTGGATCTGAAGATTGACCAGCTCAAGGAAAAGGTTGCTAGCCTGGCACCCCTGCGTCTCACCTCCCTCAGCGGTTACACGATCAACAATGAACTGCGCTATTCGGCTACCTGGGGGGAACGCACCTCCTCGGACTGGAAGGGAGAGTGGCTCTACTACGCCAATCGGACGGGTGTCATGCAGGGGGGTGTGAATGCTGCCGAATGGAAACCAACATATCTTCATGCACATTCGGTGAATGGTAAGCCTGTTTTCGATTCGGTTTGGGAGAGGTATACGGGCCCGGGCTATGGTGTCCAGCTTTGGTATTATGAGGATAGTGACACTGCGGAGGGCTACAGGACGTTTTTCAACAGTATGACCAAGCGGGGATATAAGCCTAGGATGTTGACTGGGCATTATTCGAAGGACTGTGGGGTGCGATATGTCGGTGTCTTTTATTAAGTCCTCTGTGTCAGCTAAGACCTTGTTCTCTGGGGAATAGGTCTGCCTTGAGAAATGATGGAATCGACTGGAGGATGTAGGTACTATTTAATAAACAAAGTCGGATTCATTCACATCTATCTTACATCTTATGTCTCTCTCACGACCCAACAACTAAGCATAGATGAATTAGACATGAGAATAACTTGCTTCAATGCAGACATATTATCTAAATTGGGATGCTTGCCCCGCGCCAGTGCGAGAGCAGCAGCCCCCCTTCGACGGCTTTCCGCTGTTGGATGTGACGATGTGTGCGAATGTAGCTGAAGGGTTTGCTAAGTTAGACATGCTCCTAATTCTTTCCAATGGTCTCAGCCCTAATTTTTGGCATTCCTTGGACTTTCCCCCGCCACCATTTGATGGTCATACCAGGAGGTCTCGTCTGCTACCCTGGGAGACCTGCCTGGCCTCCTTGACCTGGGCACTTCGCAATTTGCCGAGTCCTATGGTAGTACTCCTGGCACTCGTATGAATCACACATCTCCGTCTCTACAGAGTGAGCCTATCAGAATGGGGGGAGGGAGTGACTCCGCCACGGCTCCTTCGAGCGCTGATGCCTACGTTGCCGCTGAGTTATATTATGCCGTGGGTGACGGGCCAATGGCTCCTATATGATGTCAACTATCTAATCCATATATCCGATTTCCTTCCTTATCAACACCCTACGGTCCTGATGAAATAGTTTATTCAATCCATCGAGGAATCAAGTACAAATCTATGCCTTGCCGTCTGTTCCAGGCAAATCCACAAATGGATCATCAGCAGGATCCGAGTGCCAGCGATACTCCAAACCAAACGCAACGAAATGAGCATGATGCAGAGCTTTTTCCTTGTTGAAGCCCGGAATGGAAGTCTCCTCTCCCTCCGAAGCAAACTTCTGACCCTCAGGATGAGCCTGGCGGTCCTCTGGCGCAACATACGTGTTAGCCATGAACGCAAAGCCCGCGTCGATCCCCGCCGTAACACCGGAGGAAGTCAGGAATTTTCCGTCCTGCACCCAGCGGGCACGCTTCTGCCATTGGACGCCGGGGTCTAGCAGATCGATTGATTAGCACGTGCTCTTGAGGTCCCAAACCTAGATGCGGCCATTATATCATACACTTAGGAGTCAACTCATCATACAGCCGCTTATTCGTCGTCGCCTTTCTCCCGTCCAGCCGACCGGTCGCAGCTAGCAGGATGGACCCGGTACACACAGTGAAAACGTTCGCGGCGCGGTCGACCAGCTTCCCGATGCGCTGCAGCAGGATCGGGTCCCAGATCAGCGGCAGCATGCCGAACCCGCCCGGGATGAAAAGAGTGTCGAACTGGTGGTCCTCCCTGAGGGCCTCAACCAGTGAGAGGGTGGGGATCACGCCGATGCCGTTCTTTATGGAGGTTTCGATGCCATGTGGCGAGTCCAGGTTGTGGAGGTTGACGAGCTCGAGACTGTAGTAGTCGCTGCGAGGGATGATGGCGCCCAGTGGGCCGAAGAGATCGAGGGCTTCGAAGTCGTTGTAGACAAGCGAGAGGATGCGGTGCTGGGTCGGCATTTGGTTTTCCTCTATTTTCTATTTCCTGAGTCCAATTGAGGATGGAGGTATTACAAGTGCTCTGAGTTAAGGTTGAAGAGAAAGCGGCTCTATCTCTCGCCAGATCGGCCGGTCTGGGGCTTCTTGGTATTTGTACTTTTTTGAGGCTAATAGTCGTAAGTCGTAATTGGTGCCGAGGGACTGAAGATCTCCTCAGGTATTGGCCTCAGCGGACTGGCGGGCATACGACAAGGGAGATTTTTTTGACAGTGAACAGACCAAAACTCCGTGGAGTTTTGCAACGCTCCGCGGCTCCATGGAGCCCCTGGAGTCGTGTGGCGCCAATCTTAGTCTCCGACTTGCTGACGGTTCGGTCTCTGGAAGTCCAGAAGGTTTAATTCTGTACTACGCTGTAGTTAGTGGCTATTATATCGGTTGGTGAGAGGAAATCTGCGTGTGGACTGTACCCCTCCACGCTACAGTCGCCTTCACTGGTAAGGTCTCCTCCGAATTCTTGAGGGGTAACGATGCCAATAAAGTAAGCACCATTTTTGAAGTCTAACTATGAGCAAATGCAGTACCGCCTCGTAATCACTAGTAAAACCAGGCATCTACAGCTGACCTACAGCATAGGAGGCACAGCTCTCTTATAAGCAGCCTTCACTTCAGGCAGCGCATCTAGCTTCTCCATATAAGCCTCAATAGCCGGGTACTCCTCAGGAGGCGTAAGTACAGACCCAGCCAGCACCGAGCCCTTTAACCAGGTGTGCCTTTGCCCTCACCGAATTCAAGAGGAGCACAGTCGTAGTCCAGTCCGAGGTGCTCGAGGGCCATGACCACCCTGACAGGATTGGGGCTGGGGCCTACAGGCATTCATTACCGAGATGCAGGTCAATAAGCGCTGTCTTTATACCTCTGAGGTCATGCTCGCAATACTAGAACCTATACCCAAAACCCCATATTGATAAGCAATATTCATCCTGGAGCAAGAGAGCCTTCTTCATTCCAAGGTGAATGAAGCTAAAGATGGAGCTATGTGGAGTAACAGCTACAGCCTCACCAAATGATAGTAGGATGTCATAATCTAGATAAGCCCTAAGCAAGCTAAGCATTCTTAGCTCTTGGGATCGACGGAAAGTGTCTCGTCTGTGGAGACCGAGACTCCGAGGATGATCCCACATAGACATCACTTTCGCCCCGAAAGTCTGACAGCCGAAACTCCATGGACACACAAATGAAAATCATCTTTAGGATGTTAAATCATCTGAGAACTATCACGAGAATCAGTGCTATCACCTCCTCGTAGAGTATGGATATGCATTCTCAAATGCTGTATCAAATCATCACATAGTAGGGCTATCGAATACTATGGTATTAATATTATTCTCATATAAGTACATCTTCTTTGCCTCTAATCTCGAGATATAAACACCCAGATGTATAATCTGGATTTTTCTAGATGGGATGGTCTAATGCCGATATCTGGATGCTTCAGATCCACATCTACTCTGAATGCGTCCAGGCTATGAGAAAACATGGTAGATAGCTCCATTTGAACGATAAGCATGGGATTAATGAAGGCCGCATTTTGAGTCTAAGCACCCTAGAGCAGCTACACACCTGCCATACGCGATACAGCCACTCGGTGATAAAAATGACAGGCAAGCAGCGAACTAGACAGTTTATGGCTGGAAATACGCCCTTCCTACTCAAAGCATTGCTATACCAAACTCACGCTGCTGCACGATGACTCAGTGGAGTTGTCCTGCATCTCAAGATATGCAGTTTTTCGTTCACCGACCTCGGTAAGGCCTCTCGACATCGTGGACAAACCTTCACTCTTGCCAAGTTCTCATCCTGACGAGCGAAAAGGTCTGTCTCTTCACTCCATCTGGTCGCGATTTCCAGCATTTTCTGACATGTCGGGTCTTCACTAAATCCAGATGGCTCTATCACACTAGGCTTCTGGCGATTAGGGTCCCAGGGTGTCGTCTTCAACAGCACATATTTCCAATACTTGAAGAATGCCACGCGGTGTTCATTAAAGGCCGCTAACGCTGGAGAATTACAGCCATCTTTGGAAAGTTTATTAGACAGTTTTGTGAGCGCGCCCAGGACGTTGTCAAGAAGCTTGCTGAAATTTCCGGCAAAGTTAATGATGGTTGCTATTTCGAACCAACGCAAGCATTTTCCGGACGTCAAGAATTCGGTAAGCTGCTGAATCATCATGTCTTCTTTGGAAAGCTCATCGGAGCACAATCCTGTGCATTTCAATGCTTGCAGTAGAGCGTAGTGGAAGGAAAAGTGGGATTCAAATTTGTAAAAGCTGATCGGAGCGGAAGAAGCACTTCTTAACTCATCTAGATGCTGCTGCGACTCTGGGCACTCGGTGAAATACCACACAGCCACAATTCCTCGTAGCAGTTTCTTCGTCCGTAGTGGCTGCAGTAATATGTCCGATTTGGTCCAAAGGCTCCCCTTCGAAAGATATTGATAGAAAGACTGGTGAACAGCTACTACTTCGTAACCTGTAATCGTCCGACGAACATCCACCAAAGAGCCAGCCAGTCTTTTTGCTAATGCAGGCGTGTCAAACACAGGCTCCCCATCATTAACGTACTGAAACACAATCTCCATGATCTGAAGAGGTAGACGGTCTTCCTCCTGAAGTAGAGAACTGGGCAAGATGTCGCTGATATCCAGCCAGACATAGAACCACAGGGCAAATCTTCGTTCGTAATCAAATAGTCGGCCATTATTCTCTTGTATTATGCGGTCATAAAGCTCGGAAAGACCCAGGGGCAGAGATGAGAGACACTCTGTGACAACTTTGCGGCTGGGCGCCCGCGCAATATCATCCATCAGTAACCGTGCATACAACCACAGACCATCGGCCTGCTTTGAAATTCTGTTCGCAACCTGTTCTTCCAGATCGGTGTTCACAATGGACGGGATCTCTTTGATCCGTCTTTGTACGTAGGAGTGAACTTGGTCCTGTATATATCTTGAGTCCAAATGCAGCAGATGACAGGATGCGGTGCTGTCTTCCCTGTTTCCTGTAAATAAGAATTTGTACTGAGCGCGCTTATTTGAGCCCTGTGTGCGACTAACTCCTCCTTGAGCTCTGCTCGCGGAGTCATCGTTGGGGATAAGGGACTGTCGCCAATAATCTGTATCATCGTCGATTAAGATAAAGTAACACTTCTCGCCTTTCAGATGGGTAATCGCGTGTTGGTATAACTCAGAAGCCATGCTCAGCAAGTCCAGGACAGCCCGTCCACTCTGCTGGTAAGTACTCAGCATCTGGTCAGCCATACTTGGTTCATATTGCAAGAGCTGCGCCAGAAGCGTTCTTAATATGCAGACCGATTCATTTTTCTCGGGATTCTTTCTATCGCAGAAGAAGTACAGAACCCGTCCATACTGCGACAAGCTTTTGGCGAGAAAGGCAGCAAGAGTACTTTTCCCACTACCAGGGCGACCGACAATTTGCAGCCTCTCGTTTCTGGGCGACGAGAGCCATTTCTGGAATTGATCAGACTGCAGCACCCAGTCGCAAGATTCGTCTGTATACTGGGAAAGATATCGCTGCAAGTCATCCTCGACTGTGGAAGGACATAGCCAACAGCGGATTCGATGGAGATTTTGTTCTGAGCATGGTCAAAAATCAGTAATGCGCAATCGGAATAATAAATATAGACAAGGCAAACCTCGCGTCTCTTGGGCCAATCTCTCCCTCACTTCCTTGGCCTCCAAGAAATGAGCTGCTTGAGCAGCACGGTCTATCTCCGCTGCCCGATTGTCCACCGACTCCGAGATGGACGCGAATTCTTTTCCAAACGGATTCAAGATGTATCGAAGTCGACGTGTCTGATACTTGACCATACAGGTGCATAGCCGCAGAAGCTCACAGTATAGTCGCCCGACTGCCTCCCGGACTCCGGCGTGGGAAGCAAACAGTGCTGCTAGATCCTGATATCGCTGAACCGATTGTGCAATCTTGTCGACAATAAACGCAAGTCGCTCCAGAGCTGAAACGTGTTGACAGGCAATCTAATGAGGCTTAGCAATTAGTCCAAGCACCACATGATGCATCATCGAGGCGAGTTAAATTACCGTGATTGCCATGCGAAGCGGACCCCATATTGGTGACGCAATCCCAGCGTTGACTTGTACAATCACATCGAGAGTTCCCTCTAGCCGTTTCAGGGAATCAATGACCGGTCCCAGAAACTCGGCTATCCGGGTGAAGCTTCTTTTTCTCGTGCCGTTTGTGGATAAAACCTGTAAGCATGCCTCGACAGTGGCAGGCGCTTGGAACTCGCGCTGTTTGTCAGGATCCAGGCTTTTCACATATTTTGCAACGGCCTCCTCCCATGAGTCTGTCGTCTGAGCAGGGGCTGGATTCATCTCTGTTAGCGAGTTTGCGATATTTACATACGGTTGGTTGCGAACAGTGGATGACGCCAGCACAACAAGGCTGAGAAGGATATCCCTGCCCCTCCACGATCGAGCAGGCTCAGGTAAGCAAACCTCATTCGCTAGTTTCGTGTTCTTCCTCTTCCCAGTCATTTTCTGCCGATGACCTTGGCCACATGTAAATAAACATAGTGTCTAGCACTTTGCTCTGCATTCGAAGGAACAATGGTACCAGTGTTGTTCCAAGTCAGTCCACGCTTCAAAGGTAGCAGCATTAAGCATTACAGTGGACACTATAAATGTATACTCTGATGATAAACATTCTCGACTGCAGAGGAACCTCATTACCGTCCTGCGATGTTGCGGAAATGGAAGTCTGGAAGCCTTAGGCAGAAATCAAAAGCACAGCAATGGTAACCTGCCTCAACCGAGTGCTTCTGTTTTACACCCTGAGTGCTTTTAGTCTTCGGATCCTCCTATACTTTTTGTCACATATGGGCTCGGTCTGTGCTGTCTGGAAGCATTCTCTACCTCGGTTCTACATATCTTGTCGCAACCCTCAAGAGTTTGTGGCTGACGGAGGTCCAATTGTAGGCATGCAAAGGAGATGAGACAGGATAATAGGATGGGGGCTTTTGCGTGACTATATCCTCAGTTCAAAGAATCAACTTGCGGTCGGAGCGAGACCTGGATTGCATGATGGCTCTGCTCGGCAAAGCGATGCAAGCGTTCCTCCTATGTCATACTGTTGGGACACTTCCAGTCCTACGGAGAACATTTGTAGTTTGAAAATGGCTAAAGGGCTCTGTTGCAACGATACAGAAGACAATCTGCTGCTTTAGTTTTGGTGACATTGGCGTTGATCTCATCTTAAGGTGGGCTCTTTTAAGGCCGGCTTCCGTGCTGACAATTTCGGCCACCAAAGCTGTTTCATTAGTGATAACCCCCAACTCCTAACTAATTTGCAATTTTGATAGCAGCATAATTCAATATGAGTAACGTGAGACAGAGCCACTACTTTCACGCAGCGAAGCAATTCATAATACTATTTATGACCCTCGGAATGCCACTTATCGAACACTTCCTCTTACGTTACTCACCTCTCTTGGCATGGCAGCCACCACTGCCGCTACTATTTATGCCTATGCTGAGCTCCTTTGTGAGGACGCGACCACCTGTATAGATGGTGAACAAAGTCAATATGCAGCTGTGGTTACTATCACCAGCATAACTGCCTACATAGTAGCCATTATGATCCTTAGGCTGCTGGAGCAACTCATCAAGATATATTTATAAGTTAGTCTGTTGATCTGGATTATCCCTGCTAGCTTTCTTAAAGAGTCATCTCATTCTGTTCATGCCAGATGTGTTGGGGGGCATTCATAGCATTAACCTTTATGGAGAATTTAGGAGGTTTAGTATTACTGTTCTTGCTTAGGGGCTGGCAGTCTGTTGCTCTGTATTTGCTTTTGCAGTTGCGTTGCTGGGACTGAGTCTAGGATTATATCTTTAGGAAGAAATATTGTGCTTTAATCCATCAACTCCACATGCGTGTTAAGCAATTATACCTAGCAAACTACCTTAGTAATGCTCACTTTTTGATAGTTATATGCATAATGCGTTGTTTGTATATCATTATGGTAGCTAGGCGGGAATCACGTGATATGGCCCACCAACACTGTTGTTTGTCTGCAGTGCTGCACTGTCAAGTGTCAACTCGTGCGTCAGTCCATCTCTCTTCGTGTTTGACCAAGCTCCCTCTGATCTTTGTACCTTCATCCCTGCAATGAGTGAAGACAAACAATCCAGATCGACATATGCTTTCTGGCTCCCACCTGAGCTTTGGATGAGAGTCGCATATTTTCTACCTCGGATGCCCGATCAGCCCAGATGGCAGCCGTGGGTCAAGTATCGCGCGCTGAACAGGGCGTTCAAGAAAGAGATTGAAGATTACTACTTCAAGCACTGGATCAATGGTTCTGAAATCAGGGTAAAACGCGAGGAACCGTTCCCGCCGGATCCCTATGACTTATATAGTCTGTATCTGCGTGAGTGTTATATTTTCTCTGGCTTTCGTGATTCTGAACAGCGCATCGCTGTTTTCGAGGGTCAAAGATTGAAGTGGACGGATCCACGGGAACGTGAGCATTTAATTCAAATTGAGAGAATGTTGGAACAATTCGACGAGCCAGGATACCATCCTTACATCACCTTTAAGATTGAAAAAGGAGTGACCGATTTACTTCCCATCGACCTTCGTTTTGGGAATACCATCACAAATAGTTATTTTACCTTTGACTGGCGAACTTATCTCTCCACTCTGCTTGACGAGCGGCGCCGTCTCGATGAGTATGAAGCGGTCACCGGGGTATGGCATTCTTAGATCTTGCTCCAGTTGTTGTTTCGAGCTCACCAGGACAGTACAAATCCCAACTCCAACTGGCAGTAGAATTGAGATGGAAGCTCGACGACTATGAAATGTCGCATACGGAAGCAATGCTACATCTGGTGCAAGCAGCAGGAACCGATCTTGTTGGCCATGATGGCCGACTGCTCGCAATCCGCAGGCGTCGACGGTACCGCTTAGGACTCAGAACTGGCCAATTGCGGCTTCGACCTCCACTACGCTCCTTTGATCCAATGAATCCTTTTGTAGAACGTGGCACCTGCTATCCAATGACTGTTCTTGAACGTCGCTTTACACGGCTCGATGAGGAACACGTGGCAGAGACGCTACTGAACTCTGCAATAATGTCGGATCAGGAGTGCGATGTACAAATAGAGTGGTAGCGGTCAAGCAGTCGATGGGCAAAGGCGCTGTCTTGTCTGCTGGTCCCCCGAAGGGCTTCTCAACGCAAGATAAAACGTGCCAGCCCGGCATAGCTCTCAAATCCGAAAGAGGGTTCACCAGGCTGACAGCCTGGGTCTTATTTCGATCTTCCCATATTAAAGACGATCGTCTCCAAATCTCCCAAGGAACCGAAAGCTGAGATCACCGGCAGCTCCACGATCAAAACAGGTGTCCTTCGTCGACTTGAGCTTCGAACTTTGCCCCTCTTCGTTGGTTTTTACCCGCGCCACGACTGCAGGATAAACCAATGAATGCTCCGCGGTCGAGCATAGCGTGCATCATCGAACATTTCAAAGTTTGATTCAATGATCCTTTCAATATCAGCTAATATCGTCTCGCCTCTCTGGCATGCAGGAAGATGTCACAGGCTGGATCTCATTCGACAGTAATCGCACAACCCATGCACGTCGAAGATGACCAACCAATGAATTTCGCACAGGCAGCTGCAACATATTTCCGTCGTATAAAGGCTGTGCAAGATCGACCGAAAGCCGAAGGGCGAGCGTTGACCGTATGATGTAGCAAGGCTGATTGCCACTTCGCGAGGGTAGGACTTCAAGATGCGGGGTTGCTCAGCAGATACAAATTGCCAACGAGCTCCAAATCTGTCAAGGTTGACCACATTACAACCGAAGGAATTGTCTCCGTCACCAAAAAAGCATCATGCAGTCTACAGAAACCATTCAAGCGGTGCAAGACTATTATGGAGGATTAGCTGAGCGCGGCTCCACGGACAGGTCTGAGGGCTATCAGACCAGCGTTGCGAAGGCGTTTGGTTATGACCCAGAGGATCTGAAATCCCTTCCCGAGAATGCGAATCTTGGAGTCAGCTGTGGTAATCCTTTGGCGTTGGCAAGCCTAAGAGAAGTATGTGTGGCTGGACCGTCGCTTGCGCACGGCTGACTGCCAGAAAATAGGGTGAGACAGTGATCGATCTAGGAAGTGGCGGCGGCATCGATGTCATTCTCGCTGCGCGCAAAGTCGGTCCGAAGGGAAAGGCTATCGGAGTCGACATGACCAAAGTGAGTATTTACTTCTACAGAGCGGATTATACGCTTCCGGCGAGAGACTTACTTCCAATCAACCAGAAAATGCTGGCTCTCGCCCACGAAAACGTCGAAAAAGCAGGCATCACCAACGCTTCCTTTGTCGAGGGATTCATCACTGCTATCCCACTTGAGGATTCGACCGCTGACTGCATCATCAGCAACTGTGTCGTCAATCTCGTGCCAAAAGAGCAAAAGAGCCTTGTCTTTCATGAGATGTTCCGGCTTTTGAAACCTGGAGGTCGAGTTGCGATCAGTGACATCCTTGCTCGGCGGGAGCTGCCGCCCGAAATCGCGAACGATTTGGCGCTGTATGTTGGCTGCATCGCTGGTGCAAGTCAGGCCCAACAGTACCATGCGTATCTGAAGGACGCCGGGTTTGACGGTACCTCGACCAATCCATTTGCGACTGACCGGAAGATGCTGATTCTATGCGCAGACATAATGATTGTGGACACTAAAGCAGACCTCAACGTCTACAAAGAAATGCCGCAAGAGAAGTCTGCCTGTTGTGGCATGTCCTGCTCCAACCTTCAAATTAATGACAAAATTCGGGACTATGACTGTAATGAATGGGCTGGTGAGCTTGTACTCGATGAGGCCTCCCGTCGTGGGCCGTGGCTAACCCAGTCTCTAGGCTCCTTCCAGATATACGCCGTCAAGCCAGCATTGTGAATAACATCGGGCATTGTTTCTTTCATATTTTCTAGGAAACATGATTGAGATCAAACTACGTCTGGCAATGATACTCATCTTGTATTCACCTAGAGTGAGATGAAATGCCGAGTCAGGCAGAAGAAATTCATCTCTCATTGTTCTCAACTCTCATTGGCGGGCCTTAAATAGGATAATTGGATAAAGATTCATCTGGTTGCATAAGCCGCTTGCCAAAGGCATTCTTATTGAGGATGATAGTCGGTATCCTAGCGGAGTTTCCGCCTGATCGTCCGCATATTGCTCCCTTGAAGCGAGCTCAATCAAGTAACTTAGCCCCGTGAAGGTGAGCTTTAGTCACTCTTCGGTTAAGCAATGGTCCGGCAACACAACCTTGTTACTCGCAACTGACGAGCCCGTATAGTCCCGCGGAAATGGATGTCCCCTCTAGCTGCTCAATGCTCATTGTAACTCGCTTCGAGGAAGAGGGTCTTCTCCGGCCGAGAGTAGTCAAGGCTCGCTTAAATCTCGAAAGATTATCAGCGGGTCAATGTTTTTCTCCCTGTACTACGTCGAGGCACCGATGTCGTTAAGCTAGACAAGGTCTACAGCAGTTCATGGACGCTAGCCATGTAAGCCCTTGGCGTGCCGTATGCTGTGCTTGTTCAGTTCGGATATCGAAATTTGCACAGCGGTGATTTGGATTCTCGAACGAACTTAATCTTTCTCAGCGTATGCCATTCTCAGTCACTCTCATTGTCTTGATTAGTAACCTGGCTTGCGACTTGTGTGCTAGTGCCGATACCACTTTCGCGCCGGGTGTTAGTACTCCTTCTTCGGCCTTGCATGTATGCTTCCGTAGTAGTAATGGCTCTTTCGCCAACGAATTTGTCACCGGGCCAAGGAGCCTTGCACACAGGACACTGTTCAGCCTGACGCATACGGAAGAAATTGCGAGTGCATATATCGTGAAGCCGGCCCGAGCAGTCACGGTTGGCGCAACGTTGACCCTTTCGAAACGTCAGTTTCCATACTAATCAGAAGGAGTGTAGACTGCAGACTCACCACCGTGATAATATCCTTGCATGCTGCGCAGAACTTGATCTTATCCACTCTCCGCCCTTCGTCGTTCTCATTGTACGTAGCAATAAGCCAGCCACGCAGCTCCATCAGGCCCCGCGGACTCAAACTGTAGTATCCCTTCCGGCTCTTCTCAAGCCAGCCTTCCTCCACCAGCTGCTTCAAGACCGTCTCCGCCTGCGACATGGTCAAAGACTGCGCTGCTCCTCCCTGAATTTGCTGTGTGGCGGCCTGGGTCTCCTGTCGGCTTGAATCCGATGAAGCCTTAGCAAGCTGCATGGCCTGTATACCACTGACTACCATGGCCTCACATCGTCGGGTATTGTAAGTATCGAAGATCGCGTCAAGAACACGCTTGATGAAGGCAATCTCGTCTGCCGAGTAGGTGGTGGCTAATTGCATGAGAGCATCACTGGTGGTATTCACAAGAGCATATACTCGTTCAGCTTGCGTGGTTCCGTTTACGTGTTGATCGATCTGCAACTGACGTAGCGTGCTCCTGATTTCCAGGTCGAACGGAGAAATTGCGGCGTTGGCAGCATTGATATAGGAGTCGAGATCTTCTTGCGATACATCATCAGGGGAGACAGGTTGGCCCTCTATCATCATGCACAGATTAGCAAGTCCCTCGTGTCTTTCCTATATGACTACGTACCGTGCGCCGAAAAGATCGCTGCCAGAACTGGTCTGGCTTCTTCAAACGTCATGGTCGACCGGGCCATGAACGCTTGGAGAAAGGCGCGGTTACTATCGTTGTAGCCATTCGCCCCAGAATTATTTGCCATTATGCTGTTTGCGACAGTTGCCCTCCGCTAAGTCAAGAGGCCAATCTGCCGTTAATTTTTAAGGACAAAGCTTAGAGCTTGGTTTCCTTTTGCGGGGAAAGTCATCGGCGACGCGATCCAACGCGACCCGCGTTATCGGATGCCAAGACCGAGACGGGCAATTTTAAGAGATCGCATCAAGCTTCGCATCGACGGGCCTTTTTACTTGCGCCACACGGACATCTGACTATCAATACTTGAAGGTCACTAACGCTACCTTAAAGAAAGTATGAATATAATCATGGTAGCTACTGATTAGAATGAGCCAGCTTTGATATCATGCTAAGCGAACAAGAAGGTACAGATGACAGATGTCACAATCTCCCCAACGCCGAATATGGAAACGAAATCATGGAAGAAATCCCCCTAAAATCTCCGCCTGGTAGGCTCTGGACTAGGACTCCGGCTAGCACTTCTCGGGTCCCGGCCTCGTTCTTTGAGCCACTTCTTGGTGCTCAAGCGGAGCTCACGGTCGAGCTCAGGGCTGGGATCTTTCCGGTGAATGAAATTGCAGAATCCGCCTCGTACGCATCCTTCGCCACTATTTAACCGGCAGCACGCTTCTCGGAAATCTGTGACGGGTGATAGCTCGCAATATATCGGCCGCGCTGCGTACCAGCGCGAATTGAGCGCATCGCACGCAGCCTGTGCGTCTTCTTCGTATTTGAATCGCGCGTAGACGTTGCCGATGAGATCTGCATGATAGATTCAGTTAGCGATAGTTCTCTTGAGATCTTGATTTGCAACATAGCACTTACGGTCATTGTTGTTGTCGCAGACAACCAATTCCTCCAACTCGCCGTACTTGCACATCTCGCACCACACATCCTCATAGAACGCATCGAAGTGGTTTTGCAGCTGGCTGGGGTTCATCTTGTTCTTGGGGTCGTAGGCTGGGTTCTGATACATGTTGGGCATCAGGATCGTCTGGGAGTATGATGGCTTGACATGCTTGCGGGAGCATCTGTCGCCGTGTCTGCAGGCGCCAATCTTGTAGTAAAAGGAACAATTGACCTTGTCCTGTTCTGTACCGAAAATGGAGGCGAGATAGTTGGCCATGGTGATCAGTCGACAGTAGAAAGGGCCCGGGTCACTTGAATTGGGAGGAACGATCGGGAGGCGAAAAGATGACTGTCAAAGGACGCGACGAAGAAGAGTGACAGAAGGTAAAGAGAGGGAAAGAGGTGGTAAGATAGTGCTAGCGCAGGAGGTGAGGCCTATATGTCCCTTCCCATAGCTTGAAGATTCTGGAGAGCTCGATCGCGTGGCGGAGATGCTGACTAACTCTTGTTGGAAGTTTCTGGCCTCAGGCTATCAACAGCTGGAACAAAAATGTTCCGTGCGCATAATTAGTAATTAATGCATTTGTATCACATAATCACCCTCTGCCTGTCATCACCACATTGCATTCGATCATCGGGACGGACTGTGGGCAATTTGTTCTATGCAGTAAGGCAGACATTTCACTATACATACATTTAAAATCCCAAGTCAGGTCTTATTCTTGTGTTCTATTCTGAGCTCACTCACACTATTGCAAGCCCACTCACATCTACATCAGGCTCAACTCCCTCCACCATTTGCGCAATCACTTTCCCGGTTCCCAATGACAATGAGATTCCCCAAGGACCATGACCTGACGCAACAAAGACTCCTCCCCTTGTTCTACCATTCTCACATCTGTTTCTAGAGCCAGTTTTGAGCCCACCTAGCAAATGATCGTCAACTCGAGTGACGAAGGGAACTCCATGCGCGGAGACAGGTCGGAAGCATAGGCCTTCACGCAATACTTCCAAGTCATTTTTGTTGGCAATGCCGTCTGTTGATTCCACATTGCTTTCGGCTAGTGCTCCCATAAGATGAACCGCTGCCTTTTTCAATCGTTCCATCTCATTCTGATCCATTAATTTGCACGAGTCCTCCGCCTGAGCTGGAAGAGGTATATGCATGTCATTCAGACCGGCTATGTAGATCTCTCCGCCTTGACGAGAGAAAATCTCGGGACAGAAGCCGCATGAATCAGGGTGTGCCGTAAACACGGCATGACTGCGGCTGGCGTATGTTACCCTCTCGTCTTGGAGTGTGTGTCTAGGAGAACGAACGACAAGCGAATATCCAGCCAAAGGGGTGATTGGGATTGGAAGACGAGATAAAGGGAACAGTTCATGATAGACTTGCGGCGTCCAGGGTCCAGCACAGATGATAATATTTGCGCATGGAAGTGTGCACTCAGTCTGAGTATCCAGATTGATGATTTTGACCCCGGTGATAACTCCACTGACTTGATCTGTAATGACGGATGTGGCCTTAGCTGGGTTGTGCAGCTCGACACCGCGGGACAAAGAACTCTCCAAAAGAAATCTTGCCAATCTCAATGGGTCTCTAAATGCCGTCAGTTCGCCATGCGGCAGAGTTCGCAATAATCATTACTAACACTTGGGCAACAGTGTCATCATCGCTAATCTTCTCAAGGACCCCTTTCTTCTGCTTCGTCAACCAGGCGGGTACCTCCACATGAATAGGACTGCTGGAGCTGGCAGCTGCTTCTGCTCGACTTGTTCCTGCACTCAGCCAGTCGTCTCCAGAAGCGCCTCTTTTGTTATTCTTCTTGGAAAAGTCCAGGCTCAGTGCTGTGCCTTTCATGTATCCCCATTTCTGTGCCCCTCCATGCTTAGCCGCCAGCGACTGATGCATATTGAATGAGAGTTCTCCCAGGGATGCAAGAGCTGGCGTAAACCAGTCCTTGGCTAGGAAACCTGCAGCATATCCCGATGCAGCACTGAACAACTGAGACGATGCCTCAACAATATGGATCTCGTCGGACGATCCATTTTCAGATAGGTAGTAGGCAATTGAAGATCCGATGATGCCTCCTCCAAGAATCACAGTGGACATATTGCCGTTCCGGAGTTTAGTGATTGTCCAGGTCAATTACGCCGCTATGCGGCTGTCTATAGCCTCTGTAGAACTACGACAGGAGCTGATATGTGGAATCACAGCCTTTGAATAATGTTGGGCAATTGACCCGTGCTTATGGGAAAGAAAATTTAGAATTCCATACCTCCCTATTCAGGCCGTGAAGTCGAGAATCAACGGTGTAGCTTTCAGCCGTTTTTGTCACTCTGAACATATGAATCGCGGTCCTCCGAGTCCGCGGTAAATAAAGATGGCTTCAGGCATGCAATTCACCAACAAAGAACGAGAGTAGGCTTTATACTGTAAATTTTCGCCTAAGAACACATGGCACCTGTAAACGGAAAGGTTCTATTCGGGCAATTGCGAGAATCTATTCATATAGAGATGTATCGATGGCATTGTTAATCTGCGGTATCTTCGCCGACAACCCCGCGCTCCCCTCACTGCAGAAATTACATCACTGCTGCTGGCAGCATTTTCCCTTCATTAATCCCAACAACACGATTGGCCCTGCGCATTCATCTTTGAGACTAACAGAAAGTCCAACTTGAATTCCTCTGGACTTCTAGACTACATCTCTAATCTCGCTCTTATCCGTTGCTCTCTTTCGTCCATAGACTTGGAGACAAAAATGCCGGGCAAAACCATCATTGTCACCGGTGCCTCGAGAGGTACTTCCTTCAAGCATCCCCTCAAACACACCATACTGACTCGCATTCCACAACTCTCTCAGGCATCGGACTCGCCATTTCAAAGTACCTTCTTACCGCACCACAATCGCACAATGTCATCGTGATTGCTCGCAGCGTCGAACCTCTCCAGAAGCTCAAGGAACAGTACAACAAGCAGGTCGAGGTGCTCAACGGCGATCTGGCGGATTTCTCTCTCGGCCAGAAGGCAGTCGACCTGGCTATCAAGTCCTTTGGCCGTCTAGATGGATTGGTCCTCAACCATGGAATCCTCGGACAAGTCGGCAAAATCGACAAGGCAGACCCAGAACAGTGGAAGCTCGGATTTGACGTGAATTTTATCAGCTTCGTCGCGTTTGTAAGACATGACCGTTGCTGGATGCTGGTGTTCGAATGCAAAAGAAATTAATTGACTTCTATAATAGATCAAGGCTGGTCTACCGGCACTTCGCGAGGCCAAGGGAAAGATTATGTTCACCTCCTCTGGAGCTTCGGTGTCCGCCTATCGAGGCTGGGCTCTTTATGGAGCAACCAAAGCTGCGATGAATCATCTCGCCTTGTCTTTGGGCGAAGAAGAACCCGACGTTACCACCATCTCGATCCGGCCTGGAATGGTTGACACTGAAATGCAGCGCGAGTTGAGAGAAGACCATGCTACGAATCTTGAGCCTCAAATGCATTCCAAATTTACGACTGCGCACAAGGATGGAAAGCTACTCAAGCCCGAGCAACCCGGCCATGTGATGGCTAAGCTGGTCCTTGACGCTCCAGCTTCACTTAGCGGAAAATTTCTCTCGTAAGTCATCTGTTCATTGATACTAAACGCTAACTAACGACTAAATAGATGGAATGACGAAGCTCTGAAAGACTTCCAAGCATAAATATTCATCTACCATCGAGCCTATACATATGACCGTCAGTATATGTCGGAACCAACGAGCAGATAGAAATAAGCGGCATTAGATTGTAATTATAATCAGTCGAAAGATGAAAAGCAATACATTTTAGAAGCATTAGATGCAGAGCACCTTCATACTTAGCATGGAATGTAGGGTACTCATCATATAATTTGAAGAGGAAACAGAGAGGAGAAAGGAAAAGTGCACCATACCTATAAAATTACACAAGCGCACATGCATGCGAAGACACTCAGACCAGCCCTTATCACATCAACATCCAACATCTGAACGAAGAATTTTGGCGAATGGAACCACAGTTCAACTTCCAATGAGTCAACCAGCTACAGCCTAAATATACTTCAAGCTGTTAGCAAACGTCACGAAGTCTTTAGACTTTGAATGCAATAGTGAAAAGAAGAGATATCAGTTGGTCCGTTTGGCTTGGACAGTGTTCGTC